CTTTTAAATCCACTTCATTCCGTGTAGATGAAGGGGAGGAGACAGGTTAAAGAAGGATTTTTAAGACAATTGAGACATGGATTGTGTATGTGTGCCTTTCAGAGGGTGAATGCGCAAGACAAAATATTTAAGTGCCTTTGAACGGGGGATGGTAGTAGGTGCCAGGTTAACCGGTTTGAGTGTGTCAAGAACTGCAACGCTGCTGGGTTTTTCACACTCAACAGTTTCCCGTGTGTATCAAGAATGGTCCACCACCCAAAGGACATTCAGCCATCTTGACACAACCGTGGGAAGCATTGGAGTCAACATGGGCCAGCATCCCTGTTGAACGCTTTCGACACCTTGCAGAGTCCATGCCCCGACGAATTGAGGCTGTTCTGAAGGCAAAAGGGGGTGCAACTCAATAATAGGAAGGTGTTCCTAATGTTTTGTACACTCAGTGTATCTCCATGTCACTTTCCAAATATACTTTGGCTATATTCCCACAGCTTTAAAATGCTTTTAATTTTTTTATTATGCGCTCACAGAGTTGACTAACTAAAACATCTACTTTTTAATTATTTGTAAAATAACTAGAGGGCACAAGGCAGAACTATTTATGAGCTAATCAAAAGGAAGCCCAGTGTTTTCTCAGATGCTTACAGGAAGTCCCTGGCTTCCACATTCCCACACTACCGTCCATGCCTATGTTTAGACAGGTACAGAGCAGGGGTATGGGCCCTTTGAGGTGAAAGTAACCATGATACACTTTCATTTAGTTGGCTATCCCCCTCCTCTCACATTGCACTCTCAACAGGCTCAGCCCATGACCTTTAACCTCTGAATCCTGGGGGTCAGCCCCATTCCAGGGGCCATTCCAAATTCCAAAGGCTGTACAATGGGCTGGTATGGGGAGGACAGAGACCAGTGACACTGACAGAGTGCAGGATCCCGCCCACAGGGGTCCCCAAGCTGTGCCTGAGTGGCGTTCTGGTTGTGTGCCGAGTGCTAATGTTACATCCCCTTCTGGAATCTGAGGCGTGAGGGTGTGTTCCCAACTACACTGCACCCCTTTGTGTTCTCTCATCAGCCCCACAGGGCAGATGCAACAGCTGAGGAGAAAGCCCTTTCCTTCAGTCAAATGACCAAATTGTTATATTTCAGTGTTCTGTGATGTATATAAAGTGTAATATTGGGATGCAAACTCAAAATTGAATACATTTCAACTCCACTGAAAACACTGCTACTGCTCTCTCCTCGTCTGACCATGTGTTCTCGCATACCCCGAGAGCATCTGGTCAGCGGGGTGGTGGCACAGGAATCCTCATCTCTCCCAGGTGGACATTCTTTATTTTTCCCCTGACCCATTTGTCTATCTCCTCATTTGAATTCCATGCTGTCACAGTCACTAGCCCATTTAAGCTTAACATCCTTGTCATTTATCGCCCTCCAGGTTCCCTTGGAGAGTTCATCAATGAGCTTGATGCCTTGATACGTTCCTTTCCTGAGGATGGCTCACCCCTCACAGTTCTAGGGGACTTCAACCTCCCTACGTCTACCTTTGACTCATTTCTCTCTGCCTCCTTCTTTCCACTCCTCTCCTCTTTTGACCTCACCCTCTCACCGTCCCCCCCCCTACTCACAAGGCAGGCAATACGCTTGACCTCATCTTTACTAGATGATGTTCTTCTACTAATCTCACTGCAACTCCCCTCCATGTCTCCGACCACTACTTTGTATCCTTTTCTCTCTCGCTCTCCTCCAACACTACTCACTCTGCCCCTACTCAGATGGTAATGCGCCGTCGCAACCTTCGCTCTCTCTCTCCCGCTACTCTCTCCTCTTCCATCCTATCATCTCTTCCCTCTGCTCAATCCTTCTCCCTCCAATCTCCTGATTCTGCCTCCTCAACCCTCCTCTCCTCCCTTTCTGCATCCTTTGACTCTCTATGTCCCCTATCCTCCCGGCCGGCTCGGTCCTCCCCTCCAGCTCCGTGGCTTGATGACTCATTGCGAGCTCACAGAACAGGGCTCCGGGCAGCCGAGCGGAAATGGAGGAAAACTAGACTCCCTGCGGACCTGGCATCTTTTCACTCCCTCCTCTCTACATTTTCTTCATCTGTTTCTGCTGCTAAGGCCACTTTCTACCACTCTAAATTCCAAGCATCTGCCTCTAACCCTAGGAAGCTCTTTGCCACCTTCTCCTCCCTGCTGAATCCTCCTCCCTCTCTGTGAATGACTTCGTCAACCATTTTGAAAAGAAGGTTGACGACATCCGATCCTCGTTTGTTAAGTCAAATGACACTGCTGGTCCTGCTCACACTGCCCTACCCTATGCTTTGACTTCTTTCTCCCCTCTCTCTCCAGATAAATTCTTGCGACTTGTGACGGCCGGCCGCCCAACAACCTGCCCGCTTGACCCTATCCCCTCCTCTCTTCTCCAGACCATCTCCGGTGACCTTCTCCCTTACCTCACCTCGCTGATCAACTCATCCTTGACCGCTGGCTATGTCCCTTCCGTCTTCAAGAGAGCGAGAGTTGCACCCCTTCTCAAAAAACCAACACTCGATCCCTCTGATGTCAACAACTACAGACCAGTATCCTTTCTTTCTTTTCTCTCCAAAACTCTTGAGCGTGCCGTCTTTAGCCAACTCTCTTGCTATCTCTCTCAGAATGACCTTCTTGATCTAAACCAGTCAGGTTTCAAGACTGGTCATTCAACTGAGACTGCTCTTCTCTCTGTCACGGAGGCTCTCCGCACTGCTAAAGCTAACTCTCTCTCCTCTGCTCTTGTCCTTCTAGACCTGTCTGCTGCCTTTGATACTGTGAACCATCAGATCCTCCTCTCCACCCTCTCCGAGCTGGGCATCTCCGGCACGGCTCACTCTTGGATTGCATCCTACCTGACCGGTCGCTCCTACCAAGTGGCGTGGCGAGAAGCTGTCTCCGCACCACGTGCTCTCACCACTGGTGTCCCCCAGGGCTCAGTTCTAGGCCCTCTACTATTCTCGCTATACACCAAGTCACTTGGCTCTGTCATATCCTCACATGGCCTCTCCTATCATTGCTACGCAGACGACACACAACTAATCTTCTCCTTTCCCCCTTCTGATAACCAGGTGGCGAATCGCATCTCTGCATGTCTGGCAGACATATCAGTGTGGATGACGGATCACCACCTCAAGCTGAAGCTTGGCAAGACGGAGCTGCTCTTCCTCCCGGGGAAGGACTGCCCGTTCCATGATCTCGCCATCACGGTTGACAACTCCGTTGTGTCCTCCTCCCAGAGTGCGAAGAGCCTTGGCATGACCCTGGACAACACCCTGTCGTTCTCCGCTAACATCAAGGCGGTGACCCGATCCTGTAGGTTCATGCTCTACAACATTCGGAGAGTACGACCCTGCCTTATACAGGAAGCGGCACAGGTCCTAATCCAGGCACTTGTCATCTCCCGTCTGGATTACTGCAACTCGCTGTTGGCTGGGCTCCCTGCCTGTGCCATTAAATCCCCTACAACTCATCCAGAATGCCGCAGCCCATCTGGTGTTCAACCTTCCCAAGTTCTCTCACGTCACCCCGCTCCTCCGCACACTCCACTGGTTTCCAGTTGAAGCTCGCATCTGCTACAAGACCATGGTGCTTGCCTACGGAGCTGTGAGGGGAACGGCACCTCCGTACCTTCAGGCTCTGATCAGTCCCTACACCCAAACGAGGGCATTGCGTTCATCCACCTCTGGCCTGCTGGCTCCCCTACCTCTGCGGAAGCACAGTTCCCGCTCAGCCCAGTCAAAACTGTTCGCTGCTCTGGCACCCCAATGGTGGAACAAGCTCCCTCACGACGCCAGGACAGCGGAGTCACTCACCACCTTCCGGAGACATTTGAAACCCCACCTCTTTAAGGAATACCTGGGATAGGATAAAGTAATCATTCTACGCCCCCCCCCCCCCCCCCCTTATAGCCACCCCACCCCCCCAAAAAAATATAAAATAAAAATAAAAAAACATTGTAAAGTGGTTATCCCACTGGCTATAAGGTGAATGCACCAATTTGTAAGTCACTCTGGATAAGAGCGTCTGCTAAATGACGTAAATGTAAATGTAAACTCTATATCTGACATGGTACATGTGTCTTCTTTTTTGTAAGCCCATAACCATGTGTGTGAGGTGTATACTTTTGTTTGAAAGTAGATTTGTTTAAGACTACCAAGAAACACTCTGTGTGACCCTGATTTAGCCCACTGCAGTAATTGAAGGGCTCACTCTTTCTATTAATTAAATTATATCCATGCACTATTTATATTCACTAATTCACAACTGACTATGGAAAAACATTGATCCAATAAATACATACTAAGAAAAAGTGCTTTATGATTGCTGCCTGGGGTGGACTGGTATGGTGAAAAATGTATGCACTCACTAACTGTAAGTCGCTCTGGATAAGAGCGTCTGCTAAATGACTAAAATGTAAAAATGTAAATGTTTTGCATGGTCATCATTACACCATTGGCACATCCAGACGAGCAGTGTTTCTCGGTATGGGAGACCAACAGATCCACTGCTAACAAGTTGACTTGACTAGAGTTACTTGACAAGAGATGAGGATCTCAATAGCAATCATTAAACCACAACAAAACCCATGACAATGCTTTCAATCTATTTTATGCTTCACTATTGACCTGAAATACTGTATGACTCCTCACAAATATGCCACAATGTCATGGCATGCGACCACTCTCCCCTCCCAGCCGTGCCTGCTTGACCTGGTATGCAGCTAGCTGTCCTACGATGACAGTGCACATTCAGGCCTCACTGTGACCTTGCCTCGCTGGGGGACATCTAAACTTTAAAGGGCTCAGGACAGCTGTGTGTGAGTGTGTGTGGTGTTGTTGTACATTTCCCTGCCCACTTACTAGCTCTCTCATTTCTCTGGGACTAAGGGACTTGAGGACGTCTTCCCATCCAGCACTGCCAGATAGCCACAGCGCACTACTAGCCTGTATCACTATTTTACCCTTAGCCACCATGGGGGCCTACATTGCCAAGATGCTGCCTCCCACTGTCAGTAGCCTGGTCTTCCTGACTGCAGCCAGTGTAGCCACCAAGAGAGGCTTCCACATTGAGGACATGGTCTACTTCTTCACCGTGGTAAGAACCATGACAAGACACTGAGATGTTGACGACGCGCATTAGTGTATTACTGACACTGCTTGTGAGTGGGACTGAGTGTGTGTAACATACTTGTAAGTGATTGTGCAGACAAATTCAAAGAAGTTATGATTATCATTTTAATACTGAAGAAAATGCATTGTACAGTCATTTGTGTCATTTATTAGGGGCGCATGTTTACAACCTAAAGTGTGGGTCTACCTTTACGTTGTGTTTCTATCACTGCTAACCTACCTACCTATTTGTTGATGGCACTGTGTCCTGTCAGAACTGAAATTAACAGAAATGAAGTTACTGTGTATCTGTTTAACCCTAGATTGACCATGACGTACCTAGATTTACCATGACGTACCTAGATTTACCATGACGTACCTAGATTTACCATGACGTACCTAGATTTACCATGACGTACCTAGATTTACCATGATATACCTAGATTTACCATGACGTACCTAGATTTACCATGATATACCTAGATTTACCATGATGTACCTAGATTTACCATGATATACCTAGATTTACCATGACGTACCTAGATTTACCATGACGTACCTAGATTTACCATGATATACCTAGATTTACCATGCGTGTGACGGGCCAGGCCTCTCCATCATATGTTTCATGAAGTATGAGATCCTGGAGTACTTCAGCGTGTACGGAACAGCCATCTCTATCTGGGTCACACTGATAACTGAGTGTAAACAGCATTGTATCGTGACACTGTAATGGCCCATCCTCAGGGTGTGTTGTTAAGTGGGCTAAAACTATTTTCAGAGAACAAGTGAGCTCTGCATGCAGTATCACTGAACAGTTATTTGGAAGCATGTGCTGTGTCTGTCTCTCATGCTCTCCTGTACACACATGCACATTTTAATCTCTGTCTTACACACACACATGAACACTTGCATGCATGTGCGGACACACACACATTCACACCCTCTCTCTCTATATTTTTATATTAGCTTTAGGGGATTTTGATGAGCCAAAGTTCTACTCTGACCATGTTTGGAGTGTTGACCTGTGCTCTGAGGATCTACCAGGACCGCTGGGGCTATGGGATCTACTCTGGACCAATAGGATCAGCAGTATTCATAATCACTGTCAAATGGGTGTGTGAGGACAACTTACAATATGGCTATGACAAACACTGATAACAATATGCCCTAAAATTGTCATGTTTACAGTAATTTGATAGATATCTCATAATCTTGTTAATGTGAAATATATACCAAAGTTCATGCTTGGTTTTTTAGGTATTGCCTAGCAGAATTGCATTGATTATCTCATCTCTTCGACTGAACCTATGTTGTTCTAAACGGATCCTGTGGACTGTATCATATTTCAGTTACAGAAAATGAGAAAAGAGCATATACACCCAACAGGTGGGACCTGGATGCTGCTTCGGTGCCCTGGCTCTGATGCTCCGCTTCTTCTTTCAGGTATCATCACAACGCAATCTCCCTAATTCCCCTTGCCATTCACAATGAAGGCAATACTAAATGTCAAACCTTGTTGAGATGTGTTCGGCTTGCACAAGTGGTAACACATTGACATCAAAAAGTATATATTTTTTTGAATGATTGATTTCAATTCGTTTTGCAGGAGTGGTAACATGCCTATGTCCACAGTTTCTACCACCTGTCTATGGCTGTGTCCTTCATGCTGCTGCTACCCAAGAAGAACCGCTATGCAGGGACAGACAGCAACCCTGACGAGCTCGGCTGCTACACCCTCCTCTGCTGTGTATGACACCCTTTTTATCTCAACAATGCACAGGGTTTCAGTGCTGTAAACATGTTGCAGGAAGCACAGAACAAGTTAATTTCAGCTTGTTCAATGAGTAGTTTAATTGTGCCTATACTGTAACTTAGATCGGGTCTCTCCAACCCTGTTCCTGGAGAGCTACCGTCCTGTAGGTTTTTGCTCCAACCCTAATCTAGCGCATCTGACTCTAATAATTAGCTGGTTGATAAGCTGAATCAGGTGAATTACAACTGAGGTTGGATTTAAAACCTACAGGAGTGTAGCTCTCCAGGAACAGGGTTGGACAGCCCTGACTTAGATAATCATTCACAGTGACTTCAATAGTGCTTTTACCGAAGCTGCCATGTCTACAGTTGAACAAACATACTTGCTAAATTGCTAGTCAGATAGAATGTGCTGTAAGCTCCTATAGTCACCTTTGCTTCTAAACTCAGCACTAAAAAATATTACTTGTCTCTCCAACACTTCTCTAACTCAAGTGATTTACAAACTGGGCCCCAGGAACCCCAAGAGGTGCACGTCTTGGTTTTTGCTCTAGCACTACACAGCTGATTCAAATAACTGATCATTAAGCTTTGATTATTTGAAACAGCTGTGTAGTGCTAGGGCAAAAACTAAAATGTTCACCTCTTGGGGTCCCCAGGACCAAGTTTGGGAAACACTTCTCTAACTTTTCTCACTCTGTCATTTACTATCAGACGCCCTTTCCTGCTTCTACGAAGGAGAAGAAGGACAAGAAGAAGACCCCGTCTCAGACAATTTGGACCATTCCCACTGAACGGCCTTGGACACTGGCCTGCAGCTCACCGACTCTTCCTCTGTACAACCCACCAAGTACACCTGTTAAGAAAGCACTGGACATCAACACTACACCTGTTAAGAAAGGACTGGACAACAGCACAGAGACTGTTAAGAGGGAACTGGATTTCAGCAGCACTAAACCTGTTCACAAAGGACTGGACATCAGCAAGCTCAAAGAACAGAATGGCTGGAAGTGGCCCCACAAGACAGATAAACTTTTATAAGTCAATTGGTCTTGGTGATGTCCAGAGAGAGAGAGCAAATAGAGAAATATGTCATACAATTAAGGGTTACAGGGACACAGACATCATCCGAAAAGGTCAAGCCCTGTGCTGTGCCCTCAAGGACCTGAAGAGTATGGCTGTCTCTTCTGCCTTTACAGAAAACAGGAGATCAGCCCTCTACTTCAAAACACGGGGAGACTGACAGGGAGAGGGTTCCTGAGGCAAGCCAGTAAAACTGACTGGAAAATGTGTGAGTAGCACAAACAGACAGACATTTTATCTCTCCAAGATGAATAAATTGTCTTTCAAACATTTCTCAGGAGGACATTTTGTCTGCTCCTCTCTCTCTGAGAAAAGAGCTATGCAGTTAAATTCGGTTATGAAAATTACAAGATTGTAAAAGCACATTTTACTCGCTTTATATATCCCCTAGGTGCCAAACATGTCATCTGGTGCATCAGACTTTTGAGTGCAGCGGAATCCGGTCCAGTCACTAGGCTGTAAACCAACTGCAGTGCTTTGGAATGTTTAGAATGTTTTTGAGGCAGCAGGTATTTATTCCAGTAAAGTGAGTGACCAAGCAACTTTGACTTTATTTATTAATTTGCAGCCTCATTCTCTTTAACCATTTAGATGATGAACTATACTTTATACAATGCTTATTTATTTCAATGGGAAGGTTTTTATTTAACCGTGATGTTTCACTATCATGTATGTAAATATTTTTTAAATAAATATTTGAAAATAAAATGTTGATGCTTCATTTGATCTGATTCTGCATCCTTGTTTTAGCTATGGATTTGAGCAGAGACACCTCATGTGAATGGAAAATAACTACCTGAATCAGTAATTTTGTATCACCATTGAGACAAACCATGACTGGCACATAATTGAAGCAGCACTAATCCACTTAAAGCCCTACACATCATAAAACTGCAAGACTCCTACATTTCCCTTTCATCACGACATAGTGGCGTGCGTTAGCTGCACGTCACCTGCTCCGAACACTAACCAAAGATTACAAACGTGTTCTGCATGTCTTAGACAAAACAGTCTCCAGCCAAACGTGAATGAAACTCCTCCGGTTCACCATTAATTTTTTGACAGGGGGCCAAGCCACCAGCTCCTGCGCCTAGAGAAAGGTGTTTTTGTCTGGGGTAGAACCTGGCGGCCACTGGGATCTCCTGGCTGCATTTCCCATTCCTGACAGGACAGTAACCTGAAACTTTTATTACACGGGTGTGAAACCCTTTTCAGCTCCTTTACGACCACCGTCTGTCCCAGACCACATTGTTCAGGGGCTGCAGCCCACACACACTGTCTGAGGGAGCTGAACCAAGCACCATCCACACTGAGACAATACGTTGTAAGGCGGCGGCCGACCACGCTCTCCAAATGGAGCGACTGAATGTCAACACCACATCTGATGATTGACATCAGTCTGGGCATGGGCCCCCGTGGTCGTCTGCACCAACATTGGACAGACACCATTGAGAGGATTTGGGTGGTACCCGGCGTACTGTGTATGAACTTACTTTTATACTACTTTCTCCGCTATTCCACACTGCTTGTGACTATGCCACTGCTCTCAATAAATGATTATACCGGCAAGGGGAGCTTGAGTAGACTTGGTACTGTACACTCATTCTGGTCACAAATGAATCCAAATGAAGTATTGTATGTTCAGTAATTGAAATAGCTGGTATGGATGGAGTGCATGTGTTCAGCTACTGCTGGGGGGTTTTCTACAGGGTTGAGTGTCACAACTCCTTTCTCCTCATCAGATGTTACTACAGTGCAGGGAGGGTCAGCTGCTTCTCTCTCTCCTGTCTCCACCATGTACAGTATGCTACAATCCCTGCTAAAATACCCAACTATTACACACTGTAAACCAAATATTTTAACTCTCGATCTATTTACAGTATCAGTATGAATTCAATCTATACACTTGTCTGGATAAATATTTTTTAATTTGGCAAAACATCCTTTTCAGACAAATTTCCAACACTAAACAATCTGTTAAAAATAAAGATTTACTGTATACTGTTTAAAAAATTGCCCATCAGACAATGGCATTACCATTCAACTATATTCTCAAGCTTTTAGAACCGACACAATAGAGCTACAGTACAGTATCTCCATCCTTTCTATCTGTCATATCATTGAACTGCCTTCATCTAACTGGCCCACCTATTCCTTTTGTCACACGCCCTTCACGTCTCCATATGCCTGTTCATCATATCTATGGACATAAACAATACAACAAAAATCCCATATCAAAATCGTTGTGCCCTGACAATCTAGATTAATGGATCAATTAAATCCAAACAGGTGAGGTGGAAATAAGGAAAACTGTGCCTCTACTGACACCTGTTGGATTACGAACAATATGGTACCATGACAACCTCTACATTACAATGGCCACACTCAAGCCCAGAGTGCTGAAGAGCAACAGTGGACCAACAGTTCCACCATGTCAACCTAACAGTAGTAAACGCCATAGTGTTGCTGCTCATTTGGAATTCACTCCAAACCCCCCAAACTTCCTCCAGTGGTACGGTCTGTTCTTAGAGCCCAGTGCAGACTGCTCCTGTTCCACTGTGCGGGCGGGGGCCAGATGGGGCCCGTCATACTGCAGAGGCTGCCGCCATTCGAGGGCCAATCGCACTGCTCGCTTCACCTGGCACAGCCAACACAGGAAGTGCACCTTTGATCAGTATGAGAGATGCTCTCAACGGGTGGAAGATCCAACTAAAATAAATACTGATCAATGGTGAATGTGAGTGGAAAGCATGAGCTGAGTGTTTTATATGATTTGGTGAATAAGAGGTGTGGAAAAGAGAGTTTGAAGGGCTTTATTGAGTGGTCTCATTAGATGAGGGTAGATTAGTTTGTCTGTCCCAGTGTCTGGATGTCTTCCTGGTCTCGTACCTGCTGGCTGATGCTGACAATCTGCTGGTACACGTCCTGCGGGGCCACACAGGCTTTAGGAGGCTCCGCCCCCTGGTCAAACTGGTCCTCTGAGGATTGGCAGTCAGACTGGCTGTCTGCATCATGTGACAGGGTTATCTTGTCAAGCCCACTGCACATTCTGGGGAAACAGGTTATGGAAATCTGTAATTAGCTTCCACCACAGTTAGTTTGTACACTTTGGGACTGGTGAACACACCCATATTTAGCCTATGAAAGGACTACAAAGCACTTCCAATTGAGACTCTCCATTGAACAAGCTTCTTTGTAGTCCATGAGAAGGCTTCATCTGGACCTGTGCAACTGCCCTTTAAACCAAATATGTCAAAAACATTAAAGTACTTGAGGTGTGCTTAATTTAGCTTGGATTCTGCACTTTGGGAACTATTCCACTGGTTCTATTGTACCTGGCACACTAAACCAAGTGAAGATTAAATATTTGACATATATCTTTCTGACTCAGGTCTGACCAGTTTTAGCAGTAACAGGGAGGGGTTGCAGACACACAGTGCTAGCCTAACCTTAGCACAGAGGATGCAGATTGTTTGCAGGCCTGGATGCTGTCCATCAGCTGGGCTTTGACCGTCCTGGCCGTTTCACTGGACAGAACCTCTGACACGGAGCAGCCTGGGAACAGACTCAGCAGCAGAGGGACCACCTACACACACACACAGACAGACAGACAGAGGGACAGATTTACTACAGCAGTCAGTTCTGCACCGTGGGAGTTCCGCACCACTTTATGAAACATTTATTACATAAAATGAAACGTGGGTTAAAAGAAAGAATCAAGCGTTCATGTATTTATAAAAAAACATGTTTGGTTTTCCCCCCAATCTGCATAGGAAACAAGTGGTGAGAGCTTTGTACTTGCATAACTCAGGCCCTTTGGTATTCCTGACAAAGTCACATTAAGCCCTAGCCATAAAAGCTCAGAAAATCTGGTCCATAGTTTTTGTACAGACCGAGGTTAGTTTTATGGATAGAGTGGATGAGACATATAGGCGTTGAGGGTCTTGCCTGATCATTAGTGGGGTCCAGGACGAGGGTACTGATGGCATCCTGCTTGGCCCCCTCCACGTTGGGCAGTTTACTGTGGGCTTTGGCTCGGTTCTCATAGTACCGGCTAACGCCAGGGTTGTAATTGATGGCCTCAGAGAACTTGTCAGCTGCCTCCTGGTACTTCCTGTGGTGAAGACAAGAAACAGTGCTGTGGATGACAGACTGAGACTCACCGGTCCTGGTAGCAGTTTGTTCCCAGGGTGTTGTGGATGAGACTCACCGGTCCTGGTAGCAGTTTGTTCCCAGGGTGTTGTGGATGACAGCGAGGCGGATCCAGATGAACTGGTCATCAGGAGTAATCTCCTCCGCCTGCTGGTAGTCAGCCAGGGCAAACTCCCACTCGTCCTGCTTGAAGAAACAGTCTGCACAAACCACAACAACCTTTATAATATCAGAGGTGATGTCTACTGTCTACTCAGATGCACTCATTCCTAAAACTGGATGTAATGGATGTAGGAATAGCCGCGGGAAGTAGGGGTGCTGATAAATCTGAAAAAAAGAAAAAAAATCCACAAAATTTGTGTACTGGCCCTTTATTACTCCTGTATGAGTGGACAAAAATTGTCGTCAGCAGCGTGGGGAGAAAAACATTCTCAGCACCCCCACCCTAAATATCTTCCCACGGCCATGGACATAGGTACTGACTTTATGCATGAATGTATTCAAGGTGTATGAGATATGAAATCACATCACCAGTCACTTTAAACACATTCTCTTTTGATCTCAGAGACTCCTGCCCACCGTCTATATTCACACAATATTGTTATTTCACAGGGCCAGACTTCAATTGCACTTTTTTCAAGAGGGAGCCCACAACCTTCCTCACCTAATTTCACCTTAGCCAAACTCACCTCCTTCGCCTCCACTTCCTCCCACCCCCTCAGACATACCTCACTTCCCTCATCTTCCCCTCATCTCCCCTCCACTCCTTTCCCCTCCCCTCCTCTCCCCTCCCCTCCTATCACCTCCTCTGTTGATATAGAGGCCACTCTCCTCCTTCTGCTCCTCGATGGCCTTGTTGAGCAGCATGACTGCCTCTTTGTAGAAGCTACGGGAGAAGCACTGCACGGCAAAGTCGTTGTAGGTGAGCACCAGCTGGACCTGGGCCTCCTCCTGCACGGCCCTCCAGTCTTCCTGGGTGTGTCCGCTCAGCTCCGACCCCTGGTCTCCCTCGTCTCCAGCCTCACTCAGCTCCACAGCCAGGACCAAGTCCTCAATGGCAGCAGTAAAGTCTTTCAGCCTGCGGTACAGAATACCCCTATAGTGCAAAATACTACATTTTAGTGTATAATAGACAGTATGTATCCTCATTTACTATAGATTGGTAGAGAAAATTATCCTAACAAGTACATGTAGATGTATATCTCTTCAGTGGTAGCGGAGAATGGTCTGGTAAAATGGGGTCAGGCATGTATCAGATAAACCACAGGCCTAATCAACACCCTTGCTTGCTGTATCAGAACCTGATAAAATACTCTGCCATCAATACCTGAAGAGGTAGTGCTGCCCAGTCTCAGGGCAATGCTCCAGGGCCATGTTGATCTTGGTCAGGGCCTCTGTGAGCTCCCCTGCCAGGGCCCTGCTGACTGCCTGCTGCCTGGCCCTCTCACTGGCCTCCTCTAGCTGGTCCAGCAGGGCACCTGCCTCTGGGCACGACGGACTGAGGGCCAAAGCTGACCTCAGATCATGGTAGCACATTTTTACCTGTATAGAGAATGGTGCTGTTATTACATTAGAATGCATGTAAATGAGACTTTTGATCATTTATATAGATAGGCACTAGAAGGCGATGTCAGAGCAGATAAAAGTGGCAATGACGTCACACGTGTTGAGCAAGTTCATAAGCTATTTGTCCCTAGGGTTACAACTACAAATCGCCACACCTTTGTTATTTCTAGCATGGTATTGTCAGATATTGCCCAGTGTTAACACAGAGGTAACGGAGTGTGAGAGTGTACTGCTGACCTGGTTGAGCTGTTTGTGGAGCCGTGCTCTGAGGGTGAACAGATCTGCGGTCTGAGAGTCTGCCTCCAGCCAGTTGCTGACCAGCCTCAGACAGTCAGTATAGCGGCCCAGGGCCGTCAGACATGCCAGGCTACAACAGCAACAAAGGGGGACACTTCAGTAGTTCACACTTTAAATCTTAGGTGAATAGCACCATCGCCTGGCTGTAAAAGGAGTCTGTCTGTCTGTAGAGACGGCTGAGGTTAAAGGATCGCACATGACCTCCTTACGCCGCGTCCACACAGGTTATTGCCGTACGGTACATTTTACGTAGACTTCACAATCCATGTGCCGCATCACAACTAAACGAATCACACCACACATTAGCAACTTCTTCTGTGGTTTACTAATGGTACCGCACGGCAAAGCAGGTTTTAAAAATCCAACACATGCGACACACTGCACGCAGTGCCATGCACCGCAACCTAGTCCCGCAGATGAGTCGCAGCGGTGCAGATTGCCTCCCAATGAAATGAATGGACATCTGCCGGAATGGATACAGTTTGACGTAACCGGTATGCACGAGGCGTTAGGCAGATAACATATGGATACAGCCAAAGAAAGTGTTTGTAAATAGTGGAAACAGTAACACGTCTATTCATTTTTATGCACATAGCTCTCCATGTGAATACCTCGTATTTCACACTGACCTCCTCATGTGATATGACCTGCAGCTAGGCTTTAGCTCAGCAGCCTTGGCAAACGACTCCAGAGCATCCAGGAACATGCCCTTATCATACAAACATTGGCCCTGTGGAGCGGACAATATTTGATATATTACAAACTGTTTTCAAGTGAAAGCAAGAGGTATTTCATTAGTGCTGGATGCTTGCTTGACTGTGTAGGAATGATCATCCTGTCTGAATCTGAGACTATTCTAAGAAGATCACACAGCAGGCCGCTTTGGGGGACAGCCTCCCTTCCCACTCTCACCTGTAGGTAATAGATGAATGCCAGGCGTGTGTGTAAGGTCTTAGCCTGAGGCTCCAGGAGGCAGGCATGTCTGTAGCTGACAGCTGCAGACTGGAAGTCACATAACTGTAAATAGGCCTCCGCCTGGCTCACATAGAGCTGGGTCTGGAAGTCAGGACACATATGACAACTTAAGACAATTATTTCAGACAAATAATCAATCTCACTCCCGTCTGTTCTACTTCCAACAGCAGTTACTGAAGATTTTCAGAATGATTTGGTACTGATGTCAATTTATGTGGTTCTGTACCTGTTTCGGCTGAAGATTGATGGCTTTGGCGAAGCATGTCACAGCCTTTGAAAATTGGGACTCTGCCATTGCCTCTTCTCCATTCTCATAGCTGCAAATTGATAAATCTAGGTGAGAGTGACCATTTTACATTTACGTCATTTAGCAGACGCTCTTATCCAGAGCGACTTACAGTTAGTGAGTGCATACATTTTTCATACTGGCCCCCCGTGAGAAACGAACCCACAACCCTGGCGTTGCAAGCGCCATGTTCTACCAACCGAGCTACAGGAGGCCTATGGCAACTCATCTTCAGAGATCCTATAGACATGTGTGATCAAAGTAATACATTGTCAAAGAAGCTGCATCAACCTGTTGCCATGTCAAACTCACTGTTCGATGGCTTTGTTTGTTATAACGTTAATGAGATCAGACCGGTCCCCTCTCCGGCATTCAGATGATAGGAAGATGCTGCTGGACCCAAAGAGGCGGCAGATGGCCTGTTTACGCCGCGCCTCCACGAGCACTTTATCCGATACAGCAGTGGGGAAGAAATCCCTGTCGTCGTCGACCTGTTGGTCCATCTTCAGAGCAGGAACAGCCATGCCTTATATTATGCAGCTAACGTTACCTAGCCATTTGTTGGCATTCATAGCTAGCTAGGTAATGTAGGGGATAGCAAAATTGGCTACTTTATAATTCTAACGTACCAAAGTATTTGCATATAACTGGCTAGCTAGCTACTTAGCTATTAGTGCGAAAAGTTTCTGCACAGCTGTTTTTCTCTCTTTGCTTTCAGTGTTGATAGCGCCATGTAACCAAGGCAACGAACGAGACGTGGGGATATACCATGCCCATTCTGTCTGGCTGTCTGATTAATCACAAGCATTTGTCGCATAAATAATACATTTACATTTTAGTAGACGCGCTAGAGCGAGTGAGTACATACATTTTTCATACTGGCCCCCCGTGGGAATCGAACCCACAACCCTGGCGTTGCAAACGCCATGCTCTACCAACTGAGCTACACGGGGCAACAATTTCAATTGTAATGTTTTGAAAACTCTTTCAACCTTTAACTTGAGTGGAAAAGGAGAAGCGATTTGTTTTACTCGGCCCAAAATCGGTCCATGAAAATAGGCACACGAAGTGAGGAATTTTTGTATGGAGGTCAAGGAGAGAGTGGGCTGATTCGATTATGCTGAGCCGCGGGACACGCCCGTGACGTGCAAAAGCAGGGAGGGCGTCGCGACCTTCTCAAATCGAACAGTAATCTGCGCCGCTCGGTCATGTTGTCAACAAGGCACCATGTGCACCGTCCAGAAACATACAACATCTATTTTCCATAAAACATATGTGTGAATTTTCAAACTAGTTTTAATTGAGAAGATAACGCGTTTTTTTTATCAAAGGCAATCATGTGAAAACAGAATCCTTATCATTACTCCTCGTGCTTAATTACGTCACTTTGTTTTGAGCCGATTTCGCCATGGGCTTTGAACGGGGCACCTGGCTAACGCACGGGAGGCAGCCCGGTTCCAAAACGAATACAATCAACTTCACCCGGGTCAGATTAATCGAATCCCCTTACAGTGAATTTGGTAAACAACCGTTTGTATTGCTAATGTCCTACTTGAGGTGTATGTGATCGAATAGAAATTTCGTAATAGTTAGGTTGTTACAAATGCATTGATAAAAGTGGACGCACGTGGCAACTAAAAAACGTTTAAAAACGAAATGAGAGGTGTCCCTGTTGTCATAGAGATAGATAGAGGATATAATCCGTTTTAGCCTTGACCTTGCCATTGAGGGCTTCCACCATTTTAAAGTAGTTAACTAGGTGGGATTCCTATGAGTTGAGAGCAATCCACCAATGAAGAAGAAGAACATTTACTATGGAGATTGCCTCAATGGCGCTGTCCATGCTTTTACCGACTGCTATAATGGCACAGATTCAAATATGAGTCCTCTATCTATCCTTATGGCCTGTTGTTCACACGCGTATCTGCCCTCTCATTGGCTAGATGGGTCCCACCTGATCTCGCCTCGCCTGCCTTCCATCTTTGAGCACATGTATTTCCATTGTTAGAGCGGTCACTTGACCGAAGATATTTATAACTAGCCCAAGATAATTCATCTGTGTCGTTTACAGTGGGCGCAAATGAAGCATGGTGGGCAAAGCCATGAACGAGCTAGCGATATTCTATTGGCGCGTTGTAGCATGTATTTGCGTATTTCCGTTAGGGAACGCCTTCTCTGTGAAATGAAGTAAGGAACGCCCAACAGCTGCAACTTTTATTTTGAAAAACGAAACCGGAAATAGCAAATTTTTGCTAGCATGGGCATCAGCTGATTCTATGAAAACATATGACCAGATTTGACAATGCGCTGTTCGGTCGGTAAATTGACAACATTGAAACGGATATATTGCTTTAAAAATTGTAATATAATTATGATTTTCGTTCTTTCCTGATAAATGTATTCTTGAATTAAGGGGTTGTATTCTCATGCGCGGTGGTAGTTTTCCCTTCGCGAGATTTTTTTGTACAGGCTTGCTAAATTAGCTGTCGCTGGCTCTGCATGTCCAGCATTCATGGTTGTCAAGTGACTGCGAACAGGACAAACCATGATTGAAATCCAAAATGAGTCAAGACGATTGCTTGATACAGAAGATGGAGAAGAAGAGACAGGAGTGAGGTCGGATCAGGACGCATATCTTGAGTAAGTTTGTTATTGATTATGTTAGAAACATGTCTGCAATAAAAGTTTTAACCCAATATCTTTGGAGGCCCGATACCACCTAGCATGATGCTGTTCTTTACTAAAAACATGGTCTCGTTTTGTTGGGTTGGTGAAGTCTTGCATGTAATGTTATTGTTACAATAGATGCTGATTTGTAACCCCACCTGTTCTATCTTTCAACAGCAAGGTGAAGAATGAAAAGCTGTTCCTGGCCTCTTTTGCAGCTGTCCTTGGTCCCCTAAGTTTTGGGTTCGTATTGGGGTACAGTTCCCCTGCCATCCCTGAACTAAGCACAATCACTGACCTAAGATTACGACTAGACGATGACGAGGCTTCGTGGTTTGGGGTGAGATAACTTTCTTGTCATGAGGCCCAGAATTTTTTTTTCTGTCATAACCCTACCAGGATAAGCTTTGAATCCTGCTATAACGAGGACTCAGCGTTTTTCTTGGTCAGGCCACGCCACTCTGTTAGGGGCTAACTCAGGGCCCTAATCATTCCTGAGTGGATGAAAATTGACATTAGCCACTTAATTGACCGTTTTTTTTTTTTTTTTCTGTTTTGTAGTCTATCGTGACGATAGGAGCTGCTATAGGAGGTCTACTCGGCGGTTGGATGGTGGACAAGATCGGGAGGAAGCTGAGTCTTATGTTCTGCTCCATACCTTATATCTTTGGTTTTACTATCATCATTGCTGCTCAGAATGTCTGGATGCTGTATCTTGGGAGGGTACTCACAGGACTGGCAAGTGGGGTTACTTCACTTGTGGTGCCAGTAAGTACTATGGAATGTCTACTCCTATGCTATCTGCTTAAGTTTAAGGTCAGAGAGAGTTACAATTGACCAAGATGCATGACGATAAGTGTACTATGTGAATGCCTGCATTCTAATTAGCTTATTTCCTCATATATTCCTATTTTACATAGCACCTCACATGTTTAATTATTTCTAGTGATATGCCATGCTGCATACTCTTCCTGTGTGAAAATCGTTTTTCACTTTTCTCTAGCTGTACATCTCAGAGATTGCCCATGAGCGTGTCCGTGGGACACTGGGCTCTTGTGTTCAGCTCATGGTGGTCACGGGAATCATGGGAGCATATATAGCAGGTATGCCACAGTAGGTGTCCGTTTGTTAGCAGTATTTGGATGTTATGACTTTATGGTTTTGAATCTCATGAGAAACTCTCTGACATTTTTCATATTGTATCTGGTCAGCAGACAGGATTTCTGACCATGTCACTAAGGATTTCTCAGTGTTATACAACTTTATGACAGAGGTTACAACAGTAGTCATACGGGTAGAGGTTAATGTTTTAATGATGTGGTGCAAGGTTTTTCCAATCCCAAACGGTATTGGCAACCAAACCTTGATAATCACGTCATGTCATGTGATCATCATCGCCAGGAATGATCAAGATTCCACCCTGCTTACTGAGAGAGCTCTCTCATTTGTGCCTTCCTCCCAAGCCACCGCTATGCCTAATCTAGTTACCGACATGCCATGCTTGTTTCTCCAGATACTTTCCTCAATAGACAGTACTATTGCAGGCGTGGTAGGCTGTTTTGTCTCATTAGTGTCTTATGCTTAGAAGGAATGGTCTTTGGCTGAGGAATGTTGTGAGGCAGAGGCTTTTCATTATCCCATTGTCTGTATATGCTCTTCTAATTTTGCATTTCTTTCAATTTAGTGAACAGGGGTGATGGATACTAATAATCAACATTCTAGATTTTCATTGTTCATGTTCTGGTGTTACATACAGTGAGGGGAAAAAAGTATTTGATCCCCTGCTGATTTTGTATGTTTGCCCACTGACAAAGAAATGATCAGTCTATAATTTTAATGGTAGGTTTATTTGAACAGTGAGAGACAGAATAACAACAAAAAAATCCAGAAAAACACATGTCAAAAATGTTATAAATTGATTTGCATTTTAATGAGGGAAATAATTATTTGACCCCCTCTCAATCAGAAAGTTTCTGGCTCCCAGGTGTCTTTTATACAGGTAATGAGCTGAGATTAGGAGCAAACTCTTAAAGGGAGTGCTCCTAATCTCAGTTTGTTACCTGTATAAAAGACACCAGTCCACACAAGCAATCAATCAATCAGATTCCAAACTCTCCACCATGGCCTAGACCAAAGAGCTCTCCAAGGATGTCAGGGACAAGATTGTAGACCTACACAAGGCTGGAATGGGCTACAAAACCATCGCCAAGCAGCTTGGTGAGAAGGTGACAACAGTTGGTGCGGTTATTCGCAAATGGAAGAAACACAAAATAACTGTCAATCTCCCTCGGCCTGGGGCTCCATGCAAGATCTCACCTCGTGGAGTTGCAATGATCATGAGAACGGTGAGGAATCAGCCCAGAACTACACGGGAGGATCTTGTCAATGATCTGAAGGCAGCTGGGATAATAGTCACCAAGAAAACAATTGGTAACACACTACGCCGTGAAGGACTGAAATCCTGCAGCGCCTGCAAGGTCCCCCTGCTCAAGAAAGCACATATACAGGCCCATCTGAAGTTTGCCAATGAACATCTGAATGATTCAGAGGAGAACTGGGTGAAAGTGTTGTGGTCAGATGAGACCAAAATGGAGCTCTTTGGCCATCAACTCAACTCGCCGTGTTTGGAGGAGGAGGAATGCTGCCTATGACCCCAAGAACACCATCCCCACCGTCAAACATGGAGGTGGAAACATTATGCTTTGGGGGTGTTTTTCTGCTAAGGGGACAGGACAACTTCACCGCATCAAAGGGACGATGGACGGGGCCATGTACCATCAAATCTTGGGTGAGAACCTCCTTCCGTAAGCCAGGGCATTGAAAATGGATCGTGGATGGGTTTTCCAGCATGACAATGACCCAAAACACACGGCCAAGGCAACAAATTAGTGGCTCTAGAATAAGCACATTAAGGTCCTGGAGTGGCCTAGCCAGTCTCCAGACCTTAATCCCATAGAAAATCTGTGCAGGGAGCTGAAGGTTCGAGTTGGCAAACGTCAGCCTCGAAACCTTAATGACTTGGAGAAGATCTGCAAAGAGGAGTGGGACAAAATCCCTCCTGAGATGTGTGCAAACCTGGTGGCCAACTACAAGAAACGTCTGACCTCTGTGATTGCCAACAAGGGTTTTGCCACCAAGTACTAAGTCATGTTTCGCAGAGGGGTCAAATACTTATTTCCCTCATTAAAATGCAAATCAATTTAACATTTTTGACATGCGTTTTTCTGGATTTTTTTATTGTTATTCTGTCTCTCACTGTTCAAATAACCTACCATTACAATTATAGACTGATAATTTCTTTGTCAGTGGGCAAACTTACAAAATCAGCAGGGGATCAAATACTTTTTTCCCTCACTGTAATATCAACAACACCGCTGTCTGTGGAATCCAGAACGTCATTTGTGGTTCATTTTCACTCTGAATGATCCTACTAGGGTCATCACGCTACTGTCCTCTCACATTCCCTACTCTACTATGTCTGCCTCTGCTTCCCAGGGATGTTTCTGGACTGGCGCTGGCTTGCAATCTGCTGCTCCATCCCCCCGACCGTGATGATGGTGTTCATGTGTTTCATGCCCGAGACCCCCAGGTTCCTGCTGTCTCAGGGTAAACGGAGGGAAGCCGAGGAGGCACTGCGCTTTCTGAGGGGACCAGACGCCCCTGCAGAGTGGGAGTGTGCCCGCATCGAGGACACTTCTGACGACCAGGTGAGCTTTGTGTATTCGCTAGTAATCATGAGGTATAAGACTTGCTTTGAAAAAGGTATTATGCAATTGCACAATATAAGGGACAAAGGTATGGATTGTGAAATATTGATCAGATGGGGAGAGAGAGTCACCTCTGTGTTGCACTTAACCAAATCAATAAGAACATGAGGAACAATCCAAAACTTTTAACCGCAGGAACTCTTGTCTTTACTTGCACGGATATGTGTCTGAGTGAGTATATCAGCCCCACTACTATAGGGAAGCAGAGCCGAGATAAACTTGGCAGCGCTGAGAAACGATTGTCCGCCACGCTGTGGATTTAGTCTGAGGAGAATCGGGAACAAAGAAGCATGCTAACACATCTGACTCATGTTAATGGAAATAAGAGGGTTTGGTGACTGTGTGCTTGGTGTTAAAACCAGGGAGGTAGTTTGGGGATGGCTGATCTTAAGGACCCTGGAGTATACAAGCCCCTTGGAGTGGGCATCATGTTGATGCTCTTCCAGCAGCTCACCGGTATCAACGCCATCATGTTCTATGCTGAGACTATCTTCGAGGAAGCCCATTTTAAGGTAAGAATTGTTAAGTGTTATTTGAGGTATTTTGGCTGCTGGAATGAGCAATTCCTTATTTATTATTGTATTTTTTTACAATTCCAATTGTTTTAATACACTGAACACAAATATAAAAGTAACATGCAACAATTTCAAATATTTTACTGAGTTACAGTTCATATAGGAAATCAGTCTATTGAAATAAATAAATTAGAACTGGGACATTTTCAGCTTCCAGGAATTGTGCACAGATCCTTGCGACATGGGGCTGTGCATTATCATGCTGAAACACGAGGTGATGGCTGCGGAACAATGGCATGACAATGGGCCTCAGGATCTCTCGTCATTGTATTTTTGTGCATTAAAATTGTCATTGACAAAATGCAATTATGTTCGTTGTCCGTAGCTTATACCTGTCCATACCATAACCCCACTGCCACCATGGGGCATTCTGTTCACAACGTTGACATCAGCAAACCGCTTGCCCACACGATGCCATACACGCTGTCTGCCATCTGCCCGGTACAGTTGAAACCGGGATTAATCCGTGAAGAGCACACTCTTCAGCGTGCAGTGGCCATCGAAGGTGAGCATTTGCCCGCTGAAGTAGGTTACGACGCCGAACTGCAGTCAGGTCAAGACCCTGGTGAGGACGACGAGCACGCAGATGAGCTTCCCTGAGCCGGTTTCTGATAGTTTGTGCAGAAATTATTTGGTTGTGCAAACCCACAGTTTCATCAGCTGTCCGGGTGGCTGGTCTCAGATGATCCCGCAGGTGAAGTAGCCGGATGTGGAGGTCCTGGGCTGGCATGGTTACACATGGTCTGTGGTTGTGAGGCCGGTTGGACGTACTGCCAAATTCTCTAAAATGACGTTGGAGGCAGCTTATGGTAAAGAAATTAACATTTAATTATCTGGCAACAGCTCTGGTGGACATTCCTGCAGTCAGCATGCCAATTTCACACTCCCTCAAAACTTGAGACATCTGTGGCATTGTGTTGTGACAAAACTGCACATTTTAGAGTGGCCTTTTATTGTCCCCAGCACAAGGTGCACCTGTGTAATGATCATGCAGTTTAATCAGCTTCTTGGTATGCCATGCCTGTCAGGTGGATGGATTATCTTGGCAAAGGAGAAATGCTCACTAACAGGGATGTAAACAAATTTGTGCACAAAATTTGAGAGAAATCAGCTTTTTGTGCATAAGAAATATTTCTGGGATCTTTTATTTCAGCTCATGAAACGTGGGACCAACACTTTACATGTTGCGTTTTATATTTTTGATCAGTGTAGATTTATTGGTTCGATTAATTTTTGTCTTATCTCATTACTATTCATAAGCTGTAATATGATTATCTAAATAATATAGATACTATGAATATTGACATGCCAGTCGGGTTAAATTTATTAAAATGGCAGATGGTGATTTTGTTTTTCAGAACAGCAACGTTGCTACTGTGGTAGTAGCAGCAACCCAGGTAGTGTTCACTGCAGTAGCAGCATTGGTCATGGACCGCGCTGGAAGAAAGCTTCTCCTCATCCTCTCAGGTGCATATGTCTCACAAGCGCATGTGTCTGTCTGTTTGTGTAATATCAGATACTTAACTTTCTTCCTCTACTGTCTCGTTTGCTGTATTGTAGATTGCTCTCTGTTACTCTTTTTTTGTATCAGCATTAGCACAGTACACAATCCAAATCTCCCAAGACACCAACAATTTAAAAAAAGAAAAAAAAAGAAAAAGTAGATTGTGCTGATTTATGGGCGCATTGAACAATGTCACGTGCCGTAGTTTAAAAACTGTGGATAGTTCTAAAACAATGACGTCATATCTGTACTCTTCCATCTTTATGCACATTCACCATTGTGAAAATAAATACATTTATCTCTCTCTTCCTCCCTCCCTTTATATATCAAGGAGTTTCTATGTGCCTAAGCACTGCTGCCTTTGGTGTCTACTTCAATTTGTCCAGTGAAACCCATGGTAACCACCATGGTAACTCCTCAGGACTTGGCCTAGTAGAGAGTCCCCTATCAGATGACCATGTGGCTGAGCTGTCCTGGCTCGCACTGGCCAGCATGGGCTTCTTCATCACAGGTGAGCTCCACACTCTCTTTAGTCTAGAAAACGGACTATTGTTGCCCAGCGAACTGTCCTGACTAGATTAACAAACGTTTGAAAAGAATTGTCGGCAATTCGGAAAGTAGTTCAGACCCCTTCCCTTTATCCACATTTTGTTACGTTACAGCCTTATTCTAAAATTGATTAAAAACATTTTTTTCTCATCAATCTACACACAATACCCCATAATGACAAAGTGAAAAATGTTTTTAAAAATGTTTGCAAATGTATTACATTTAAAAACAGAACTACTTTATTTACATAAGTATTCAGACCCATTGCTATGCGACTTGAAATTGGGCTCAGGTGCATCCTGTTTCCATTGATCATCCTTGAGATGTTTCTCCACCTGCAGTAAATCCAATTAATTGGATATGATTTGATGACGCAAACTCAATCGCACACAACACTGCCCTTTCCCACCTGGACAAAAGGAACACCTATGTGAGAATGCTGTTCATTGACTACAGCTCAGCGTTCAACATCATAGTGCCCACAAAGCTCATCACTAAGCTAAGGACTTCCTGACGGGCTGCCCCCAGGTGGTAAGGGTAGGCAACAACACATCTGCCACGCTGAACCTCAACACGGGGGCCCTTCAGGTGTGTGTGCTTAGTCCCCTCCTGTACTCCCTGTTCACCCACGACTGCGTGGCCAAGCACGACCCCAACACCATCATTAAGTTTGCTGACGACACAACAGTTGTAGGCCTGATCACAGACAACGATGAGACAGCCTATAGGGAGGAGATCAGAGACCTGGCAGTGTGGTGCCAGGACAACAACCTCTCCCTCAATGTGAGCAAGACAAAGGAGCTGATCGTGGACTACAGGAAAAGGAGGGCCGAACACGCTCGCATTCACATCAACAGGGCTGTAGTGGAGTGGGTCGAGAGTTTCAAGTTCCTTGGTGTCCACATCACCAACAAACTACCATGGTCTAAACACACCAAGACAGTCGTGAAGAGGGCATGACAATACCTTTTCCCCCTCAGGAGACTGAAAAGATTTGGCATGGGTCCCCAGATCCTCAAAGTTCTACACCTGCACCATCGAGAGCATCCTGACCGGTTGCATCACCGCCTGGTATGGCAACTGCTCTGCATCATACCGTAAGGCGGTACAGAGGGTAGTGCGTCCTGCCCAGTACATCACTGGGGCCTAGCTTCCTGCCATCCAGGACCTATATACTAGGAAGGCCAAAAAAATGGTCAAAGACTCCAGTCACCCAAGTCATAGACTGTTCTCTCTGCTACCGCGCGGCAAGCGGTACCGGAGCGCCAAGTCTAGGTCCAAAAGGCTCCTTAACAGCTTCTACCCCCAAGCCATAAGACTGCTGAACAATTAATCAAATGGCTACCCGGACTATTTACATTGACCCCCTTTGTTTTTACACTGCTGCTACTCGCTGTTTTATTAATTATGCATAGTTACTTTACTCCTACCTACATGTACAAATTACCTTGACTAACCTGTACCCCCCGCACATTGACTTGGTACCGGTACCCCCCTGTATATAGCCTCGTTATTGTTATTTTATTGTGTTACTTATTTTTTTTATTAACTCTATTTCTTGAACTGCATTGTTGGTTAAGGGCTTGTAAGTAAGCATTTCACGGTAAGGTCTACACCTGTTGTATTCGGCGCATGTGACAAATAAAATGTGATTTGATTTTGAAAGGCACACACCTGTCTATATAAGGTCCCACAGTTGACCGTGCATGTCAGAGCAAAGTCCAAGCCATGAGGTTGAAGGAATTGTCCGTAGAGCTCCGAGACAGGATTGTGTCGAGGCACATATCTGTGGAAGGGTACCAAAACAATTCTGCAGTATTGAAGGTCCCCAAGAACACAGTGGCCTCCATCATTCTTAAATGGAAGAAGTTTGGAAGAGCTGGCCGCCCGGCCAAACTGAGCAATTGGGGAAGAAGAACCTTGGTCAGGGAGGTGACCAAGAACCCGATGGTCACCCTGACAGAGCTCCAGAGTTCCACTGTGGAGATGGGAGAGCCTTCCAGAAGGACAACCATCTCTGCAGCACTCCACCAATCAGGCCTTTATGGTAGAGTGGCCAGACGGAAGCCACTCCTCAATAAAAGGCACATGACAGCCTGCTTGGAGTTTGCAAAAAGGCACCTAAAGGAACAAGATTCTCTGGTCTGATGAAACCAAGATTCAACTATTTGGCCTGAATGCCAAGTGTCACATCTGGAGGAAACCTGGCACCTTCCCTACGGTGAAGCATGGTGGTGGCAGCATCATGCTGTGGGGATGTTTTCCTTGATGAAAACCTGCACCTGCTCCAGAGCGCTCAGGACCTCAGACTGGGGCGAAGGTACACCTTCCAACAGGACAACGACCCTAAGCACACAGCCAAGACCAACGCAGGAGTGGTTTCGGGACAAGTCTCTGAATGTCCTTGAGTGGCCCAGCCAGAGCCTGGACTTGAACCCGATCAAACATCTCTGGAGAGACCTGAAAATAGCTGTGCAGCGACACTGCCCATCTAACCTGACAGCTTGAGAGGATCTGCAGAGAAGAATGGGAGAAACTCCCCAAATACAGGTGTGCCAAGCTTGTAGCGTCATACCCAAGAAGCCTTGAGGCTGTAATCGCTGCCAAAGGTGCTTCAACAAAGTACTGAGTAAAGGGTTTGAATACTTATGTAAATGTGATTTTTCTGTTTTTTTATTTGCAAACATTTCTAAAAACCTGTTTTTACGTTGTAATTGTGGGGTATTGTGTGTAGATTGAGGGGGGGAAACTATTTAATCCATTTTAGAATAAGGCTGTAACAAAATGTGTAAAAAGTCAAGGGGTCTGAATACTTTCTGAATGTTTTAGTTAGAGTATAGTGGGTTTAGTCACCTATAAGTTATTCCATGTGTTTTGAGCTTAATTTAGAAATTACTATTAACCATATACCCATTTATATTTTAAGTTCAGATCTGACATTTTGCCTAGTGTGAAATATGTTTTCTCATCGTCATACCTTGTTGTCCATTCAGGTTTTTCTCTTGGTTGGGGTCCCATCCCCTGGCTGGTGATGTCCGAGATCTTTCCTTCGCGAGTAAAGGGGTTTGCCAGCTCTGTTTGTGTCCTCACCAACTGGGGCTCTGCCTTCATCATCACCAAGACCTTCCAGGACCTGATGGTGAGCTGGTGCTGATTTGGGGCATCCTGTGTGGCAGACGTGGGGGATAAAGGGATGTTGAGCGGGCAGATAGAGGGCTTGGCAGGAAGTCATTTTGCAGTTATGGTTTGCCTGTTCTTAGCCTAGCAGAGACAAAAATGTCTATATGCAAACTTCAACATAATGTTTTATTACAGATACACAAACATTGCTATGTAGACAGATAGACACTAAACACCGAACAAGGTAGTTTACTCTGCAGTTCAGGTGCAGTGTCCATGTCAAGACAAAACACAGTTTAGAGGATCAGCTAAGATGTCTGAGGTAATACTGGTAACTAAGGATGAATTTGGGAATTGTAATAACAATCCATGAAAAAATGTATTTCAGGACCTTCTGACCAGTGCTGGGACCTTCTGGCTGTTTTCTGGGTGTTGTGCGCTCAACATAGTCTTCACCATCATCTTCGTCCCGGAGACCAAAGGCAAAACTCTGGAGCAGATCCAGGCACGATTCAAAGGGACTCCAGAACAATTAAGCTACAATAGACAAACTTAACGCCAACCCCAAATATAACATCAACAAGGACAGAACTACAGTTTCAGGCGTCTCATGATACTATTTGGTCGATAGTTCTCTGGGTAGTCCTATCTGGATGGTCCTTTAAAATGAGATAATCTATCACTTTCTATTACTTGAAAAGGTATAAATGGTTGTGGCTGACTTATGCCTGTTATGCGCTACTCTCAGACTTAGTAGTGGGCACTGCAGTCTGAGCCTTTGGCCTTTTGGGCATCCTGAATTAATGCTGGACCTCTTAAGCCCCCTTTAATGGTACTTGTACACATTTTTTCACAGGTGTAATTCAGTTCACACATCACACTTGAAGATTCACTAAATATGTGTGCACCGGAGATATTTGTCAATTTTACTTACAATGCTTGCATTTCATTATGTTTATGTATTTGTATTTTTTTTACAGTACAAGAACAGTTTACAACATTTTCAAAAGTGAGAGAACAATTAAGGTTATGTGCATAGAAGTAAGAATTTGGCCCATAATGATAATTAGATTGATAATTTAATTGACTGATTTAATGTTCGCTTTGTACAATCAAATCAAATGTTATTTGCCACATGCGCTGAATACAAGAGGTGTAGACATTACCGTGAAATGCTTACTTACAGCCCTTAACCACAAATGTCCTGTTGGAATTATTTGTCATGTTTTTCTTCTAAATTAACTGAATGTTTTTACTAAAACATTTTAGAAAGGTGGAGAAAAGTATGTAATTATGTTAAGAATGGCTGAGTGTGAATACACATATGAAGTATCAATGCACACTAATATAAAGTGGTATACTATTACTGGTGCCAAAACATTGAAACGGAATGTGCTACAGTAGTGAATGGTCATAATATCATGTTAATAAAAGAGACTCCTCTATATCATTCATACTAGCACTGTAAATTTTTTCCATAGACATTCTATGTGTTTTTTATTCTGAATGGTTCTAGGGGTTATGAGGTCTGTTCAGTGGGCACTCTTAACTGTATGGAAGCCTAGCGGTTAGATAAGCGAGCCAGCAACCGGAGGGTTTCCAGTTCAAAACCCAGGTCTGACGGGAAAAATCTGTTGGGAAGTGAGCTGGCAACCAAAGGTTTGCTGGGATCAAATCCTAGATGCCATTTCCTGCTGTTGTGCCCTTGAGCACAACAACTGCTCCACGGGCGCCCAGTGTGCAGCCCCCTCCTCCAATCTGTATGTGTGTCTGTCGGAGGGGTTGGGATAAAAGCAGAAGTCAAATTTTGGTTGGACCTTGTGTACAATTGACGAATAAAGTGATTTTAATATTTTAATAAGAAGACTGCATGAAATCACTATTGCAAAGAAATGAGTGTGAGTGACTAACCCTTGATAGACATTTCTCAACCTTTTGGTGGGTCTTCTTTTGATCGCCTACACCTGCAATTATCTGCCTTATTTCCCATCATTTTACATTTGTATAAACTTGTAAGGGCTTTTGTTGACTTCTGCACTTTTAATATCATTAACATTTTCTGAGATTATACAGTATGTCGTCTATCATGTTTTAAAGCCTTTCAGCTTTGAATGGAAATGTCAGCTTCTTTGTTGTTCCCTGGCCTCTATCATGTTAGGAATGTGTCTCCATTATGTTAAGCATGTTATATCACCTCTGTTAAAAGATTTGGGTAGATGCAGCATTACAATGTGGAAGTTACATTCTAAGGTTTATTTAAAATATCAAATCTTGTTTTTTTGTTGTTGGACAATATGGTATGTTTCAGTATTCACATGTGATACTGTGCTCTAATTACACATCACTACTATATCCATTGCTGAAAAGTGAGTATGCATTACCTACAGGGTACAGGAATGTGCAATTACCTAATTGGTGGCTGGTGAATGTGAAGGCGGCATTAGGAACATTTCCAAGTACTTAGAGGAAGATATAAAGGTCCACATCCAGGAGACCTCCCACTCTAATCTATTTTATTCTACTTGCTTGGTCTCACAACAGGGTCTGTGTTATTTCTCTCTTTATTTGTTCATCATGTTTTTAGTGGTGACCGTATTCAGCGTGATGCTATGGACTCAGTGTCTCAATGCTGATATTCATCCACAAAAGGACTTTGATCTACAAAGGGTGAGAACAATGATATGATATTTGTCAATGTGCTGTGGTAGGCAGTTTTTTCTGATAAAAGCACTGTGGTTTTTGACCTTTTATTAAATGTTTTACTCTTTGTTAAATGCCTGATTTAGACACATTTTTTATCCTCTGAAATCTGATTAACTAAATGTATCTATGGTATAACCGTAGTATATGGAAAACCTTGTTTGAAACAGAAAAGTTTCTGAATTGAAAAACAAACAGTAGCGAGGTCAAAGAACAGCAGTGGAATTTCAACTTTGTGTTGTTGTTTGTTTAGACCATTACATAAGATTGGTCTTTTTTGTGTGTTTTGAATCCTGTTTTGTGAACATTTATTGTAACATGTACCCTGAAATATTATTTTTAAACAATTGCTAATATTTGTTCTTAATTTTAAACAATGCTGTTGTCCTCTCATCACTATATGTTTGAAAACAATTGTGTTGTTGAATTGTGTTATTACTATCCTTGATGAATTTTGATGTAAGGATTTTATTTCCCTATTTAATAATGTCGTAGGGAATAATGTACTGTCTTTATTAAAATTCTTACAGTGATTTGCTCAGTTTTCAGGACAGTGGTATCGTGTTGGCCTGGCCTATGACTCGCCAGAATTTGTGCCATGGAGAAGTTATGTGCAGGTCTCCAATGGGAATTTAACCTCTGATATGGATGGCAATGCCAACCTAACCGTATGGGGGACAGGGTATTTACCCTCTTTTGTCTTTTAAATGAGATCTACACTCCAACAAATAAAAACAATTTTAGTTATTAGGAACATTACACATATCAATCAATAAGTAAACACAGGGATAAACTGACTTTATAATAACTTTCAGTAATAGGCCATTGTAAATGCTTATCAATGTTTATAAATGCTTAAATACTCAAGTAATAAAAGTACACACTATTTATAATATGTGTATTCATACTTATTAATACATGTTATAAAGACTTGCAGCACACATAAACCCATAACCCCTTTCTCAATTTGTTGTTGTCAGGTTAAAAGGTTGCATGTGCCGTGTGTACTATTACCAGAAGACTGACCTCCCAGGCCAGTTCACCTACTTTAGTGACCGTAAGTTAAGCTTCCTGCCTCGAGCTGGTTAGAGGAGATGGTGTGAGGGAGGAGACACAGTAAAGCATGGGGTAAATGTAGAAATAGACATGCTGATGTTGACACTGCAGTGGAAGGGGGAGTACAGACATGCGTTTCTTATGTATGTTAGATTCTAACCCTAACCCTTCCGATAATCCATTTGTGTTTCGATGTATGATGAAGGTTGCTGATCCACTATTATCTGTGCTATTTTTGTTGCTGTGCGGTTTCATTTGTCTCTTTGTGGTATCATGTCCTGAGCCTGTAAAGATACAAACAATTTCAAACCATAAAGTATTCTAACTAACAAATTACCTCATTGACAGGCCATCAGATATTGAAGGACATCACTGTGGTGGAGAGCAATTACACTGAATATAGTCTGGTGGTGAAATACAAGAAGATTGTGAAAGACTTCTCCCAGGTGTCTCTTTATGGTAACAATAATTGACATACAGTTTTCTCTTTCATGTGGATCCCCCTACTCCTACAGCTCTTCTAGTCATTATAAAATAAAATAAATGTTTTTCTCACTCTGTTCTTTTTTAAGGTCGCTCACCAACGCTGAGAGAAGAATTGGTGGAGAGATTTAGAAACTATTCTCTGTCTCTGGGCTTCTCTGCAGAGTCCATTCTGACCCCATCGTTCGTAGGTAAAAATATGACTGATCAAACACAGCACAAACTGTCTGATGAAAGTAACATTGGACTTGGACTGGTGCCATTGAACTGTATATAAACTTTGGTCCAGTTTCTAATCATTACTAAATGTGTTACATGTTATGCTTTAACATTTCACCTTTTGTTGTTTTCATGTTTTCATTCTACTACTTATACAGATCCCTGCTCTGATTGCGGACATTAAGTGAGTAGAAATTACATTAAATGAGACTAACATTTCTATTGCAAGGGGGTTTTCTGAGCATTTCTATGTGCTGGTTTTTATATAATACAATCTGCTCACTTTCTAAGGACCTGACAGCAAACATTGGTTAAAGAACTCCACACCATCATACTGGACCAAGATATCCTGAGTCTTCTATTTCGCTCTCTGCTTTACATACATGTATGGAACAATAACACTATTGAATACACAGAGAACTGTTGCCATACTCTATAATTGGTCTGAGTTACATTTTACTCATATACTTCACTGCATAACCTACTCCAGTCTCTTTGGTTGTACATGAAGAATCTGTTTAAAAACCAGAGGTTATGATTGTTAATACAAAAAACATTGTATTTAATATGGGATAGTGAGTTGAAATGTCTTGAAGGTTGACATTGGAAGCTATCAATATAACCCTATTACCTGAGGGAAAACAGAGGCCTGCTTAACATTTTTGCTGAACCACTCAACATCGCTTTTCATCATTAAACCTTTCTATTTAAATCTCAGGTTTTCTGTAAACAAAGGTACACAATTTATACTGTATACACAGGTCCAGAAATCAACAATAAACAAGATTTTGAATAGAATATAATTACTTAATTTTTCCAGTGAGGGAACTTCTTGCCTGGTAAAAACAAAAAAAAGTAACTTGTGTATTTGTCTAATTGTACTTGAGCAGATCTGCCCCACATTTTACCAAACCATTTCAGCTCCCTCTAGTGGGTCTTAAAGAAGCCATTTAATAATGTTGTCAGTGTTCATTCAATGTCAGTATAGCCCATGATTTTAGTTTAGTAAGAAATGTCTCCCATAATAGATCCATAGACACTGTGCGAAAAAGAGTGGACCTGTAGAAGGGAAACAACTTGGTTCTGGGGCTTGAACCAATAAATCCATACTTATACCAAGTGCACTACTGGGCTAATACACTTATAACACTTATAACAACACAAAAAAGGGTCTTGCTTCCAACAAGGCCAGAGTGACTGTGATGACACTCATGTTGCACTTTCCACCAAATTATGGGGAACAGCTGGGAATGGGATCAGGGTTTGAACAGTTAATCTGAGGTTATAGAGCATGACCATGAGTTTACACTATAAAGGTCTAGACTCCAGACAACTTGGTTGATGCTAGATGTCAGAGGCCAGTAACTGTACACTGCGAAACTCAATTAGGCCATTTAGCTATCCCTTTATATCCTGAACTAAACAATTACAATGTTAGTCAGTGGATAACACAGTAATATTGGCCACAGAACGCCAATACCAACAAAACTGTTTTATTAAAATATTTGTCAGTTAGAAAAATGTTGGTTCCTTCCCATGGGTATCAATTCCATTGAATGAACATTTTGGAAAATATGTGTTCCAACATTAGGCCAGCCTAAGAAAAAAACAGAATAGAATAGAAAATTGAAATAGATATAGAAAAAGAAACATAATTGAATGCTAAGGGTTTATAATCGAAACAATGTAAAACCATATAGCTAGTCTTCAAAGCAGGGCAAATAACTGACACACAGACAAGAGATGGCCTTCACTCAACATATCGTCCTCTCTGGCTAGTTTAGTTTAAAGCGACAATTGGCTGGTGTTACTGTTATACAGATCAGCATAAGGTACTGGTAGCTAGAACTTACATAATATTGCTAGTTGACTTGCTGAGATAGCTATTAACGTTACCGTATTCTTATTTTGCTGATATTAACTAAATTGTAGTTTAGAAACTGTTTTCGACATAACGTTGTCTTTATAGAAGAGGTTGATAGCGTTGTGGGAGCTTGACAACAAGTTGTGCCTGCTTTTGAAAACTTAGCCTGTTAGGTAGCTAGCTAGCTAGTTAGCTAGCCGGGGGTGGGCACTGGGGATCAGACTCGGAGTTGACCAGCTGGCTTACTAACCACATACTACGAGCCAGCTAGCTAACGGTACTGTAACAAGGCAGGTTAACTAGATAGTTATATTCGCTAGCTAACTGTTAAGGCTAGATATATCGTTTCTGGTAAACTGTGTGTTACTGGTAGATGTACATGGAATCGACAGATAGTTAGCCTGACTAGACAAGAACATAACATTTTTGCTTAACGTTAGTCCTCGCTAATTCAACGGTCGCATATAGCCCATTTAAGTGTGGCTTTTTTGTTTCGTGAAGGGGAAGAATGGAGAGAGATAATATTTTGAGATACATTGATACATGAATTTTCATCTGGACAAAGATTGAGTTACAAGAATTGGATTGGACCTGGCCGGCGTTGACAAGCAAGCTGTAAGCTCGCCCTGCTAGCTAGCTAAGTGGGCTAACGGTAGCTGACTGGCGTCAACAACCGAGTAAGTTCTATAACGCCTTACGCTAACGCAAGACTTGTAACGCTACTAGCTATAAAAATGTCACGTAACCAGCTGTAACTTCACATAGTATGGATTTTTTTTCTGAAGTTGTAGGTGCAGCCCGTAAGATTGAGACAGACTCGAGCTAGAAACCTAAATTAAGCTAGCTGACTAACGTTGTTGCGATAAAGAAAGTCGAAGCGAATGTTGTCACCATATTCAAGTTGAATTGCAAAACAACATTTGTTCCACTAGCTATATATCATAAGAAAATTAGCTAATTTGTGATTACAATATCATACACTTGCTAGTAGCTAGCAATCAAGGCCCAGAGTTTGTGTAGTTAGCTAGCTGACGTCAACAGGTTACTTAGCTACTAGCAAACGCGCTATCTAAGTTAACGTTAGCTAGCTAGCTAATTGTTTAGCTAACATTAGCCAACTAACTAAGCTTGCAAGCAAGTGTCAGGCACACATCTCATTTGGTTTTACGTAGAATGTGTTTTCTGTTTGAATTGTATGGTTGTCAACAGTTTACACGTTTTCAGTGCTGATGATGTAAAGGTTATTGCTCCCATTTCTACCGGAAGTGGGGCATAACCCTTGCGAGATAACTAGCTAGCTACCTAGTAAAGTATAAACTTCGTTTTTTTTTTACATTTAGTCATGAATATATATATGGACACCTTGAGTCACTCACACATTATTTGCAGTGTCGGCCTGGGTGGTGTCTCTTGGTCACCCACACTGCCACAGCCTACAAATTCACTCAAACATAAATTGCACTAAAACTGAACGCAATATTAATTCAATTCCGTTTCCAATCAGGAAATACAAGTTACATTTATGAATTCAATCATTACATTTATGCATTACAAATTCGAAGTATTGAATTGAAATATATTTAATTCAAATACAGTTTCTGTTGGCACTGAACTCGCTCAATACAGCACCCTGTCACCATGAAGATCCAAGAGACCATGAGTCAATGACATTACCTATTCTGCATGTACTCATGCAGAATAGGTACTCATAAGGATTTGCCCATGTCTTGAAAATCTAATTGACAGTTATTTAAACTTCCCTCTTGCTCACATTACATGCACTCACTTTGCTGTGTGGCAAACATTTGCTCCTTGAGTATGTGTCTGTGATGGGCTGTAGCCAGTTCAGATTGCTTCCAAGCCAGCACAGTTATACTGTGGAAAGTTTTAATATTGTGTAAAATAATGATAAGGCCTGCATCTTCACAGCAATTACTCCAAAGCTGCTAACAAAGGTTTTTCTTTGTTGAGTTGCTAAGTAATAGTCTTATACAAACTCTTGATGGTGTTGTACACCAGTCTTCTGTGATTTTGATTCAGCCCCATTATAAGGTCTTGTGCTCCTCTCTGTAATCATATTACAAGCTTTTGCCCAAAGGCAGCTTTTGACATTTACTTCTTCCGATCAGAAGTTTTTCATCTCGGCTCAAAACTTTGCCAAAGGCTGAACTCCTGCTTTGGTCAAAGTGTTTGTGTTAATTGAGTAGGGCAGTCCTATCATGAGCTGCTCATCTCCGGGCCCACAGGCAGTGTCAGGAGGTTGTGTGTGTGAACTCCGGTGGTATGGGTGAAGGATTTACAGTAGTCAATAGACCAAAACATCCCGTCATCAACGGAAGAAGGCGCTCCTCTGCTCTAAGGCATCTTTGTTTCAAGGTTATATGTTTGTTTGTTATGAAACCCCTCTCTTGCCTGCCGGGCAGTTGAAAAGTTATGTGTGCTAGCCTGTTGCGCTTCTATGCTGAATTTCTTTGACTGCCACTACTATCTGTCATTGAGAGGATTGGTGGGATCTTGATTGCAGACAGTTGTAGCTCGCGCTGACAGTGGCCCCCTCTGCAGACATTTGTTTAATGGTTTCCCTGCTAAGCTCATCACAACATGAGATGCTCCGCAGTATGGTGGAACAGCACTGGGCTGTGCTGCTTTCAAAATGCTTTAACTAACCCGTCTTGCATTGTCTGACAAAAAAACAACTAATCACCTTCCCTTTTCTTCTTCTTTCCCCATCTGCTGTTCAATGCAGGCAGCTGATTGCGGATGGCCGGTGTCTCTGTGTTGGACATGGAGACGCCTTCATGCCCTCCGGTCCCTGTGCACCAGAACGGGACTGCTCCCCGGGAGCCTCGGGGGTCCAGGCCAGTCACTGCCCCGGTGCTGCGTGTCCACCTCTACCACAGCAGCCTGGCTGGGGTAGACTCCACCCCCCTCAGCTACCCACCGGGGGACTATGTAGTCGAGCAACTGTGTGTCAATGCAGCCAAGGAGTGCAGTGAGTACCAGTCACATTTTTTCAAAACAGCATGAGAAGGGTCATGAGTTTGTCCTGACTTAGTGACCTGGCCAAGAAGAACTCTGGACCCTAGTTATAGACTTGTAACTTTAATAACTTAAAAACAATAGTTTTTCCTGGTTAGATCTTGTGGGTTTGGCATGAGGTGTCCTTTCTGCACCAAAATGCATCGTTGCATTTCCTATGAAAAGGGATAGAGGGAATTGGGTTTGAATGGTATTTTGGTACAGTATTTTATTAGGATCCCCATTAGCTGCTGCTAAAGCAGTAGCTGACATGCTCATTGAGTTAATGTACTCCGTACTAGCTCAGACATAGGGGACTAAACACAGAGGTTATGGTCTGGGTTGATTGCAAAAATAAACTCTATTCAACACTTTGTTCCAGCCTGTCTACCTTTATGTACTGTTGCCAAGGACACGTAAAAGTATAATAACTAAGGTCGAGTGAGTTCTGACATAAGCTGCACTCCCAATGGTCAATAAAAATCTCAGAGAGGAGAAACTAAACCTGCATGTTTTTAAATGCCCACAAGGGATTTATTGACAAGCAAAACATGAGGGACATTTTAAAGGACAATTCGACCACTTTTCAACCTCATTTTCAGTGTGCTGGAGATAAGTGTCTACATACAGTATATTAAAACTGCGCATTTCTACGTAAAAAACAACAACATTTAATCCTACCCTGGGATGTCACAGAGAAGCATATTTTGAAGACCTTTCTTCTTATCTTTTTAACCACAGATCATAGAAACATGGCATTTTCACATATGTAGACACTGGTTTGGTGCAGGAGATAATGAATATGAGGTAGAAACATTGCAGAATTGGCCTTTAAGCAAACGGCAACGGGTACTTACAGCTCAAATACAATGGCTCAAATACAGGTCTTGTGTTTCATGACCTTTTGGTGAACCTGTAGGTAGAACATTTTATTATCTTGACATTCAAATCACTTTTCAGGCTTTTTAGTAAGACTCAAGACACAGTGCATTATCTGGTCTGCTAAAGTTGATGATAAATACAATATTTTTGTGTGGTTGTGACATTAATCATGTTTTCTTCCACAGTTTTTATGCGAGTAAAGTCATACCTTAAGTTTAAAAAAAATCACGACAGCTGTGATGAAAACAGGACGTTTCGGGTACAATTATATAAATGCAGACAGATCATTTGTTCGTTCGACATGGTCAGATCTTTTTGTGTCGGTGAAATTAATTATGCGAGAAATGGCGGTGGAAACCATCATAATAACCATCATATCAAAGTAAGCTTGGAGTCACGCGATGACATGTTGTGTAGTCCTCCCACTACGTCTCGGGATTGGAAACCATGCAGTTTATTAGGCTATATAAATTATGATTAACTTCACAGGGTGTTGAAAGTTCACGGTGATGAGCGTGACGCTCCTTTCCAATAAATATCAAGTGTCTTATTCTGGTGACATGATGATCGATGCTTGACTGCCGTTTGACAAATAAAATATTGTCACTTTTATCCATAATAATCTCATCATGTAGACTAGCCTACCCAGTACCTGCACAGCCTACCCGCGCTGTGTCTGCGAGCTGTTTGCTGGAGCACACGTGCCAAGACCAGAGTAGGCACATTTGCTATTTAATGTAACTGTTTTTGTGACTAAACAATGGGTAGAGTTGAAAATGCGATGGAAACACATTGAACGTTAGATTTTTATTTGGTACTTGAAAACAAAAGCAAAAAATTAAATTTTGTGTGCACTACGTCATCACCAATGTTCCCTCTAAACTGCGCACGCACCCCGAGACTGCCCGCGCAGAAATATTAACCCACAGATAGAAGCACGTGATTGAACTTCACTGAACTTTCTAGAGCAGTGGTCACCAACCGGTCGATTGCAATCGCCTGGTTGATCTCCAATGCATTCCTAGTCAATCGCCAAACATTTCTGTAAAAAACCCAACGATAAAGCCTTGTGTTCCTATTTTTTATTTATTATTCTCGGGCTGTTGGGGAGTCTCCCACATGCCTTTTGGCGAATACCAAACGTGTTTGCTTATTTTTTTCTTTAAGCAATGGCTTTTGTTGGCCACTCTTCCGTAAAGCCCAGCTCTGTGGCGTGTAGGCTTAAAGTGGTCCTATGGACAGATACTCCAATCTCTGCTGTAGAGCTTTGCAGCTCCTTCAGGGTTATCTTTGGTCTCTTTGTTGCCTCTCTGATTAATGCCCTCCTTGCCTGGTCTGTGAGTTTTGGTGGGCAGTCCTCTCTTGGCAGGTTTGTTGTGGTGCCATATTCTTTCCATGTTTTAATAATGGATTTAATGGTGCTCCGTAGGATGTTCAACGTTTTGGATATTTTTTTATAACCCAACCCTGATCTGTACTTCTCCACAACTTTGTCCCTGACCTGTTTGGAGCGCTCCTTGGTCTTCATAGTGCCGCTTGCTTGGTGGTGCCCCTTGCTTAGTGGTGTTGCAGACTCTGGGGCCTTTCAGAACAGGTGTATATATACTGAGATCATATGACAGATCATGTGACACTTAGATTGCACACAGGTGGACTTTATTTAACTAATTATGTGACTTCTGAAGGTAATTGGTTGCACCAGATCTTATTTAGGGGCTTCATAGCAAAGGAGGTGAATACATATGCGCGCACCACTTTTCCATTATTTATTTTTTTGAATTATTTGAAACAAGTTATTTTTTAATTTCACTTCACCAATTTTGACTATTTAGTGTATGTCCATTACATGAAATCCAAATAAAAATCTATTTAAATTACTGGTTGTAATGCAACAAAATAGGAAAAAACACCAAGGGGGGATGAATACTTTTGCAAGGCACTGTATGTAAGACAGTTCTGCAGTGAACGCTATCTCATGCTGTATCCCCTGTCTCCACTCTGCTTTAGGTGTGTCGCCTCTGTACTGCAGCTTGTTTGGGCTCTTCAGAGAGAGTGACGGCATGTGGTTCTCCCCGAACCATGTCTTCCAGCTAGATGAATCTGCCAATGAGGATGTGGTCTTCAGAATAAGGTATGTGCAGTGTTTTCTGTGCTCATGATTTCTTCATTCTTGTTTGCTAGATCTCACTCTCTCTAATTATACACTATTCATTCTCTCTCTCGCTCTCTCTCTCTCTCTCTCTCTCTCTCTCTCTCTCTCTCTCTCTCTCTCTCTCTCTCTCTCTCTCTCTCTCTCTCTCTCTCTCTCTCTCTCTCTCTCTCTCTCTCTCTCTCTCTCTCTCTCTCTCTCTCTCAGGTACTATTTCCCTGGCTGGTACAGCAGTGGGGCTTCGAGGGCATATCGGTATGGAGTCACCAAGGGCTCAGAGAGTCCTGTCCTTGATGACTTTGTCATGGCATACCTCTTTGCCCAGGTAAGAGTCAGTCTGTAACATGCGGAACCTAGCAAACTAGAAAATTGTCTCACTCTTCACTGTGATGATGTTTATCCATTGCTGCACATGTGGCCTTCTTCCTTCAACAATGCTGTGAAAAAGCAAAGGCGGTTGATTGGCTGACATTTACTGTAGCCAAGCTGTCTCTGAGATAAGAAAATTGACTAGCTATATCCTTGAGGAACTGTCAGTATCGCTGTCAGACTGTTGTACTATATGTATGTACAGTGCATTCGGAAAGTATTCAGATCCCTTCAGTTTTTCCACATTTTGTTACGTTACAGCCTTATTCTAAAATGAATTACATATTTTTTTCCCCTCACCAGTCTACACAGAATACCCCATAATGACAAAGTGAAAACAGGATTTTAGAAATGATTGCCAATTTATTAAAAATAAAAAACAGAAATAGCTTATTTACATAAGTATTCAGACCCTTTGCTATGAGACTCGAAATTGAGCTCAGGTGCATTCTGTTTCCATTGATCATCCTTTAGATGTTTCTACAACTTGATTGGAGTCCAACTGTGGTAAATTCAATTGATTGGACATGATTTGGAAAGGCACACACCTTTTTTTCTATATAAGGTCCCACAGTTGACAGTGCATGTCAGAGCAAAAACCAAGCCATGAGGTCGAAGGAATTGTCCGTAGAGCTCAGAGACAGGATTGTGTCGAAGGCACAGATCTGGGGAAGGGTACCAAAAAATGTCTGCAGCATTGAAGGTCCCCAAGCGCACAGTGGCCTCTATCATTCTTAAATGGAAGAAGTTTGGAACCATCAAGACTCTTCCTAGAGCTGGCTGCCCGGCCAAACTGAGCAATCGGGGTAGAAGGGCCTTGATCAGGGAAGTGGGATGGTCACTCTGTCAGAGTTCCTCTGAGGAGATGGGAGAACCTTCCAGAAGGACAACCATCTCTGCAGCACTCCACCAATCAGGCCTTTATGGTAGAATGGCCAAACGGAAGCCACTCCTCAGTAAAAGGCACATGACAGCCCGCTTGGAGTTTTCCAAAAGGCGCCTAAAGGACTCTCAGGGTCTGAATACTTATGTAAATGTAATATTTATATATATATATATATATATATATATATATATATACATTTGCAAAAATGTATATAAACCTGTTTTTGCTTTGGTATTGTGTGTAGATTGATGAAGGGGAAAAAAAATATTTTAATCCATTTTAGAATAAGGCTGTAACGTAACAAAATGTGGAAAAAGTCAAGGGGGTCTGAATACTTTCCAAATGCACTATATGTATCGAGTCATCAGCCATGGAATGTGAGCTCCTTCCAACTGCGTTGATAAGGGCCCCCTATTAGGGAAGTTGCATGATAAATGAAGAATTTTAACACCCGCCTGACAGTGCTGATGGGCGATGCATGTTTTGCCATCAATATTTTTGTTTGGGATGTTTACAGTTGAATGACGTCTACAGGGTATGGTTTAGCGCTGATTCAAACATATCTTTATTACGGAAGTAGAGAGGGAGAATCTTTTAATCGCTGATGACACAGATTTACTGTAATGTACAGTGGCTTGCGAAAGTATTCATTTTTGGCATTTTTCCTATTTTGTGGTTTGTATCATTTGATTTACACAACATGCCTACCACTTTGAAGATGCAAAATATTTTTTTGGGTGAAACAAACAACAAATAAGACACAAAAACAGAACTTGAGCGTGCATAACTATTCACCCCCCCCCCCCCCCCCAAAGTCAATAGCCACCTTTTGCAGCAATTACAGCTGAAAGTCTCTTGGAGTATGTCTCTATAAGCTTGGCACATCTAGCAACTGGGATATTTGCCCCACAGCATGATGCTGCCACCACCATGCTTCACTGTGGGGATGGTGTTCTCGGGGTGATGAGAGGTGTTGGATTTGTGCCAGACATAGCGTTTTCCTTGATGGCCCAAAAGCTCAATTTTAGTCTAATCTGACCAGAGTACGTTCTTCCATATATTTGGGGAGTCTCCCACATGCCTTTTGGCGAACACCAAACGTGTTTGCTTATTTTTTTCTTTAAGCAATGGCTTTTTTTTGGCCACTCTTCCGTAAAGCCCAGCTCTGTGGCGTGTACAGCTTAAAGTGGTCCTATGGACAGATCCTCCATTATCCGCTGTGGAGCTTTGCAGCTCCTTCAGGGTTATCTTTGGTCTGTTTGTTGCTTCTCTGATGAATGCCCTCCTTGCCTGGTCTGTGAGTTTTGGTGGGCGTCCCTCTCTTGGCAGGTTTGTTGTGGTGCCATATTCTTTCCAGTTTTTAATAATGGATTTAATGGTGCTCTGTGGAATGTTCAAAGATTCTGATATTTATTTATAACCCAACCCTGATCTGTACTTCTCCACAACCTTGTCCCTGACCTGTTTTGAGAGCTCCTTGGTCTTCATAGTGCAGCTTGCTTGGTGGTGCCCTTGCTTAGTGGTGTTGCAGACTCTGGGGCCTTTCAGAACAGGTGTATATACAGTTGATGTTGGAAGTTTACATAAACAGGTTGGAGTCATTAAAACTAGTTTTTCAACCACTCCACACATTTCTTGTTAACAAACTATAGTTTTGGCAAGTCGGTTAGGACATCTACTTTGTGCATGACACAAGTACTTTTTCCAAAAATTGTTTACAGACAGATTATTTCACTTATAATTCACTGTATCACAATTCCAGTGGGTCAGAAGTTTACATACACTAAGTTGACTGTGCCTTTTAAACAGCTTGGAAAATTCCAGAAAATGGGTCATGGCTTTAGAAGCTTCTGATAGGCTAATTGACATAATTTGAGTCAATTGGAGGTGTACCTGTGGATGTATTTCAAGGCCTACCTTCAAACTCACTGCCTCTTTACTTGACATCATGGAAAAATCAAAAGAAATCAGCCAATCATGGAAAAATCAAAAGAAATCAGCCAAGCCATCCTTGGGAGCAATTTCCAAACGCCTGAAGTTACCACGTTCATCTGTACAAACAATAGTAAGCAAGTATAAACACCATGGGACCACGCAGCCGTCATACCGCTCAGGAAGGAGATGCGTTCTGTCTCCTAGAGATGAACGTACTTTGGTGCGAAAAGTGCAAATCAATCCCAGAGCAACAGCAAAGGACCTTGTGAAGATGCTGGAGGATACAGGTACAAAAGTATCTATATCCACAGTAAAACAAGTCCTATATCGACATAACCTGAAAGGCCGTTCAACAAGGAAGAAGCCACTGCTCCAAAACCGCCATAAAAAAGCCAGACTACGGTTTGCAACTGCACATTGGGACAAAGATCGTACTTTTTGGAGAAATGTCCTCTGGTCTGATAAAACAAAAATATAACATAATGACCATCGTTATGTTTGGAGGAAAAAGGGGGTAGCTTGCAAGCCGAAGAACACCATCCCAACCGTGAAGCACAGGGGTGGCAACATCATGCTGTGGGGGTGCTTTGCTGCAGGGGGGACTTGTGCACTTCACAAAATAGATGGCATCATGAGGAAGGGAAATTATGTGGATATATTGAAGCAACACCTCAAGACATCAGTCAGGAAGTAAAAACTTGGTCGCAAATGGGTCTTCCAAATTGACAATGACCCCAAGCATACTTACAAAGTTGTGCCAAAATGGCTTAAGGACAACAAAGTCAAGGTATTGGAGTGGCCATCACAAAGCCCTGACCTCAATCCTATAGAACATTTGTGGGCAGAACTGAAAAAGCGTGTGCGAGCAAGGAGGCCTACAAACCTGACTCAGTTACACCAGCTCTGTCAGGAGGAATGGGCCAAAATTCACCCAACTTATTGTGGGAAGCTTGTGGAAGGCTACCTGAAACGTTTGACCCAAGTTAAACAATTTATTTTCATTTCACTTCACCAATTTGGACAATTTTGTGTATGTCCATTACATGAAATCCAAATAAAAATCAATTTAAATTACAGGTTGTAATGCAACAAAATAGGAAAAACGCCAAGGGGGATGAATACTTTTGCAAGGCACTGTATAGCTCTGTCTTTTCTTATTACAGACCATTTAAAAATGACCACATACACTCAAAACATTCATTATCTATTAAGCCACAATTTGATAAATCTTTTATTTTTAAGAGGATATAACATTGAGATAAACCGACTAAAACCTTAAGTTTGCCAAGCTAATTTTAGGTCGGGTCAAATCAAATTAGATTGAAGATTCTCCAATGCAACTTCCCATGTGCATAGATAGAAAAGAGGGGAGGTGAATCCAGTTGAGTTGAGACTGCGATATGACTGGGGCTGAACTGTCAGGATTATATGGGTTTATACCCTGGAAATCTGCTTCAGTGACACGGTGCTCTGGGGCCTAATTTATAACCGTTGGGTAAATGTAACACTAATTATCTGCGTGCGGCATTTCTAAAAAGACTGCGCACGCACAAAAATATTGAGGTTTATAAAATTGCCACACACCATACACACGCATGTTTCCCGCTATAAATTACCCCTATCAAAAAACTGTGCGTGCGTGAAGGAGCATTATACAGTGGGGAAAAAAAGTATTTAGTCAGCCACCAATTGTGCAAGTTCTCCCACTTAAAAAGATGAGAGAGGCCTGTAATTTTCATCATAGGTACAAGTCAACTATGACAGACAAAATGAGAATTTATTTTCCAGAAAATCACATTGTAGGATTTTTTTATGAATTTATTTGCAAATGATGGTGGAAAATAAGTATTTGGTCAATAACAATAATTACTCAATACTTTGTTATATACCCTTTGTTGGCAATGACACAGGTCAAACGTTTTCTGTAAGTCTTCACAAGGTTTTCACACACTGTTGCTGGTATTTTGGCCCATTCCTCCATGCAGATCTCCTCTAGAGCAGTGATGTTTTGGGGCTATCGCTGGGCAACACGGACTTTCAACTCCCTCCAAAGATTTTCTATGGGGTTGAGATCTGGAGACTGGCTAGGCCACTCCAGGACCTTGAAATGCTTCTTACGAAGCCACTCCTTCGTTGCCCGGGCAGTGTGTTTGGGATCATTGTCATGCTGAAAGACCCAGCCACGTTTCATCTTCAATGCCCTTGCTGATGGAAGGAGGTTTTCACTCAAAATCTCACGATACATGGCCCCATTCATTCTTTCCTTTACACGGATCAGTCGTCCTGGTCCCTTTGCAGAAAAACAGCCCCAAAGCATGATGTTTCCACCCCCATGCTTCACAGTAGGTATGGTGTTCTTTGGATGCAACTCAGCATTCTTTGTCCTCCAAACACGACGAGTTGAGTTTTTACCAAAAAGTTCTATTTTGGTTTCATCTGACCATATGACATTCTCCCAATCCTCTTCTGGATCATCCAAATGCACTCTAGCAATCTTCAGATGGGCCTGGACATGTACTTGCTTAAGCAGGGGGACACGTCTGGCACTGCAGGATTTGAGTCCCTGGCGGCGTAGTGTGTTACTGATGGTAGGCTTTGTTACTTTGGTCCCAGCTCTCTGCAGGTCATTCACTAGGTCCCCCCGTGTGGTTCTGGGATTTTTGCTCACCGTTCTTGTGATCATTTTGACCCCACGGGGTGAGATCTTGCGTGGAGCCCCAGATCGAGGGAGATTATCAGTGGTTCTTGTATGTCTTCCATTTCCTAATAATTGCTCCCACAGTTGATTTCTTCAAACCAAGCTGCTTACCTATTGCAGATTCAGTCTTCCCAGCCTGGTGCAGGTCTACAATTTTGTTTCTGGTGTCCTTTGACAGCTCTTTGGTCTTGGCCATAGTGGAGTTTGGAGTGTGACTGTTTGAGGTTGTGGACAGGTGTCTTTTATACTGATAACAAGTTCAAACAGGTGCCATTAATACAGGTAACAAGTGGAGGACAGAGGAGCCTCTTAAAGAAGTTACAGGTCTGTGAGAGCCAGAAATCTTGCTTGTTTGTAGGTGACCAAATACTTATTTTCCACCATAATTTGCAAATAAATTCATTAAAAATCCTACAATGTGATTTTCTGGAGAAAAAAATTCTCAATTTGTCTGTCATAGTTGACGTGTACCTATGATGAAAATTACAGGCCTCTCATCTTTTTAAGTGGGAGAACTTGCACAATTGGTGGCTGACTAAATACTTTTTTCCCCCACTGTAACTCTGACTGAAAAATGCCCATCATTCACCTTTTATGGTGACAATAACGCCCTTATTTGCTGTATACTTTGGAAGTATTGCAATTAGGCCAAAACAGTAAAGGAAATAATAATATAATATGCCATTTAGCAGACGCTTTTATCCAAAGCGACTTACAGTCGTGAGCATACATTTTAACGTATAGGTGGTCCCGGGGATCGAACCCACTACCCTGGCGTTACAAGCGCCATGCTCTACCAATTGAGCTACAGAAGACCACTATAAATAGCCTAGTAACTTGAGCAAATGTATTTTGCAGGTGTTAGCAGAATGTTTTCTTTTGCAGTGACATTTGCTGTATCTGACTGTTTCTGAAAGACAAAAACAATTGCAAATTATTGTGGACCTGTAAATAGATCGTTTGATTTTAATAATGTTTTGCATTCACTTTTTTTCCTCAACCTAAATATGCTGCACTGCCCACGAGTTCTGAAACATTGTCTACTCTGGAAAAAAATGTAAACTACAGTAGGCCTACTTACAGTGGCAGCCTACACACTTCAATGAAACAAATCTACTGTCTATCAACTGTAAATTGACCTGTTCAATTCTACTGTATGTTTTAAACCATGATGCATAGAGCAAAAACTTGAAATTATAATGGCCTATCTAATAAGCCCAATTAAATGAGATGTGCATGGTAATTTGTTTTATGGCTACTTATTAACTCATGGACAGAAAAGGTGAGGAATTTATTCTGCAATGGTTATGATATATCTATTAGGTTTATAAATCAAATATTGTACACGAGAAATGTGATATTACAGTATTCAGATGTATCCTACAAACGTCAATAAAAAAAAGTTGAACGGTCTATTCTACTGTTAACCTGCGAATAGCTTATCTATTTACTACTGTGAAGTGGCTCCAATTAAATGATAGATGGGACGAATGGTAGCCTATCCTATCTGGTTGTAGGCCTATAGGCTATTTCGCAAGTAGCCTATGAAACCATCCCAGTCAGAAAAGGTGAGGAACTTATTCTGCAATGATCATGAAAATGAAATAAATAACAGGAAATATATGCCTATTTCTAATTATTTTAGAAGGCACAGATAAAATTGGCTTGAATCGATTTTCGCTCTTCTCACTAATGGCAAATGATTGCATCTTGTTATTATATTTAGGTACCTGTTTTTTTGTTATGAATAAATCATCATATATTCCCAATTGTCTCAAGGCTAATACTAGGCTACTGTGCGTACGCATGGTCTAAAGTTTGCGGGAGGATAAACACATTCTCACGTCTCCAACTTTTGCGTGAAATCTGGGGCATGCACGTTTTGTGGCATATTTTGTGTGTACGCAACGTTTATAAATGAGGCCCCTGGGCCTGTAGAAATATAAGCTATTTCTATGACTGGAGAATAGCCATGAGGACAGGATTTGTTGCGAAGCTTGGGTCAAGCAGACACTAAAATCAAACACATGATAGAGAACAATCTTACAGACTACCGTATTGTTGTGTATTTTATTGTGTATATGAATGTGTAGTTTAATGTGTTTATTGTATTTTGATGTGTATTGTGGTGCTACACAGGGCTCATCTGGAAAAGAGACCTTGGTCTCAGCATTGACTCGATGTCAAAATAAAGGTTAAATAAAAAATCTATCATCTGGCCTTTTATAGCATTATATTGTATAATTACAATATATTAACCAGCCCACCTCTGTGTTTAGTGGAGGAGTGACTTTGTGAATGGCTGGGTGAAGATCGCCAGCACACATGAGACTCAGGAGGAGTGCCTTGGCATGGCTGTATTGGACATGATGAGGATAGCCAAGGAAAGACAAATGTCTCCGCTGGATATCTACAATTCCATAAGGTGCAGAGGAAAGATAAATACATGTCCAGTGGTTTTAACCTGGTAGTACTGGCTGACTGGGTGTCAGTTGTAGCTAGAGACAAATGTCTCTGCTGGATATCTACAACAATGCAATAAGATAGAGACAAACAGGCAGTCAGTTCTTATTATTATCTCATACTTAAGACAATACTATAAGTAGTATGGCCAACAGAATGACTTGAAATGGTAATGTAAATTATTTATGTTCTATTGTGTTGTCCTAGTATCTTGGTATTCTTCAGGTACCTATTATACTAACCTATTCCATATGGCTTGACTTATCCTATTCTTCCCCCCTCTTACCTCAGCTACAAGTCCTTCTTGCCCAAGGACATGAGGGCTCACATCCAGGACTACAGCTTCGTGACCCGGAAGAGGATCCGCTACCGCTTCAAGAAGTTCATCCAGCAGTTCAGCCAGTGCCGGGCCACGGCACGTGACCTGAAGCTCAAATACCTCATCAACATGGAGTCTCTGGAGCAGGCCTTCTACACTGAGCGCTTCCAGGTCAGGGAACCCTCGGCAGGGCAGGTCACCATCATCGTGACGGCAGATCATGGCATCCAGTGGTGCAGAGACGGGCACAAAGACTCTGAGCAGGTACTCACAACAGTCCAGGTTGTTCATGTTCACTTGTCTAAGGTGAATTTACTGAAATTTCATAATTATCAGACTCACCACTGACTATATTTCCCTGAAAGTGAAAGGATCAAGTACTGTAAATTAGTACACTATAGTTTGAGTGGAATCTCGTACTTAGTGGGAACATGAACAGGATGTTTTACTCCTGTTTCCCTCAAATAGCCTATGAAAGAATTTCATACAGTAATCACAGTGATATAGCTAGCTAGCTAGCTACAAAATGTATCCAATATTATTTAGATGTTTTCATGCTGTTGTCAGGCGGGTTTTACTGTGAAGTTGAATTTAGGGTGGTAATGTCATGCTATTTTGTAGCTTTGGCCTGGCCGTTTTATTCTTTCCTAATCCACGGTTAGAGGTGTTAATGTATAATTGAGTAATTAATGGGTTTATGAGCTGTTACAGTAGGTCAACAGTGGCTTACATTGCTAATGGAATCTAATGCCAATGGATTACTTCAGATTAGTCTGTGTTGTTTAACAATTTAAAATGTTCAAAGACTTAATTTTCTCCAGTGAAGATAGCAAAAGCAAATACTGTACTTGGCTCATTGCTGGCTTAGAACTAATCGTGTCATAACATGTTCTGCTTCTTGGCACTAAAGGTTATTCAATCAACACATTTGGCTCTGTTTTAGAAGAATGATATCCTCTAGATTGAGTCAAATGACGTCTTGTTTTCCCACCTTTGTCCGAGCAGGACTTGCAGACCTACTGTGATTTCCCAGATGTTACTGACATCAGTATTAAACAGGCCAATAAGGAAGGCTCGATGGAGAGTCGAGTGGTTACCATCAATAAACAAGACGGCAAGACACTGGTAAGACTGACGTCAGCCTCTCACCTCCACAAGCCTTTCTTAATATTCACATTGAAACAACCACAGTATTGAAACCTCATTCTATCAACCCCAGTTTTTGTTGGATTGGATAATTATCTTGACAATTGTATTCTCATCCTTTTTGCACTGTCTCAGGAGCTGGAGTTCAATTGCCTATCTGAGGCTCTGTCCTTTATATCGCTGATCGATGGCTACTATCGTTTGACGACAGATGCACACCACTACCTCTGCAAAGAAGTGGCACCCCCTGCACTGGTGGAGGCCATTACCAGCCACTGTCATGGTCCCATTTCGTAAGTGAAGTTTGGAAACCTACCCTTATAGAGCACTGTGCATCATCGGATTTGTGAATCAATAACTTGCAGAGATACAATCTGTTCTTCTCCACAGAATGGATTTTGCAATTAATAGACTACAGAAATCTGGGAACAAGCGGGGTCTGTACATCCTGCGATGCAGCCCTAAGGACTTTAACAAGTACTTTTTGACCTTCACCGTGGGGGTATGTACTGTATTTAAGTTATCATTTTAGTACATAACGGATTAAAAAATGAATTAATGAATTTTGCCATATTGGAAAACCTTTGTGTAGAATATAAGCGGTTTGAAACATATTTGACTATCATGTCCCTGGAACACTGATTTGATTATAATTTCTTGCTCTTGTGCTTTCCTTTAGGTATACGATGGCATTGAGTACAAGCACTGCCAGATCACTAAGGCTGCTAATGGAGAGTTCAATCTGAGTGGAACCAAAAGGAACTTCAGCAACCTCCAGGAATTGCTGAGCTGCTACCAGAAGGAGACTGTGTGCTCTGATGGCATAATTTTCCAGTTCAGCAAGTGTTGCCCACCCAAATCCAAAGGTTACTGAGTTTAAAGACTCACTCACTATTTTGGAATTTTTCCTGATGAAAAACAATATCCCAAGTATAAATACAGTAATGTACGCACACTTAAGTGTAAGAATATATGTTTTGAGCAAAATATTGTTTTTCTAGGATAACTGCAAACTTCAAGGAGTAGGCCATTCAAGGAGTTAGTCTGATGAGATGTCATCGGCCTCCCCCTTGCTTGCCCACTTGTGCCATGTCATGTCATACATAGACCACCTATTGAGATGTGCCTTCTGTCAGTAAATCGGGTGATAAATTAGTTGAAAAGGAGACTGGAGTGCCACCTTAAGTCTTGATTTATTGCCTCTAAATCGGCAGAGAAGATCTTTGACATGTTGAGGCATTGCTCCGCTTAAACTCAATATACTGGTTAAGGCTGATTATATGGTCCTCTTGTTTTTCTTTGACAGACAAGTCCAGTTTACTGGTGTGCAGGAGTAACAAGGGCTCAGACGTGCCGCTCTCCCCCTCCCTACAGAGACGCAACATCAGCCAAATGGTGTTCCACAAAATCAGGAAAGAGGACCTGGAATATGTAAGCATTTCACGTTCAACACAGACACAGTCTTATTTTCATTCATACAGCAAAATTGTAGATGTCATCATCTCACTGTTTAGTATAGTTTTGGATAACCAGCATGCAGTGTGTTTCTTATCAATGAAAGACTCAGGAATCCGTCCTCTTATTGTTTTTAAACTAGCAGCTGTAACATTGTCTTGTTTGTGTGTTTTTCAGACTGAGAGTCAAGGCCAAGGGACATTCACAAAGATCTTCAAAGGGGTCCGCAAGGAGCTGGGAGACTACGGGGAGATGCACCAAACTGACGTCATCATGAAAGTCCTGGACAAGGCCCACAGGAACTACTCAGAGGTAAGAAACTAAGATTATATACACATATCAGACATTAAACCGTTTTCCTGAGTTGATTGGCTAAAAGTAAAGTAGTTAATCCTTCTATCTACAAAGAAAGTAAGAGCAGGTGACTAATTGCCTGTGTTAATGTCTATCAGGACTATTGTCTTAAATCAGTCATTGTCTATGGTGGATTATTATGAATGATGACGGTGTTTATTAATGATGATTATCTCTCTCCTTCTCTACAGTCTTTCTTTGAGGCGGCCAGCATGATGAGCCAGCTATCCCACAAGCACCTGGTGCTGAACTACGGCGTGTGTGTGTGCGGGGAGGAGAGTGAGTCAATCAGTCACCTTATTGTCCCAGTTGGGAAATGTATACAACAGATAAAGAAAGTGAATGAGTGTGTCCCTCCATCCATACTACCAGCCTGCGTTATAAGCTTAGGTTATTATCCTTTAATGTCCACAACCCTGCTGTGACTGCTGATACTCTGACCCGGTGTAATAATCTGTGTAACCTGAAGAAGAGACCAGAGCAGAGTGAAGGTGGGCTATTCTTAGGGGGATTACAATACCGAGCTGTTTCAACAAAACCCTCTTACCTGACAATTCTTAATCTGCCAGCCTCAGTTCGCTATGAGTGTTCGTCTGCTACCTTTAGATTGGCCCTTGTTGTCTCTGGTATGTAATGTACTGCTGCATGTGACTGGAGGACTGGATTCGATGAAAGCTGATATAGCAATATTTATGCTTTATTGCAAAAAGGTTCATAAATAGTGGCATTCGATTAATCCTTCGGGACATTGTGTTGTGTTTTGACCACTGTTAACTCTTACAGATATCATGGTGCAGGAGTATGTGAAGTTTGGCTCCCTGGACACATACCTGAAGAAGAACAGAAACTCAATCAACATCTTGTGGAAGCTTGAAGTGGCCAAGCAGCTTGCCTGGGCCATGCACTTTCTGGTAAGGCTGAACCCAACCTGTCGTACAGAAATGGCTACTCATTGATAAAGGGACTCTACGGATACTTATACATTCTCAGCATTACAAGCCACAGACCGCACCAGTCCATCAGTGCCTGCAGGACGTTTGTAAATGTTTAGTTAGTTGGTGTGATGCACATCCCCTCCTGACTGTCCCATTCCCTCCTGACTGTCCCCCCCCCTCCTGACTGTCCCCTCCCCTCCTGACTGTCCCATCCCCTCCTGACTGTCCCCTCCCCTCCTGACTGTCCCCTCCTCTCCTGACTGTCCCCTCCCCTCCTGACTGTCCCCTCCCCTCCTGACTGTCCCCTCCACTCCTGACTGCCCCCTCCCCTCCTGACTGTTCCCTCCCCTCACTCCCGCAGGAGGAAAAGAACCTTGCTCACGGGAACGTCTGTGCCAAGAATGTCCTGCTGATCCGGGAAGAGGACCGGAAAACTGGGAATCCCCCCTTCATCAAGTTGAGTGACCCTGGTGTCAGCATCACTGTCCTGCCCAAAGATAGTGAGTTCCCTCCCTCTTCCTCTGATACACAGGTGTTACCACTAGGCTGCCAGAAGGGGGCAACGTTTATCCATCAAAACTCAGTTGTGTGCACGAAGTTCCCCCAGCTATGACCTGAGCCACACCTCCAGAAATCATTGAATACCTCACAGTTTTTACAACCTTTCACATTTTAAAATATTACAATATAGATATTATATTCAAAACATATTGTACTATTTCAGAGTTATGATTATTGAACACTAAATGTTGTGTGAATTGATTATCTATTAATGACATATTGTGGTCTGGCCCAGTTTTGGTTGAGCGAATCCCCTGGGTGCCTCCTGAATGTATTGAGGATCCTACCAACCTGAGCCTTGCAGCAGACAAGTGGAGCTTTGGCACAACGCTGTGGGAGATCTGCAGTGGAGGGGAGAAACCACTGGCAACACTGGACAACTCTAAGGTAAGGATCACATCAGCTATACCAGTAGGTTTTGTTTTAGAAATATCTAGCAATATGTTTACACTAATGCAATTTGAAATGCAGTCCTACAACAAAGAATCTCAAACTAACATACCTCTGATTCTTTGGTGCAGAAAAACCTATTTTACGAGGACCGCCACCAGCTGCCTGCTCCTAAGTGGACTGAGCTTGCTAACCTGATCACCAGCTGCATGGACTATGAGCCCACGTTCAGACCCTCTTTCAGGGTCATCATCAGGGACCTCAACAGCCTGTTCACGCCTGGTCAGTGCATTGCTACAGTCATTGCAGAGTAAAACTGGGTCTTACTGATGGGTCGTAGGGTCTCTCCATTGAATTGATTGTCTCAAGGAGGTCATGATTATTATAATTGGCACACATCTTGTTGTTATAGGAAGAGGAAATGATGGGTATGCTGGTGGCCATATTACCAGCCTATATTATATCCAGGCTGTTACTGGTGTTTGTTTTTTAGGTGGGCCAAGTGCTGCTAGGGACTTAAAAGAGATGGGGAGAATCCAAGCAGACATGGAACAAATACAAGTCTCTGCAAAAATACTCTCATTCCTGAAAATGTCAGTGTGATTTGACATTGTGCTGTTTTTGCCCACAGAATATGAGCTGATTGTGGAGAGTGACCTCCTGCCAAACAGAACAGCAGCGTCAGCGTGGGTCACTGGGGCGTTTGAGAACCAGGATCCAGCTCAGTTTGAGGAGAGACACCTCATCTTCCTACAGCAGTTAGGCAAGGTAAGGAACCACACTATCACAGCCAATGATGGCCACAAGCTAAGGAATCACACTCACTATCATGAACAATGATGACCACAGATGACCATTCATGGTCTTTGAACAACACACACTGTTCTCGTTTGTAGATGTGGATGTTTCTGATTCCGGCTCAAAGCGTTTCATCAAGTAATCAGCTGATTTTAATGTGATCTCTTCTGCCCTACTTAATCATGTTGGTTTCTTCCATCAGGGTAACTTTGGCAGTGTGGAGATGTGCCGGTACGACCCACTCCAGGACAACACTGGGGAGGTCGTGGCTGTGAAGAAGCTTCAGCACAGCACGGCAGAGCACATGCGGGACTTTGAGCGGGAGATCGAGATCCTCAAGTCTCTTCAGCATGAGAACATCGTCAAATACAAAGGAGTGTGCTACAGTGCAGGTACAGTGTGACGTGTGATTGGCTTGATTCCTCGCCTCCTCTCCTCCTTTCCAAAAAGGTCAAATTGAAATTCCTCTCCTTCTCCACTAGTGCGTCATCAGGCAAATTAAGTTTACAGAGGAGGAATCCCAAAATACGTACGTAAAGTGGTAAGGTACATCCATATATAGATCTATACATGGATAAGTAGCATACCATTTTTAAATATGCATGATTTTCTCCTCCGAGGAAACAACAGCTGATTCAAAGGGGGTGTGGTGGATTTCAAAACAGTTCCGCAATAGGATACACCTGAGTATCTTCGGCCGGAGGAGGCAATCGAGAAGAGGTGCAAACTCCTCAGTTGACTTAACAAATCACTCCTATATATGGCCACAACTTATCGGTTTCCGAGTCACGGAGGAGAGGAGGACGGAGGAGTCGAGAAGAGGACCTTTTTTTCTCCAATTGAGAATCTCCCCATGTTTAAAGACTAATACCAATTTAAAGGGATACTTTGGGATTTTGGTAATGATGTGCTTTATCTACTTCCCCAGAGTCAGATTAACTCGTTGATACCATTTTTATGTCTCTGTGTCCAGTATGAAGGAAGTTGGAGGTACGGTAGTTGTGCTAGCCAATGCTAACTAGCATTAGCGCAATGACTGGAAGTCTATGGGTATCTATACTGAACAAAAATATAAACACAACATGCAACAATTTCAATGATATTACTGAGTTACAGTAAATAATAAAGAAATAAATTCATTAGGCATGACTGGGCAGGGGCGCAGCCATGGGTGGGCCTGGGAAGGCCCACCCACTGGGGAGCCAGGCCCAGTCAATCAGAATGTTTTTTTCCCCACAAAAGGGCTTTATTACAGACAGAAATACTCAGTTTCATCTGCTGTCCTGGTGGCTGGTCTCAGACAATCCCGCAGGTGAAGAAGCCGGATGTGGAGGTCCTGGGCTGGCGTGGTTACACGTGGTCTGCGGTTGTGAGGCCGCTTGGACATACTGCCAAATTCTCTAAAATGACGTTGGAGGCAGCTTATGGTAGAGAAATAAACATTACATTCTCTGGCAATATCTCCGGTGGACATTCCTGCAGTCAGCATGCCAATTTCACACTCCCTCAAAACTTGAGACATCTGTGGCATTGTGTTGTGACAAAACTGCACATTTTAGAGTGGCCTTTTATTGTCCCCAGCACAAGGTGCACCTGTGTAATGATCATGCTATTTAATCAGCTTCTTGATATGCCTCACCTGTCAGGTGGATGGATTATCTTGGCAAAGGAGAAATGCTCACTAACAGGGATGTAAACGAATTTGTGCACAAAATTGGAGAGAAATACGCTTTTTGTGCGTATGGAACATTTCTGGGATCTTTTATTTCAGCTCATGAAACATGGGACCAGCACTTTACATGTTGCGTTTATATTTTTGTTCAGTGTACTAGCATGCTAGCAGATACCCATAGACTTCCAGCCATTGAGCTAATGCCTCATTGCCAAAATCCCAAAGTATCCCTTTAAGGCTCAAGTTTTAATGTCACATGCAGTGACAAGTACAGTGAAATGCCTTTCTTGCAAACTCAAAACCCAACAATGCAATAATCAATAACAATGTAATACTAGAAAAAAGCACACGAGGAATAAGAAATATGAAATACACAATAAAGTAAGTATGCATACTATACTGTATACAATAAATATTTAAAAAGTCAGTTCTTATACCATATTTACATGTGCAGGGATACTGGAGTGATGGAGGTAGGTATGTATAGGGGTAAGGTGACTAGGTTACAGGATACAGTGGGGAAAAAAAGTATTTAGTCAGCCACCAATTGTGCAAGTTCTCCCACTTAAAAAGATGAGAGGCCTGTAATTTTCATCATAGGTACACGTCAACTATGACAGACAAAATGAGGAAAAAAAATCCAGAAAATCACATTGTAGGATTTTTTATTAATTCATTTGCAAATTATGGTGGAAAATAAGTCTTTGGTCAATAACAAAAGTTTCTCAATACTTTGTTATATACCCTTTGTTGGCAATGACACAGGTCAAACGTTTTCTGTAAGTCTTCACAAGGTTTTCACACACTGTTACTGGTATTTTGGCCCATTCCTCCATGCAGATCTCCTCTAGAGCAGTGATGTTTTGGGGCTGTCGCTGGGCAACACGGACTTTCAACTCCCTCCAAAGATTTTCTATGGGGTTGAGATCTGGAGACTGGCTAGGCCACTCCAGGACCTTGAAATGCTTCTTACGAAGCCACTCCTTCGTTGCCCGGGCGGTGTGTTTGGGATCATTGTCATGCTGAAAGACCCAGCCACGTTTCATCTTTAATGCCCTTGCTGATGGAAGGAGGTTTTCACTCAAGATCTCACGATACATGGCCCCATTCATTCTTTCCTTTACACGGATCAGTCGTCCTGGTCCCTTTCCAGAAAAACAGCCCCAAAGCATGATGTTTCCACCCCCATGCTTCACAGTAGGTATGGTGTTCTTTGGATGCAACTCAGCATTCTTTGTCCTCCAAACACGACGAGTTGAGTTTTTACCCAAAAGTTATATTTTGGTTTCATCTGACCATATGACATTCTCCCAATCCTCTTCTGGATCATCCAAATGCACTCTAGCAAACTTCAGACGGGCCTGGATATGTACTGGCTTAAGCAGGGGGACACGTCTGGCACTGCAGGATTTGAGTCCCTGGCGGCGTAGTGTGTGACTGATGGTAGGCTTTGTTACTTTGGTCCCAGCTCACTGCAGGTCATTCACTAGGTCCCCCCGTGTGGTTCTGGGATCTTTGCTCACCGTTCTTGTGATCATTTTGACCCCACGGGGTGAGATCTTGCGTGGAGCCCCAGATCGAGGGAGATTATCAGTGGTCTTGTATGTCTTCCATTTCCTAATAATTGCTCCCACAGTTGATTTCTTCAAACCAAGCTACTTACCTATTGCAGATTCAGTCTTCCCAGCCTGGTGCAGGTCTACAATTTTGTTTCTGGTGTCCTTTGACAGCTCTTTGGTCTTGGCCATAGTGGAGTTTGGAGTGTGACTGTTTGAGGTTGTGGACAGGTGTCTGTTATACTGATAACAAGTTCAAACAGGTGCCATTAATACAGGTAAGGAGTGGAGGACAGAGGAGCCTCTTAAAGAAGAAGTTACAGGTCTGTGAGAGCCAGAAATATTGCTTGTTTGTAGGTGACCAAATACTTATTTTCCACCATAATTTGCAAATAAATTCATAAAAAATCCTACAATGTGATTTTCTGGATTTCTTTTCTCAATTTGTCTGTCATAGTTGACGTGTACCTATGATGAAAATTACAGGCCTCTCTCATCTTTTTAAGTTGGAGAACTTGCACAATTGGTGGCTGACTAAATACTTTTTTTCCCCACTGTATAAGATAAACAGAGTAGCAGCAGCTTGAATGTGAGTGGGTGTGCGGGTGTGTAGAGTCAGTATAAATGTATGATCATATTATGTGTGTGTGAGAAATGATGGAGTGAGTGTTTGTGTGTGTGTTCGAGTGACAGTGTGTGAGTGTGTAGGGCTCTGTGAGTGTGAAAAAGAACACTGAAATAAAAGGTCAATAAAGATACAAGGTAAACTCAGTCTGTGTAACTATTTTGTTAGCTATTTATCAGTCGTATTTCTTGGGGAAAGAAGCTGTTCAAGAGGCTGTTGATGTCAGACTTACTTAGATGCACCGGTACCTCTTGCCATGCGGCAGCAGAGAAAATAGTCTATGGCTTGGGTGGTTGGGGTCTTTGACGATTTTGTTGCACACCGCCTGATATAATAGTCTCCCGAGTGGCGCAGTGGTCTAAGGCAGTGCTAGCTGTGCCACTAGAGATCCTGGTTCGTATCCAGGCTCTGTCGTAGCCGGCCGCGACCGGGAGACCCATTGGGCGGCGCATAATTGGCCCTGCGTCGTCCAGGGTAGGGGAGGGAATGGCCGGCAGGGATGTAGCTCACTTGATAGAGCATGGCATTTGCAATGCCAGGGTTGTGGGTTCAATTCCCACGGGGGGCCAGTATAAAAAATAAAATAATGTATGCACTCACTAATTGTAAGTCGCTCTGGATAAGAGCGTCTGCTAAATTACTAAAATGTAAATGTAAATATAAAGGTCCTGGATGGCAGGGAGCTCGGTCCCAGTGATGTACTGGGCTGTCCGCACAACCCTCTGTAGCACCATGCATTCCAGGGCGGTGCTATGGGCGGTGCTATTGCCATACCCAGCAGTGATGCAGCCAGTCAATTTGCTCTCAATGGTACAGCTGTAGAACCTTTTCAGGATTTGAGGGCCCATGCCAAAATTGTTCAACCTCCTGAGGGGGAAGAGGCACTGTCGTGCCTTCTTCACGTCTGCGTGTGTGTTTGGACCATTTGAAGTCTTTAGGGATTTGGACACCGAGGAACTTGAAGCGCTTGACCTGCTCCACTACCGCCCCGTCGATGTAGATGGGGGCGTGCTCGCTCCCCCTTTCCTGTGGTCCATGATCAGCTCCTTGGTCTTGCTGACGTTGAGGGAGAGGTTGTTGCTCCGGCACCACACTGCCAGGTCACTGACCACCTCCCTGTAGGCTGATTCATCGTCGGCTGTGATCAGGCCTACCACCGTCGTGTCGTCAGCGGACTTGATAATGGTGTTAGAGTCATGCGTGGCCACACAGGGAGTACAGGAGAGGACTAAGCACACGCCCCTGTGTTAAGGGTCAGCGTGGTGGAGGTGATGTTGCCTACCCTCACCACCTGGGGTCGGCCCGTTAGGAAGTCCAGGATCCAGTAACCTGTTTGCTTATAAGTCCAGGATCCAATCATTAGTAACCTGTTTGCTTATAAAAAGATAAGTCTAGAATACTATTGACGTGTGAACTCTGAGTCAGCAGGAAAGTTGGCAGTGTTTGTATGTTCTCTGAAAGTCACAGAAGGTGAATAGTAGTTGACCTGTAACTCCAATATATCCTTTTAATTCAGTCAGAAGACAAGACAAGTTCAGCTAGTTATTCGTAGAATCCTAAATCAGTGCAGAGGTGAATGTTTCTCTATTTGTTTGTTGTCCTGTTCTGCAGGCCGGAGAAACCTGCGACTGATCATGGAATACCTGCCCTATGGGAGTCTGAGAGATTACCTCATCAAGAATAAGCAGAGAATAGACCACATGAAACTGGTGCATTATACCGCTCAGATATGCAAGGTACTGATAGTGACCAGATATGAAAGTAACATTAACCTTTGATTATAATTGTTTTACTCTTCCATATCCAGATATCTACCCTTAGCTGATGCCTGATGTTGATACCATATGGTGATAGTTCATAGCATTCTAATAAACACTAATACAGACTGAAACCTAGTGGTAAGTAAAGGTAAAGCATGTATGAGTTCTGAACGTTTTTGTCTTTGTTCTTTTGTGTGTGCAGGGTATGGAGTACCTGGCAACCAAGCGCTACATCCACAGAGATCTGGCAACCCGGAACATCCTGGTAGAGAGTGAGCTGAGGGTGAAGATAGGGGACTTTGGCCTGAGCAAGGTCCTGCCCCAGGACAAGGAGTACTATATGGTCAAGGAGCCTGGAGAGAGCCCTATCTTCTGGTTAGACACCTTTAGCAGTCCCTCCAGGATTTGGCTGTCTTTTTTAGCAAAATTAACAATTCCCCGCTTATTATCCGAGTGCTTGCAAATTGTATCAATCACCGCATTATTTCTGCATAAAACAGTCAAATCACTGCAATGTTACAGCATAAAACTGTCTGATCACCGCATTACAAAAATAGGGCTTGCAATGTTATGTAATCACAAAAGTTTACCGCATACAATGGTTCAATCAAGCCACAAGCCAACCAACTTTTGCCCCGCTAGCGCATTTTTGCGATAAATTGGACAGAAATCATTGAATATTGCAAAATGTCAAAATTGCAGCTGCAAAATCAAGCATTTTTGCCTGCAACAATCCTGGAAGGGACTGTTTTAGTCTGTCACTGGCAGAAAGAACAGTTTTTATTTTTGTAGTGACCGATTATATTTCTTGATGTGAACTTACATAATTGTTTAAAGTAGGTTTAGGCGGTTTACTGTATTTTACTTTATAATGGTATTGAGGCATTCCTCCGCCATTTCTCGCACAATTAATTTTACAGATACAAAAAAAAAACATGTAGAATGAACTAATTATCTGCCAGCATTTGTAAAATTGTACCAAAACGTCCTGTTTCCATCAAAGCTTTGTGATGTTTTTTTTATACAGTATGCCTTTACTCGCATAAAAACTGCGGATGGAAACGTGGTTACAGAAGAAAATAAGGGAAAGAGGCTTTTTGATGAAATAGACAAGGACAAAACAAACACGGCACAGTGTGGAAATGATAGCAAACGAGTGCAGGAAATACAGAAATGGATGGAAATGCTGAAAATTATTTTGGGTTGAAGTTGACTAAACAGTTTAAAACACGTGTCAAACTCATTCCATGGAGGGCCGAGTGTCTGCAGGTTTTAGCTCCTCCTACATGATAAATGAATTAGGGTCACTGATTAGTTAGGAACTCCCCTCACCTGTTTGTCTAGGTCTTAATTGGACACAAATTGAAAGGAGAAACTAAAAACCAGCAGACACTTGGCCCTCCATGGATGAGTTTGACACCCCTGTTTTTAAAACAATCAGAATAGAGAAAGCCCCATTAAAACCACTTAGAATTTGTGTTGCCACCCTAGGGTCATGCACTACTCAAAGCTTATTTATTCGAAAACATACAACTGTCAAATACCATCATACCGTCAAGAATGTGGAAAATATGATGATATGATACTGTATTTTGGCCATATCGCCCAGCCCTAGTTTAGAGTTCTATGAACTGTGTTAGATTTGTGCTTTAGGTTTCCTATGCGGTGTAACTGGAATTCCTAGTCATCCTTTTTTGGAGAGAAAAATAAGAGAGATATTTGGACACTTTTTTTGTGTTGTTGTGCAGGTATGCCCCAGAGTCTCTGATGGAGAGCAAGTTCTCTGTGGCTTCTGACATCTGGAGCTTTGGCGTAGTGCTCTATGAACTGTTCACCCACAGCGACAAGAACTGCAGCCCTCCTGCAGTAAGTTCATCTGTCTCTATCTCTCTGTCTTCCTTCTCTGATTTTTTTTCTTCTCAAGTATAGCTAATATGTTGTCTCATGAAATACTTGCTACTTGCATACACGGCCAAGCCTACTGACCTCAGGCAAAGATGGTATATAATACAGCATATGGCCCCATGGTGTCAAGGGGAACATCAGGGTAATTTTAACAGGCTACGTTAAGATCACATAGCCTGTTAAAACAAGCAGTATTTTGGAACATTCCCCAGATTCTACTCTAGTCTATGATGCCCAAAAGCTAGAAAGGGCCAGAAAAATAAGAATAAGTTGCTCACACAGTATACACATGCTATGTATCAAGGTTGGAGCTACAGTGCCTTCAGAAAGTATTCACACCCTTTTACTTTTTCCATATTTTGTTGTGTTACAGCCTGAATTAAAAATAAAAAAATAGATTTTGTGTCATTGATCTACACACAATACCCCATAATGTCAAAGTGGAATTGTGTTTGTACAACATTTTAGAAATTCATAAAAAATGAAAAGCTGTAAGTATGAAAAGCTGTAACTAAAAGTATTCAACCCCTTTGTTATGGCAAGCCTAAAGTTCAGGAGTAGAAATGTGCTTAACAAATCACATAATATGTTGCATGGACTCACTCTGTGTTCAATAATAGTGGTTAACATGAGTTTTGAATGACTACCCCATATTTGTACCCCACACATGCAATTATCTGTAAGGTCCCTCAATTGAGTAGTGAATTTCAAGCACAGATTCAACCACAAAGACCAGGGAGGTTTTTCAATGCCTCGCAAAGAAGGGCACCTATTGGTAGATGTGTAAAAAAAAAAAAAAAAAAAAAAAACGGACGCTGAATTGCCCTTTGAGCATGGTGAAGTTATTAATTGGGCTTTGGGTGGTGTATCAATTCACCCAGTCACTACAAAGATACAGGCATCCTTCCTAACTCAGTTGCCGGAGAGGAAGGAAACTGCTCAGGGATTTCACCATGAGGCCAATGGTGATTTTAAAACAGTTACAGAATTTAATGGTTGTGATATGAGAAAAATTAGGATGGCTCAACAACATTTTGTTACTCCACAATACTAACTTAAATGACAGAGTGAAAAGAAGGAAGCCTGTACAGAATACAAATATTCCAAAACATCCATCCTGTTTGCAACAAGGCACTTAAGTAATACTGCAAAAAATGTGGCAACTCAATTATTTTTTTGTCCTGAATACAAGGTGTTATGTTAGGGGCAAATTCATCACTGAGTACCACTTCATATTTTCAAGCATGGTGGTGGCAGCATCATGTTATTGGTATGCTTGTCATGGCAAGGACTAGGGAGTTGTTTTGGATAGAAAGAATACAGCTAAGCATGGGCAAAATCCTTGAGGAAAACCTGGTTCAGTCTAATTAATTCCAACAGACACTGGGAGACAAATTCACCTTTCAGCAGGACAATAACCTAAAACACAAGGCCAAATCTACACTGGAGTTGCTTACCTAGACAACATTTAATGTTCCTGAGTGGCCAAGTTACAGTTTTGATTTAAATCGACTTGAAAATGGCTTTCTAGCAATGATTAACAACCAACTTGACAGAGCTTAAAGAATTGTAATATTGTACAATCCAGGTGTGCAAAGCTCTTAGAGACTTACCCAAAAAGACTCACAGCTGTAATTGCTGCCAAAGGTGTTTCTAACATGTATTGTCTCAGGGGGGTGAATACTTATCTAATCAAGATATGTGTTTTATTTTTCATAACTTTCTAATAAATATTAGCATTATTTTTCTCATTTTGGCATTAGAGTATTTTGTGTAGATCGTTGACCAAAAATTACAATTAAATCCATTTTAATCCTAATTTGTAACACAACAAAATAATAAAAAATTCAAGGGGTGTGAGTAATTTTGAAGGCACTGTATGTTAAGGCACATTGTCACAGACTCTACTTGAGTTTACTTGTATACGCAAGAGCCTGCACATAGTGGAACGTATACTGTATGTGTGCAATAGAGATCTAAAAAAAACTGCATACAGTCTGTTGGGGAATGTCTCTATAACTTGGCACATCTAGCCACTGGGATCTTTGCCCATTCTTCAAGGAAAACTGCTCCAGCTCCTTCAAGTTGGATGGGTTCTGCTGGTGTACAGCAATCTTTAAGTCATACCACATATTCTCAATTGGATTGAGGTCTGGGCTTTGACTAGGCCATTCCAAGAGATTTAAATGTTTCCACTTAAACCACTTGAGTGTTGCTTTAGCAGTATGCTTAGGTTCATTGTCCTGCTGGAAGGTGAACCTCTGTCCCAGTCTCAAATCTCTGGATGACTGAAACAGGTTTCCCTCAAGAATTTCCCTGTATTTAGGGCCATCCATCATTCCTTCAATTCTGACCAGTTTCCTGGTCCCTGCAGATGAAAAACATTCTCGGGGTGATGAGAGGTGTTGGGTTTGCGCCAGACATTTTCCTTGATGGCCAAAAAGCTCAATTTTAGTCTAATCTGACCAGAGTACCTTCTTCCATATTTTTGGGGAGTCTCCCACATGCCTTTTGGCGAACACCAAACGTGTTTGCTTCTTTTTTTCTTTAAGCAATGGCTTTTTTCTGGCCACTCTTCCGTAAAGCCCAGCTCTGTGGCGTGTACGGCTTAAAGTGCTCCTATGGATAGATACTCCAATCTCCGCTGTGGAGATTTGCAGCTCCTTCAGGGTTATCTTTGGTCTCTTTGTTGCCTCTGATTAATGCCCTCCTTGCCTGGGCTGTGTTTTGGTGGGCGGCCCTCTCATGGCAGGTTTGTTGTGGTGCCATATTCTTTCCATTTTTTAATAATGGATTTAATGGTGCTCCGTGGGATGTTCAAAGTTTCGAATATTTTTTTATAACCCAACCCTGATCTGTACTTCTCCACAACTTTGTCCCTGACCTGTTTGGAGAGCTCCTTGGTCTTCATGGTGCCGCTTGCTTGGTGGTGCCCCTTGCTTAGTGGTGTTGCAGACTCTGGGGCCTTTCAGAACAGGTGTATATATACTGAGATCATGTGACACTTAGATTGCACACAGGTGGACTTTATTTAACTAATTATGTGACTTCTGAAGGTAATTGGTTGCACCAGATCTTATTTAGGGGCTTCATAGCAAAGGGGGTGAATACATATGCACGTACCACTTTTCCGTTATTTATTTTTTAGAATCTTTTAAACAAGTAATTTTTTTCATTTCACTTCACCAATTTGAACTATTTTGTGTATGTCCATTACATGAAATCCAAATAAAAATCAATTTAAATTACAGGTTGTAATGCAACAAAATAGGAAAAACGCCAAGGGGGATGAATACTTTTGCAAGGCACTGTACTTGTTTGATCATTTGTGGTTCACACCTGACCAACCATCCTTTCTCCACATCCTCAGATGTTTATGGGCATGATGGGTAATGACAAGCAGGGCCAGCTGATTGTCTATCATCTCACTGAGCTCCTCAAGTCAGGCAGCAGGCTGCCTCAACCTGTGGGCTGTCCCATGGAGGTAAGGGCTGGGTTCCGGTCGTTATGTCAATTTTTTATATTGCATTGTTCAGTCTTTATGGTGCATTTATCTTCCTTAATGATGCAGTGTCATAACATGTATAAAAGCGGGGTTGCGGTTTCCACAGTTAACACAGTAGTACCTTAACTGAGCAATGTGACTGAATGGTGCCATGTTTATGTTACAATCAGATTCCACTGAATACATACCATAGGAAGGCTACCAGTTGTGACCATCCTAAATAAACATGTTTTTGCTTCTCTCTCTTGTTCTCTCAGATGCATGAGATAATGCAGGAATGCTGGGACAAAGACCCATGCTTGCGGCCCTCCTTCAAGGAGCTGGCCCTGCGTGTCGACCTGTTCCGTGACAGCAAGGAGACGTAGACAAAGACCCTAAGTGCCCCTCTTCTAAGAGACTGTTTTTCTGCATTCATTTAGCTGCCGTGTGGGTGTGTGTGTGAGAGCCCCCCCCCCCCCCCCCCAGCCCTGTCCTTCTGCATTGTGGCAATAGATTGGACTGAGAACAAGATTTTCTGCCAAGACACTATAGAGACACTTGTATCAAACAAGGTTTCATTTTTCTTGAGTGCGTGTGTTTTTCCCCCTTCTACACATCTTTGTTTTCTAAGCTAGCAGGGCTAGCCTTCACCTTTCTGTCCCCCCCCCGTCTGAAAAATGAAAGTATGCTGGACTGATGGAACGGAATGTTTGTTATTTTTATTTGTGTTGTTTTTTGTATGTATATACATATATTTGTGTACATATGTCAAGAGGATTTTATAATTTTATAAAATGAAATGAATACACTGCAGTCTATATTTGAAATGTTCGACAAGAAGTCAGTGTAAATGAAATACATTTAGAGATTTAAAAATCCAACATTGTTTTTTTGTTTTTTTCCATTGTGAAGCAGGTGGTGTAAGATTAAAATATATATCAATGACATATGAAAAAGGGTTGTAGAATGTCTTTCAAAAACCCATTAGTGGGGTCAGTAACTTTTTCTGCTGGGCTTACAGTCAATAATATTATGTGCAAGGTCAGTATAGTTTATAGAACTCTTCTGATACTGTGTACACAGGCAGAACTCTGCCTGAGGGTAGTTCAACAGTAGTTGAGAGACTGACACTCATTCCTTCCATATCCCATGTCCATTCTAAAAATAACCCTTCACCCAAACAGGCCACTCATCATGTCACTCCTCAAATCACAAGACAAATCTCTTTCATTTTGATATGGTCACACTATCAGTATAATCTTAGTGTGACATGAGCTCTTCAATTTCACTAGTTGGGTTTGTCAGCTAACATTGAACTCTATCAGGACATTATGGTGCATAGTAGGCCTACACAATCCCTTTCAGAAATACTTGACACTACTTGATTTGCCTTTTTCAATTCCTAGAGCTACTTTATTTTTATTTTCATATTTGATAACTGCCAACCGTCATTGCGACATCTCATGCATTTTCTCCCTACGTCATCACAAAATGGGAGTGTTACAAACTAGTGTATCAAATCCAGGGGTGACATCTGGTCAGTGAATAAAAGTTTACTGACGTTATCAAAGATTATGACAGATTCTTCTATTTGTTAAAATGTGTCTACATGCATTCCCCTCCATATGTATTTGGACATTGAAGCAATTTTCTTTTGGGGGCTCTATACTCCAGCATTTTGGATTTGAGATCAAATGTTTCACATGAAGCGACAGTACAGAATGTCCGATTTTATTTGAGGGTATTTTCATACATACAGTGCCTTCAGAAAGTATTCACAATCCCTTAACTTTTTCAACATTTTGTTGTGTTACAGCCTGAATTTAAAATGGATTAAATTGAGATTGTGTGTCACTGATCTACACACAATACCCCATAATGTCAAAGTGGAATAATGTTTTTAGACATTTCTACAAATTAATTAAAAATGAAAAGCTGCAATGTCTTGAGTCAATAAGTATTCAACCTCTTTCTTATGGCAAGCCTAAAATAAGTTCAGGAATAATAATGTGCATAGCAAATCACATAAGTTGAATGGACTTACTCTGTGTACAATATAGTGTTTAACATGAATGTTGAATGACTACCCCATCTCTGTACCTCACACATACAATTATCTGTAAGGTTCCAAGCACAGATTCAACCAAGAAGACCAGGGAGGTTTTCCAATGCCTTGCAAAGAAGGTCACCTATTGGTAGATTGGTAAAAATAAAATAAAAAGCAGACATTGAATATCCATTTGAGCATGGTGAAGTAATTAATTACAGTTTGCATGGTGTATTAATACACCCAGTCACTACAAAGATACAAGCGTCCTTCCTAACTCAGTTGCTAGAGTGGAAGGAAACCGCTCAGGGATTTCCCCATGAGGCCAATAGTGATTTTAAAACAGTTAGACTTTAATGGCTGTGATAGAAAACTGAGGATGGATCAACAACATTGTAGTTACTCCACAATACTCATCTAAATGACAGAGTGAAAAGAAAGCATGTACAAAATAAAAATGTTAAAAACATGCATCCTGTTTGCAATAAGGCACTAAAGTAATACTGCAAAGAATGTGGCAAATAAATTGAATAGAAAGCATTATGTTTGTGGCAAATCCAATACAACACATCACTGAGTACCACTCAGTATTTTCAAGCATGATGGTGGCTGTATCATGTTATGGGTATGCTTGTCATTGGAAAGGACTAGGTAGGTTGTTTTGGATAAAAATAAATGTAATAGAGCTAAGCACAGGCAAAATCCTAGAGGAAAAACTGGTTCAGTCTGCTTTCCAACAGACACTGGGAGACAAATTCAACTTTCAGCAGGAAAATAACCTAAAACTCAAGGCCAAATATACACTGGAGTTGCTTACCAAGACGATGTTGAATGTTCCTGAGTGGCCTAGTTACAGTTTTGACTTAAATCGGCTTGAAAATCTATGGTAAGACTTGAAAATGGCTGTCTAGCAGTAATCAACAACCAACTTGACAGAGCTTGTTTAAAAAAAAAATAATGGTATTTAAGTATTAAAAAAATTATAATGGGCAAATATTGTACAATCTAGGTGTGCAGAGCTCTTAGAGACTTACCCAAAAAGACTCACAGCTGTAATCTCTTCCAAAGGTGATTCTAACATGAATTGACTCAGGGGGTTGAATGCTTATCTAATCAAGCAGTTTGTTTTGGTGGTGTTTTGGATTATGTTTTGCCCAATAGTAACTGAATGATGACTTGAGTAATTTTCTTTCTAAATGAGTAGATAAGATGTTTCTGAACACTTCTAAATTAATCCTGATAGTAAGAAAAATCATGATTGAATCATGAATAATGATGCCGTTCAGAGGCTACAACAAAACATGCTAACCTCTCACAATTACCAATAACAGGAGAGATTAGCATTTTCTGGGGGGTATGATCTTTATGCCTCTGTAACCTTCTCACTCAGACATTCACGATTCATTCATGGTTATCCATAATCATGGTAGCATCCACATGAATGTATAAGTGTTCAAAAACATATTCTATTCTTACTTAATGTACAATCAAAGTGACTCCAAAATGGCATAAGACATTATTCACCATTCAGTTCCTGTTGGGCAAAACATAATCCAAATCAAACCGCAAATTCATCCAAAAAGTTTGTAGAGTCACAAGCTTGATGTAGTCATTGCGTGCAAGGAATATGGGACCAAATACTACACTTTTAACTACTTTAATACACTATGTGAATTTGTCCAAATGGGTGGACTAGATACATAAAGTGCTTTCATTTCTAAATAGTAAAACAGATATGTTTGAAAATACCCTCAAATAAAACCTGACATTCTGTACTGTCGCCTATATGAAACGTTCTATATTAAATATAAAATGCTGGAGTATAGAGCCAAAAAAAAGTAAGTGCTTCACTCTCCAAATACATATGGAGGGGAGTGTATTTGCTTCTGCTGTGTTACTATCCAACTCTGAAAATTAGTTACATTGACTTGCATTCTCACACTCAACCATGTTCTCTGTTTTTAAAAGTTCAGCTCAGGGGAAAACCAATCCCTTTCAAGGCACATTCACCCTAGTGAGAGGGAGAGGTGGGAGTTGGCATACATAGTGAAAACATTAGTGAGTCAAGCATTACTATGTAGTAGTACTGTCTACAATCTTCAAGTGTTCCCTCTCCTGTGCAGAGAGCAGGAAACCTGTTGAGATACCAAACAGATGGGGCATGGACTAGTTTGTCATAATATTCATCATTAATTTCCTTCAGCCAATTCTGTAATGATGAACATGCCCGATTCTCAAGGCAAGGGCATATTGTCCCTTGTAGCAAAGCAAGGTCCCCTGTAGCTCAGCTGGTAGAGCATGGCACTTGCAACGCCAGGGTTGTGGGTTCGTTTCCCACGGGTGGCCAGTATGAAAAATGTATGCACTCACTAACTGTAAGTCGCTCTGGATAAGAGCGTCTGCTAAATGACTAAAATGTAAAAAATTACACCATTAATGATGGGGTTCTCTCCATGTCTGCTAAATGGCATATTATTATTATTATTATTATGTTGGCATACAGCATTGACTATAAGCATACACACATAATTTAATCCATTATGAGGTTGGGGGTCTTGGTCCCTTCCATGACAGTCATGCTTAATTTTGACTGCACATTTTAGTGGTCTACCATGGTTATGTTGTAGGATACAACCAACAGAATACAACCCTAGAATGGACACAACCACAACTCCTTTTGCTGTGTGAGTCGTTACCAATGATTTATATATACACTAGATGACACACAGGGTGCACTGTTTTGAAGCCACCACACCTCTATCTTGGCACTCCCCCACAAGCGTAAAAAAAAATATTTTGGAAGGCATAAAAATGCATTTATTAATGTTTACATTTCTTTTTGCCACGTTTATTATATTACTGACACCTTCATGCATACTGTTTAAGTATATTATGTGAGCTAAACATAAAAAATTAAAAACTATATTAAAATATTTTACTTAAAATATATTTTTTGGAAAGTACTAATGTTACTGTCCCACTACAACAACACATATTTAAATACATGTAATTTTGTCCTTGAAACCTTTAATTGAAATACAGCTTCAAAGCCTCTCATTGGCCAATACATAGCATCAGCAATCCAGGGTTTATATACATGATTGGTCGTGACCTACATAATGAGCATGAGCTCGCAGGGGGAGTGGCCAATTTCGACATGTATATATATAGGACCTCCCCGCGCTGAAATAGAAGTTATGATATGGCCGGTAGAGGCGAACTGAAATGTCCCCCTATAAACCAGAAGGCGGAGAAGAGCACGAAGTGAGGAGGCTACGATCCAGTCGTGAGTGATACTCCATTTCTTTACTCCATCCTTGAGTCAAGTTCTCAGAACGAACGGTTAGCGGGAGAAATACTGTCAATCTAGCCATAAAAAAAAGCAGAATGACTAGACATGATGCACGTGCAATAATTGCTGTTATCTCATTACGAGGAAGAATAGATATAGTCAATAAATGCATTGTATCACATGTTGTGCGGATTGTCATTGTTTGGTTTGCAGTGCAAGTCCACTGCGTGCGGTCATTCGCTTGAACCACAGACAAGCTGTCAATTTAGAGCGGATGGGCACCAGACTTTCTAGCCAGAAATCCAGAAACGATCATCATGCTCAGAAATACATTCCGGCAGACAAACTGAGGCTGTAACAAAGTAATGCATTCAGCCAGACAAACTGAGGCTCTAAGAAAGTGTTTCATACTCGCTGTCAATCTTGTCTTGGAGCATTTCGTATTATTTTGTACGTAAATCCGAGACTCTGTTTAGAACGTTTCATATGGTATGTATTTATTTGTGGCTGTCATCACACATTTTAGCTAGGGTTTAGGGTTAAGTTTAAGGGGTTAGGTGAAGGGTTAGCTAAAAGGGTTAAGGTTATGGGAAGGGTTAGCTAACATGCAAAGTAGCTAAAAGCAGTAAGTCGTTGAAAAGTTGCTAATTAGTTCAAATGCTGAAGTTGTATGTGATGAGATTCGAACTCGCAACCTTTTGGTTGCTAGACGTTTGCTTATACGTCTACCCCGACTAACCACCCTCCTATCGTTTTAAGTAACCATCTGTCTTATGTAACCATACCAAACATAACATATCATACTAAATGGGGTGTCTCGGATTTACATACAGAATAATACAAAATGCTCTGAGACCAGGTTGCAACTGTACCTGTATTTGGCCAATTTGATGTACTATTTGGGTCCACGAAATGAGTGCCTTTTGCGTTGACATTTTAAGTAGAAATTGTGTACAAATATTGCATTTTAAAAGCATGTTATATTAAATAAAGTGCCTTTTTAATATAGCTACAGATTTTTTTATTTTTTTGGGGGGGGGCGAGATTAGTTTTTTAATAAGTTGAACATGTGCTCTTTATGACAATGTCGAAATAATATGAAATAAAGTGGTGTAATCACCCAATTTCTGACCGCATTGCAGCAGTGGACATATGCCTACTGGACATGTATGTTCTTTGAAGGCTGTAGATCTGTGATGCAGAGCCCCAGTATGAAGGCCAGTCAGGCCGGTGGCCCCCCTGATGGGGGCTATGGATGGGTGGTGGTCACCTCGGCCTTCTTTATCATGGGCCTCACTACAGGCGTCCTCAAGAACTTCGGCCTCTTCTTCCTAGAGATCCAAAACCACTTTGGAGTCCTCACCAGCACCACTTCATGGGTCACCTCCACTATGATAGTCATGTTTCACTTGGGAGGTAAGTGATGGTGAGGGCAACTTGTCTTGTTTGCATTGCAGTTTAACTTCTATTTCATCGATCTACACGTGACTGTATTGCATTGTTCTAAAGTGTTATAAGTTGGCCAAAGAAACAAACATGGGTTTCATGCTCAAACAACTAGAGACAAGGTTGACATTTTGTTATAGTAACTATTACCTAGTAATAACCACTAGAACATTCCACTCTGGTTCCTGTAATGATTTGTCTCCTCAACTCAGCCCCAGTCGCCAGTGTCCTGAGCATGCACTGTACCCAGAGGGCAGTCGTTATGATGGGAGGGCTCCTCACTGCTTCAGGGATGATCCTGGCTTCTCTCGACCTCAGTCTTCCATGGATGTACCTCAGCATCGGCATACTGCAAGGTAGGGTTGAGGGCTCCCCAAGTTTAAAAAAATGTCACATTTAAAAACAGTTTCTGAGCTGAGTTCTTGGTGAGTTCCCAGGGTGACTTTTTAAAAAAAGGTGAAAAAACAGAGTTTTTTTTTGTCAATGACCAATCACAGGAGACAACGATCACCATACCACCACACCAGCCCATACAACCTACTGTACCAGTACAGTTAACAACAAAATTAGTTACATGAAAACAAAAGGCATTACCTTGACCTTGAGTGATTTTTAGATTTCAGGAGGTTGAGAAAATAGAACTGAAATGGTCATCCCTGAGGGTAAACAATCCTGATGAGTTTTGCCTTGTGACCCCAACCAGAACACATTGTAACTAAACAACTTGGGGTGTAGTTATTGATTAGCTATATTGGCTCATTAAATTTGAGCACATACACACTATAAATTACATTTAGAATCAGACCAACACAGACCCAAGATTTATCTTAACTTTTATTTTTATTTCTTAGGTTTGGGTCTTTCATTTTCCTGGTTACCAGCCAACAGCATAGTGAGCCACTACTTCCTGAAGTGGCGTCCCATAGCGTATGCCATAGCCAGCTCCGGGGAGTGTGTTTTTGCCATGGTGTTCAGTCCTTTCTTCCAGTGGCTCATCGAGGCCTACACCTGGCAGGGAGCACTGCTCATCATAGGGGGCCTTCAGCTCAACCTCTGTGTCTGTGGAGCCCTCATGAGACCTCTGGAATTCAAACCCCATAATCCCACCAAGCCAAATAAGGACAACCACCAGGACTCCAAAGCTGCTGATGACCCGACGCCAAAGAAGCTAAGCTTCCAGTGGACTTTGCTAAGGAAACCAGAACTGCTGCTCTACATCCTGTTTGCCATTTTTGCTGCTGCAGGATTTTTCATCCCACCTCTCTTCCTGGTTCCATATGCCACCAGCCTGGGATTGAAGAACTACTGGGCGGCGTCCATCCTGTCTGTGCTGGCTTTGGCTGATCTGCTTGGTCGTCTGGGCTGTGGTTGGCTGGCCAACCTGAGGCTGGTGAGGAACCTACAGCTGCTGACGATGGTGGTCACCATGTTGGGGGTAGTGCTACTACTGCTGCCCATTGGCAAGGACTACTGGATCCTCCTGGTCTTCTCCTCGCTCTATGGTTTTCTGTTTGGCTGCGTGGTAGCCATCCATGTGACGTCCATTGTGGACATAGTGGGCCTGGAGGGGTTTGACAGCGGCCTGGGACTCTTCATGCTCTTCAGAAGCATCGGGGGCTTCATTGGTCCACCTGCTGCAGGTGAGAGATTGGGGCGAATTTACAATGTTAACATGCACTAACTGAAGATTTGCACCCATTTTCACTTTGAATGAACTAAGCTTTCATTCAGTGAAGCTACTGGTTTATTCATCCAGGGCAGCAGTTGGTGTGGGCTCAAATGTATTCTCCTCTTGGCACAGGTTGGCTGGTTGACCAGGACAAAGACTTTGGTGCAGGCTTCTACCTGTCTGGATTGGTTCTCATCATATCTGGTGTGTTTGTGGTGCTGGTGGACCGGCTTGTCGAGAGGAAGAAGGCCTCTCCCAGTGAAACCGACCTAGAGGCCACTCAGGCCTGTGCTTACAAGATGGGAGTGAAGGTGGTTGTGAGTGAGAGCAACTGTAAATAATGTTAATCTGTTTCAGGGGATATGGAAGTAAATATGTTTGCAGTTCATGGGCTCTTGGGATGGCTTAAGTCTGAGCTTGTAGCGTGTAGTCAGGGTTTTATATATATTAAGCTGCGTCACAGGAGTAAGGTACAGTAAGTAATGGAGGGTGTTGATATTATACTTGGTCGGTCACCATTTGCAAAGTTGCCGGTGTACATATGTTTGAACAGATTGTACAGTAGTGTTTATCACTTTTAATCCCTACCACTAAGTTTTTGAATGTTCACTGATTTTGTCTTGAAATTGTCAGTTATATACTCGTTCATACAGGTATACTGTATGCCATCTAGAAAGTTATATCAGGTATTTTTATTGTTTTTATCTCTGGTGCAATGCATGTATTTTACCTACATTTTAAATGGTGATTGGTCAGACTTGGTCAGACCTGCTGCTAACATCACCTATGCTAAGGCACATAATCTGAGTAAAGGTAAGTACTTTCTATGTGCCGCTTTACCTGTACGTTTGTTAACTTGAATATGTCATGTGCTATAGGGTTAATGATAAATCAATGTTATTTATCCCCCTTTTACACAACAGAATATTGCCCATGTCAATCTAGTACTAGAGCTGTGTCTCAGCACTTTACATGTCACCAGTGCCTTCTTATTGTTGTATAATTATTGCTTATGTATTACCATTGATTTTTCAATACAGACTCTCTATTGAAATAGTATATCAAGCTTAATGGTTGTTGTGCAAATTCCTTCCATCCACATTAGAAAAGGTTGTCAACTGTTGCCACACCATTTAGTCCTCCCCTGATAACAATGTTTCTGAAATAATGATCGGTCTGTTTCAAAAGCTGAATGTCTTCTGTAGCCATTAAATCTTCCTTCACCAAAATGGGTCAACTGAAGAGCAGAAATGACTGATGGGAGGAGCTAGAGGAGGACGGCCTCGTTGTAATGGCTGGAATGGAATAAATTGAATGGAGTCAAACATGCGGTGACCATGTTTGAAACCATTCCATTCCAGCCATTACAATGAGCCTCTCCTCCTATAGCTCCTCTTCTGCTGAAGATGCATTGCCCAGCATTTCTTTTGTTTAAAACTCACTGTGATGGAAGTACCCAAGCCCTGCTCTCTCAGGCGCCATTGTCGTTCTACTTGAGTTGCACACCTAGGGGCTAGATATGTGCTAGCTGACACCCTCATAGTGGTTGTTTTGACATTTTCTGAGGTGCAGAGATATCCAAGCCACAACCGGCTCCTTGCATTATCTTATCGCGGACACTGCCATTGGATGCAACGAAACCACCCGACTTTATAATCCAACAAATCCCATGCAGCCGCGTTACAAATTAAAACACTTGAATGCGCGATATGTTTACACCTCGATTAGACTATAAATTCCACCCACCCATCCATTGTAATATGACAACATGCATTAGCCTACACTCGATTAGATATCCGAAATTCTCAGGAGGGCAATTTCTGATGATTTCAGTACCTACATTTTAAAAAGATATGTCAGCATGAAACAGGGACATGTCAATATGACACTCCTAAAACAAATGCAGTTAGGGGTTCCTAACACTGCATAACCATTGTTTGGCTTGTAAAAAAGAACATATTTGCAATTGTTAGATTTGTAAATATGAACAACCATATTCTGGCCAATTGTATAGATTTGTAAAAATGAACATGAACAGATTTTTTATTTTTTTGAATGGCAGTACCTTTCAAACATGTCTGCTTGCAGTAAGGTAGCACTCACAAGGTGGCCAGAGAAAGAGAACCTTTCTTTGGTGTGATCCAGGATGGTGTTGCAGACCTCTTCAGACAGCCTCTGCTTCTCCTCTTCTCTCAAAGCTGTTCTGGGTCTTTTGGCTCCTGTTGCTTCTTGCAGCTGCTGTTGAGAGGAGTCCCTGAAGGCAAACAGACCAATGTGTTTGTTGGCTTTGTACAGTATTGTTGTCTATGTGATGCACAGGTATATGCAATGTATCCATGTATAGTACAAATACTTCAGTTCCACTTAAAATGGGCAGGGATGCATAAAGTCTTTAGTGTTTAAGTTAGCCTTTGTGTCTCACATAGCCTGGATGTTCAGCACAGTATACAGTGGTGCTCATAAGCTTATGATCCCATGCTAAAGTTGACTAAAAAGAGGAATAAAAAAGAAAAGAAAATTGGTGTCCTTAAAGGTTGGATTTTCCAACTTTTTTAATTAAGTCATTAAGATCAATTTCCAAAAGATGATTTTTTTATTTTTTTATTCCTCTTTTTAGTCAGCTTTAGAATGTGTTCATACACTTATGAGCACCACTGTACAGTACACATAGTATATAAAATAAGATAGATTACACCACTGGCCATATATAATGACAATAATGTAATTTCAAACACAAATGCAGTCTCCTTTCATGCATACATTTTCAAATAAAGCTCTGCTTTGAGAAAGATCGAATGATATTGTTTAATCTTTATCTTACCTTATGGCCTGCACACTGCTTGCGAAGCTGTCGAGGGCACGTTTGATAAAGACAGCATCGATGTCCTTATTCTGTAGCTTCTGGTACGGTGGGCTGGTCAAAGGATGGCTTCAAAACATTCTATGAGGTCGTCTCGATTCTCGTAGACAGTGTTCACGACTCTGCTGTTGCTAACCTCATCGTTGTGGCGGCGGACAGCTAGCCTGTATCCCTCATCCAGTTGAGTGGCAATATTCACTCTCACCAAAGCAGACAATCTCAAACAGCTATCAATGTGGGTCTTTGACAGCTCATTTTTCTTAATCTTTTCTGAAAGATGGTGCATGTCGGTTACACCAGTCGCTGTCCAAGCGTTGCTGTCTGCCGTTCATGGTTACGTTACGTTACGTATGACGAAAGCGCGTAAGTGCAAGCCCTCAGACACCCATAGAGAATGTATTGAAAGCTCAGAAATTTGAAAAAAAAATATTTTACATTAGAGGCTATGAGAGACTTCTGGGCGATTTTCAACCTGACTGAAATCGCCCCAAAACGGGCGGGGACATTTGAAGCACGACTTTAGCCTGATTGGACATTTAGTGGCTGGCAGATCAGACGTGAACACTGAACTACTGTTGCCATGATATAATTGATTAGAAAAAAAATCCCTTCCTTTTCCCGTTTGGCAGTGCGTCGCCCATATCGCCCTATTGAACACACCGCCCATGCCTACACTTTCTATCACCGTTTGAACTTCTAAAGTGGTCGGGATAAGGGAGTTGTTGCGTGTTGCGTCATATGATGCAAACGCATCGTACAGGGATGATTTCTGTATTTTGATTTCTGTATTTTGATACATATCTTAAACTTCATTGCTGACAAGCAAAACATTTTGGGACTATGTCAACAATGGACTACTAAAACAAATAGCAAAATAGTTATTGGGTGGATTTAAGGACTTTAATCAAGGAATTAGTTGGCCGAATAGTGGCCTCCATTTTGGAAAGATAGAAGGGTACTTTTGCACTATTAAAAAAACGTTATCTGAAAATGTTACTTAAAAAAAACATCTGTATGTATTTTATGCCCATCAAAGTGGGTTACGTGTTTATTTTTGCCAACATGTTAAAATTTACTGAATGTGTGGTGGCTGTACCATAGCACAAACCTGTATTTTTTTTTATCCCGAAAGGGCACGAGGCAATTGTTGTCTAGGGAACAATCGCTCTTCCCTGTGCTCCTTAAGTTGATTTGCTACTGTAATTTCACTTACACACTAACCAGACCAAGGCCAGTGCATACGTGAGAACAATGGTGTGCGTGAACGGAACAGACCCTCAAGTTAGCAAGCTTTTCAAATTGAGTCTCATACACCCTTTGAAAATGGTATTCCTACATGGTGAATGAGTTGCAAAAACAACCTCATTAATCACAAGTCCATGTGTAATTTAATCATACATACAGGCTGTAGATCTTACAAGTTGTCTATTTTGGGTCTAACCAATCTATTTACGTTGACCTTCACCACAGCACTAACTTTAAAGTGTCAGGATTATTTTAGTTTAAAGTCATTTACATTTTAGTCATTTAGCAGACACTCTTATCCAGAGCGACTTACAGTTTGTGAGTGCATACATTTTCATACTGTCCCCCCGTGGGAAACGAACCCACAACCCTGGCGTTGCAAGCGCCATGCTCTACCAACTGAGCTACAGGGGACCAAGTCATGCACCCACAACTGTTCCATTGATTGTGCTTATGTTTTCAGTTGTACAATAAGTCACACAATGTATTTACTGAGGCAAAGAGAAAAGATTATCACCCAATAGGATTAACAAAATGAAGGAACTTCTCTGGGGTTCTCATGCCATGTCCGTGGGCAGAGTGAACTGGACATTCATTCTTTGAACTAATACTTTAAGCCCAATTAGTTAGAGATAAAGACTGAACGCAGGACAGTCACGAGAACTGTAATCGTCACTTTCACACAATTACAATGTCATCTTAGTCTCTGTTTTGGAGATGAGAAATATCTCAATGTCCAAATGTATTAGTATCAAGTTTCTCAGAACAAATCATGTGGCAAACTGAGTTATTGCTGGTGTTCAACATTCACATCTAGATGGCAGTATTTCCTTAAATGTGAAAAATAACTTACTGAAGTCTAGTCTACTTCCAAAACTCAACAAGAAAAGACAAGGAAAATAGTTGTATTAAACATTGTCTAAATGGGTTGAATTTCTTTTTTAAGATCATTAGAAAACTATCCATAAAAATTCTTAACATCAAGACTAGTATAAGTGATTAGGCAAACGTGTCAAAATACACATTTTAAACATTTTCATGCACAGAACACAGCAAATATTAACAAAAACCCTACACAAGTTGATCTACGTGTCAGTCCGATCCGGTATTTTAGAGCATAAAACGGCATGGAGGGAGAGTCAAGGCAACTATTTGTACAACAGAAAAGAGTCGAGGCACCGAGGGCATATCATTGAAATACAGAAAAACTACGGTGTACAATACAACTCAATGGATTTTCAGAATTTGGAAGTGTGATGAATGATGACTGCTGGTATAACGGAGGCGTTCGTGTCATGAGGAAGCTCTCTTCTCCTCGTATGGTGACTCGTACACGTCCATGGGGGGGCAGGTGCAGACCAGGTGCTGGTCACCGTAGATGTCGTCGATCCTGGAGATGGATGGCCAGAACTTGGTCTCGGGCCTCACGAATGGCTGGAAATGGGGGAAAAATTGGAGTTGACCTTCCTTATTAGAAAGAGTAAAATAATCTGTGTATAAAGATTGTTAACGCTGATGTAAACATGTTGACATTCACATGAAAACAGAGCCATTTTTAGCTCCGGGGGGGGAAGTGGAGTTGGTAGTGTGTGTTGATGTTTTCCAGAGTGAAAACTCACCAAGGGGAAAGCAGCGTACTCCCTGGAGTAGGGCCTATCCCAGGTAGAGGAGGTGATGCTGGCCAGGGAGTGAGGTGCCATCTGTGGACACAGAGACCCCAGTGAACACCTATTTTAACTGCTCTGGTGACATACAGCAACTCTTGCTACATTTAGGTGCTACCATTAATGCACAGATTTATGCTCAATAAAACTATAATAAGGTTGTCCAAATCACAGCGGTATGTCTTATCACAATTAGTTGTTATTTCTTAAACTGACTAGTGAAAATCTTGCTTTTAAAAGTTCATACTCTGTTAACTCCAACCCCAAATAATGTTGACTAATTCTAAAAATAAATAAAACACTTCAAAAACCCCACCTCAAACAGAGTTTCAAAAATGCTTGCCATTTTCTCAGAGGACGTCAACAACACTAAACAGTTACTTTAAGTTGAAATATGGAAGGCTGTCACTCACACCGATTTGATTTAGTAAAATTGCTACGAGTTTAAAGACCACTGTATGTATGTAGCTGACTGCATGGCTTGACACACACACACACACACTCACATATTGTTAGTTGTCTAGGAGTCAGGACAGTGCCGTACCTTCAGTGGGTTAATGCGGGCATCCATTCTGCCTTCCTCAATATCTGCTATTTCCTGTCTGATTCCCATCAGCGAGTCACAGAAGCGGTCCATCTCTGCCTTGTCCTCCGACTCAGTGGGCTCAATCATCAGGGTCCCTGCCACGGGCCACGACATGGTGGGGGCATGGAAACCTGACCAAGGTCAGACACACAGGGGGATGAGGGGGCTCACAGCTAAATTCCATTTTTTTTAAACTATATATATATATATTCCTAATTATTTTTGATTTAATAGAGTAAGATGCGGAGAGACAAGTGGACCATGTTGACCTTTCAGCAGTACCCAGTGTGTTCCAGCTCACCATAATCCTGGAGCCTTTTAGCCACATCCACCGCTTCAATGTTGGCGGACTTCTTGAATGGCCTCACATCCAAAATAAATTCATGAGCACAAAAGCCTGTGGACAAAAACAATCTGTGATAATTAAATCAACATTTTGCTAGTGTCGGCTAATTACTGAAGGACACAGGAAACCATAAAACAGGGATGGGTTCTCAAACTCATTTGTCCCTTGACCGCATTTTGTTAAATCAGAACGTTTTCGCAACCCCACCATGTTTAAAAAGTGATGTAATCAACAGCAAATGTTAACTTTTATTTGGGAGCATGACAGTCCATTACAAATCAGTATTCTAATCTGAAGGGAATATGGTTCCAAGTGACAAATGCATCAGAAAGGTATTGGGAAGTTTAGGGGAAAAAATCAAGGAAGATCATCTGGCAATAATCGTATGATCTTCTGTGTAGAAAAGATAATTGCTTTCAGTGATGTGTTCTTTTTCCCTCCAGTCAGATTTGGTGACTGGTCCTGTCCACTCTGTTTTAAGTCCTGCGCAGCTTGTGCGCCGCAGCTTGTGCGCGTCGTAGAGGGAAAAAGACACGTACGTGTTCCTGCGAGTTTCACCTTTCAAACAATGGGGTCATAATAGCTTATAGCTCCAACCGTTCAAAAATTTGAGCCACATTTGTAGGAAGAAAAAAGAAACTGCTGTTTGTCCCGACCGCTTATAGCTGATATCAAAGGTTACTCGCGTACCTGCGGTTCTATGAACTGAGCGGCACATTAGTTTCTCTCACCCAATTTTCAAATCAGGCGAACCCACATAGGGTCATGACCCCTAGTTTGGAAAACGCTGCCATACGGGGTGAATAGGAACTCTACCACTCACCTTTCCTGCCTTTGAAGAGGATCTTGTAGTGGCTCTCCAGTCTCTTAGCCATATAGTTGGCATTCAGGATAGCCACCTCTGTGGCGTGAACCAGCCCCTTGGCTCCCATCATCTACACAGTAGGATACAACGTCAGGGTCTATATCGACATGTACTCAACTGATGTCGCTGCTTTAGTTGCATGTTTTTTTTCTGCATTTGCCTAGAAAGACAATTTGAGTATCCTGAATAACACTATTCTAACAAATCTATCATCATTATTTAAATTACATGGCACTAAACCATAAGATGCAGGTTGGCATGTAATGTCATGACTTGTGTACTGGAGGCAGCTCTGCAGTGGTCACAAGCTGGCATAGCCACAAAGTAATACAAAGTAAAACCTAAAATTAACCACACTGCTAACCCTAATGCGTAACCTTAATTTCAGACCAAAAAGAACATTTTGGTTTCCATGAATTTTCACGATATGGCCTATATTGACTTTGCAGCTGGCCCATCTAGCAGAAATCACTCAGTTCTTCCTCCAGGGCAAGATTCATGACAAACGTCAACCTGCTCATAGGATAGATACAATCCTGTAGTACTGACCTTGATGTAAGCCCAGGAGATGGGTAGGATGGCACTGGAGCCCCAGGGGGCAGCACTGATTGTGCCCAGGGAGCTGGACATGTTGCCTGCTGACATTAAGACTACTGGGTGGCTAGGCAGGAACGGGGCGAGGTGCTCCTTCCTGTTAACATACACAACTCGATTTAAGTCATCAAAAGTAATTGCTTATCCACTTTTAAATTACGTTTTTTTGCACTAATGCTTAGTGAGAGTAGTGACCTGACCAGGAAAAAACTGGATTTGGCCAGTTATATTTCCTTTGGGCAGTTTTTGTGCTTAGCCCATCAATGTGCGTTTGAGGGAAACTATCCAGTTTGTCTCACTTACACTCCAATAGGTCCCATCCCTGGTCCTCCGCCCCCGTGGGGGATACAGAAAGTCTTGTGGAGATTCAAGTGAGACACGTCAGATCCGTAGTCACCAGGACGACACAGGCCCACCTGTAAAGAGAAGAGCAGGAGAGAGCAGTGATGATGATGTAAAAGAAAGGCAATTCTCCAAAGTTACATTTTCTCTCATCTGCAGGAAGGGGGCACTACTGTACTCTGAGGGTAAAATGCATTTGACCTGGGTTCAAAAATAATATTTCAAATTGAATAGCTCAAATACACTACATTACCAAAAGTATGTGGACACCTGCTTGTCGAACATCTCATTCCAAAATCATGGGCATTAATATGGACTTGGTCCCCCCTTTGCTGCTATAACAGCCTCCACTCTTCTGGGAAGGCTTTCCACTAGATGTTGGAACATTGCTGCAGGGACTTGTTTCCATTCAGCCACAAGAGCATTAGTGAAGTCTGATGTTGGCACTGATGTTGAGCGATTAGGCCTGGCTCACAGTCGTCATTTCAATTAATCCCAAAGGTGTTCCATGGGGTTGAGGTCAGGGCTCTGTGCATGCCAGTCAAGTTCTTCCACACTGATCTCGACAAACCATTTCTGTATGGACCTCGCTTTGTGCACGTGGGGCATTGTCATGCTGAAACAGGAAAGGTCCTTTCTCAAACAGTTGCCACACAGCACAGAATCGTCTAGAATGTCATTGTATGCTGTAGCGTTAAGATTTCCCTTCACTGGAACTAAGAGGTCTAGCCCAAACAATGAAAAACAGCCCCAGACCATTATTCCTCCTCCACCAAACTTTACAGTTGGCACTGTACATTGGGGCAGGTAGCGTTCTTCTGGCATCCGCCAAACCCAGATTCTTCCGTCGCACTGCCAGATGGTGATTCATCACTCCAGAGAACAAGTTTCCACTGCTCCAGAGTCCAATGGCGGCGAGCTTTACACAACTCCAGCTGACGCTTGGCATTGCGCATGGTTACCTTAGGCTTGTGTGCGGCTGCTCGGCCATGGAAACCCATTTCATTAAGCTCCCGACTAACAGTTAATTGTGCTCACGTTGCTTCCAAAGGCAGTTTGGAACTCAGTAGTAAGACACATTTTTACACGCTTCAGCACTCGGTGGTCCCGTTCTGTGAGCTTGTGTGGCCTACCACTTCGCGGCTGAGCTGTTGTTGCTCCTAGACGTTTCCACTTCACAATAACAGCACTTACAGTTGACCGGGGCAGCTCTAGCAGGGCAGAAATGTTATGAACTGACTTGTTGGAAAGGTGGCATCCTATGACGGTGCCACAATGAAAGTCAATTTGAAGGGGTGTCCACATACTTTTGGCCATGTAGTGTATTTATACGCTTTAGAATGACACTTCCTGTTTTGGCAGGAAATACTAGGTTACCCGGGAGAAAAGGGATTTATTCTCGGGATGGAACATTTGTAAAATACTGAAAATATTCAACCCTACTCTGTACGCTGTAGAATAGTGCAATCCCTGAGACGCTTGTAAAAAATATACTTTCATAAGGTTCTTTCAAATACACTTCTGTAATATGACTCAATATTCAATGATGATGGGTCCATGACTCAATTAACACCTGGATAAGCAACCCAATTTGTTAGTTTTTTTTAACCAAAAAAGGTCTTACAACAGTTTTAGTATACAACAGAGTTAACTTTCAAATTACCTATGCGGTGTCATGTCCACAAAATGTTTTACTTAAATCAGCAAGGTGACACGCTTATACTCTTCTCTCACCTGTGCGTTCATATTAGCACCGTCCAGGTAGACCTGTCCTCCGTTCTGGTGGATGAGATTGCACACATCACCGATGCTCTCCTCAAACACACCAAAGGTGGAGGGGTACGTGATCATCATGGCTGCCAGATTAGCCTTGTGTTTGTCCACCTGAGAGAGGAATAATGGGTTAGTCTGTGTGACACGACAGTCCACTTTTAAGGGAGCTAATTGACCGCTAATTACACTACCACATAGTGAGTGACCTGACTGTCGGGCCATCATGTTCCTCAATGATTTTTTGTGCATAGATTTACAAAGCATAACGGGATACTCAAGATAATTGGTTAGATTGAAAGGCTCCTCTGTAACAGTGAGCTTAGCAGAATCACTCCAACCAGCTCTTACCAGTGCCTTGAGGTTTGCCATGTCAATGTTGCCATCCTTGTCCACCTCCACCACCTGCACCTTCATGCCAGCCATCTGGGCACTGGCCGGGTTGGTACCATGGGCTGACTTGGGGATCAGACAAACCTAAGCAAAAGGAAAATATCAAACAGTTACACTCAGACCATCACAAAGTAAAAGAGAGAGAATTAGGCCTAAGAAAGTCAACCATTAGAGCCATCATTAGATAGTCCTAAGATTTCTTTGCGCAAATCTCCAATTGACATTAAACATGATTTTAGAAAATAGGTCATCAATTGATTTTATCCCTTATAAGGAGACTTATTTTGACATTTTGCAATATTGTCACACAAGGTCACCAAGACCTGTGTGTTTGTTTGGTAACGTTTACATTTCCCCCCTGACAGGAAAAACAAACTGAGGTCAATCTGTTTTGTCCATGACGTGCTGTTCCCAAAGTCTTTAAATCACCAAATATGGGATCTTGGAATCAAGTAACCTCCAGACAGTGTTATTTTCTGTCCCTTATTTGCACAACTGTGGACCTTGACTGTTTCAAGAGCTCACGCCACTATCAAAGATGTGCTTATAAGGGAGTTGTTAAAAAAAAAACAGCCAAATTATAAAACTGGAAATCTACTTGAACAAGCAGTCTTATCTTCAGTCACTTTTCTATCATATTCCTATCACCGGATATCCTCAAGCCACTGCAACCCAGCACATTGTGACACTTGGGGCCTTTCAAAGTTCCTGTAGAAGTATCCAAACACAACCCTCTATTCTTCAGATAGGGCTTTTCCAATACAATGTCTGTCGGCAAACAAGTGATTGATAAAAATTGATTAAAAACGAGTCCCTTTATGGCGTTACATGATAAATGATTGTAGGCAGGTCTAAGTATCCAGTGTGGAATGCCATGTGACAGGTTACAGGTTATTCACAGTGAAATGGCTGACGGCAGCAAACATTCAGACTGAAAATGAATTAAGGTCATTTATAGTACACACCCCCCAACATGTACTTTGATAATATTAATTTTATATAATAATGTATATAATCATTTTATATACCAAGGGTGGGTTATCTTGACTCTGCAGGGTATTGCATGTGCGCTAGCAAAGATGAGTTTTGTTTAATCAGAACCATACTTACTGTTCTATGGGCCTCTCCTTTAGAGTTCAGGTAGGCTTTGATGGCCGCGAGGCCAGCGTATTCTCCCTGAGCACCACTGAAAGACAAGGTTATACAGTCTGTTAATGTACCAGACACATGCTCACAGACACATGCTCCCAGTGAAGTCTCAGCATAATCATCAAACGTGCCGAGTTCAAAGGTTAGTCTATATGGGCTTCATAGTAACTGTAAAGGAAAAGCATGGAATAAGAGTTGAACAACCAGGACGCTATCGTTCCAGGCCAATGTAGCACGATGTGCTATTCATCAGCCCCATTTATACTGATAAGTGGGGGACTTGGAACCATAGAGATATCAGCCACAAACTCTGACAGTTATATGATCAAGTAAAAGTAATCAATTGACAATGGGGTATGTGTAACAGAGGGCAATTGGGAAATCACGCTCGGATGATGAGTCTGGGAAATTGAAATCCCAGTTGGTCATGAATACCCCACACTGAATGTTGCTGTCAGTGAGGGGCTTACCTGTTGGGTTGGAAGGAGATCTTGTCATAGCCAGTCACCTCACAGAGATCCTTCTCCAGCTGCCTGAAGAGCTGCTGATAACCCTCAGCCTGGTCCAGGGGACAGAAGGGGTGAAGGTTGGCAAACTCCTTCCAGGTGATGGGCTAAAAACAGTGGGAAAGAAGAAACAAAGGGAGAAATATGGGAAATGACAGTCAGCGATATCCTAGTGTTTTTCACAACACCACCACAATATAAGGAGGAGACCAAGAGATTCATTAATCAGGGTTGGGGTCAATTCAAATCGAAGATAGTCAATTCAGGAACTGATTCGAATTTCAAATTCAAAAATGGAAACTTTTAGAATAAATAGCTTTTACTTTTAAGTTTATTGGGAAATCATTGAAAATTGAAGCCCTTTAATTATTGAAGTGGAATTTCAGTACTTCCTGAATTCACTGCCTTCTATCCGAATTGATCCCAACCCTGATATTAACTCACCATGAGCTCTGAAGAACTGTTCAGCTTCATTGTGCAGGAACCCTGACATGGAAAACAAAATGGATATTACAAATAGTGATGGCCGAGTAATCTTTTCAGCAATTTGTAGGTTTTTAGTATTCAGACCATGTAAATAGCTCCAAAGTAAAACATTTCTTCTTTGCCTTCCCATGACTCACCAGTGGGATCATGCTGTGAACCAGAGAGATGTCCTTGTTCTCCAAGCGTTTCATATAGCGCACAATGTTTGTCTCAGAGTGGTAACTGCACGGGATGAAGAATCAGAGTGAATCAAGATTATAAAGATACGTTTTAGGCTTAACGTGTTATTTTACTTTAAAAACCTTAGCTCTAAAACCCTGAAAGGAATTATTCTACCAAGAATCAAGTGGAGTTTGGGAGACAATTAATAAAACATGGAAGGTCAGCTAATGTCTCTCATCAGTCTGGTGTAATTATACTGATAATCCTATCATCACTGAGAACACAAGTCATCATAACAGTTATGGCATAACAAGCTTCATCCTTATCACAACCAATATTGTAATATGTGGCCGCTACAAACAGACCAACCTGTTGAAGACTGTGTGAATGAGGTACTTGCTGGTCCTCTTGAAAGGACTACCCATAATGCCTTTCACCCTTTCACCCATCTTCTCAGCAATCAGCTCCTGTAAATTGAGATTTAATTACATTTGATAGGCGATAGATGAAATCAAAGTATTTGTCCTACGGCTTCAAGATGGACTTTTGCACTCTTAAGAAAGCAATAGGGCCAATGCTGAATATATGCATAATCTTATTCCATTGAACTATTGAAAGCAAACGTACCGCTGAGGATTCACATCCAAAGACCCAGAGCAGATCATCCAAGTCTCTCTCCATCACGGTCTCATCCAGAGACACACCTAACTAGGTAAACAAATAAATCATTTCAACCAATTGCCCACCTTTGATGTGCATCTAAAGCATAAAGGAACATGGCCACGTGGCTTAGTCAGAGGGCTACTCCTTCTACAATGCTGCAAATAGATATTTAATAAGTAGAATTCTAATTATTCTACAATACATTTCTATCTGAATGTTCTGTAACATCTAGCTGAACATTCTGCAACATTGCACCGTCTGGAACTAGCCCCTGGATTTATCTATAAAGTACCACAGTATGAGTCATAATACCCATAAAACCTAGCGGTCATACAGAGAAATGGTTCCAATCATTTTTCCACCATTCATTTTTCCCATAGGGATTTTAGAAACACTTCAAATAAGGGCTGTGTTTCGTTTAGGCTTAACCTGGCGTAATGTTTTGATAACCATGTCAATCTCTCTAGGACAAGGTGACTTTTATCAATATATTTGCCCGTATTTATCCCCCCAAAATGAAATGCTAATAAGCTTATAATGTGGCTATCATAAAGAACTACAAATACCATGATGATCTGGACGAGACTGCCGAATTGAGGCAAAGGTAAGAATCTCTGGATGAACTATCTAATGTTAGCTAAATGTAGTAATGAATAAATAGGCTACATTTCTTTAAATGGTCAATTCTGTGAACTGTCTTGTGCAAGTTTTAAATTGACACAATACCTGTTAGCAAATGTGTCAGCTTGAAGTGACGTGCAGGAGCTTGCAGGGATTTGTAGTTTTGCATGTCTACTTTGATGGTAATTTTCAGTTTCGAATCTGAGAGCAAATAGAGCTGAATATATTGATAAGCCACCTTGACCAAGAGAGATTTACATGGTTATCAAAACGTCACATGAAATTATTTTAAGTGTTTTGCTAAAATCCCCTATGGGAAAAATGAATGTTCCAAAAACAATTGGAACCCTTTCCCCGTTTGACCGCTAGGTTTTATGACACATCCACTGTGGGGGGGGGGGGGGGGGGGGGGGGACACTGGGCGGACGTATATGTAATTTCTTCCCAAACTGCATCTAGTACTACTCACCACTCCCTCGCTGTAGACACGCAGATTGATCTCCCTTTGGACAGCCCTCTCCAGGATGTCCTTGGCTGCCACACTGCAGCCAACCTTCAGCGTGTCGAAGAACATCTCACTGTGCAGCCTGTGTCCGGCCCGCTTCAGACCTGATACAAAAGGATGGCGAGAAAGGCATTTCTAAAAACTCAAAGAATACATTTGTAATTCATCTAAAAATAAGCAATGTTACCATTGTCTTTCTCAATGCACGCTTTTGGTTGAATTTGCTAACGATTGATTGATCATAAAAGTTGTGATGTAAGAAGTAAAAATGTATCTGTGCAGTGAGGGTGTCGGAGGACATACCTTCAGCCAGTATCAGTGCGGCATTGTGTGTCCTCTCAGCAATGTGCTTTAAGCCCTGGGGTCCATGATACACGCCAAACATGGCTGCCATGTTGGCCAGCAGAGCCTGAAAGACACAGATACATTTGAAGGTGAGAAACGTTCCTTTAAATAAATAAAAAACTTATAAATGAAGACAACCACTACATAGTTTTTTTACACAAACTTTCATAAGAGTTGAATACACTTAGGCAACAATCCTGTTCTGGGGCAAAGTGTGTCAATATTAGATGGAGGCTCAGTGTGTTGGTATTGGGGATGTGGCTCAGTGTGTCGGTATTGGGGGTGTAGCTCAGTGTGTCGGTATTAGAGGTGTAGCTCAGTGTGTCGGTATTGGGGATGTAGCTCAGTGTGTCGGTATTGGGGGTGTAGCTCAGTGTGTCGGTATTGGGGGTGTAGCTCAGTGTGTCGGTATTGGGGGTGTAGCTCAGTGTGTCGGTATTGGGGGTGTAGCTCAGTGTGTCGGTATTGGGGGTGTAGCTCAGTGTGTCGGTATTGGGGGTAGCTCAGTGTGATGGTATTGGGGTACAGTACAGTGTGTTGGTATTGGGGGTAGCTCAGTGTGATGGTATTGGGGGTACAGTACAGTACCGTACCTGTGCAGTACAGATGTTGCTGGTGGCCTTGTCTCTACGTATGTGCTGCTCTCTGGTCTGCAGAGCCAGACGGTACACCTCCTTACCAGCTGCATCCCTGCAGACCAACAAGGGACATTTCAAACTAATGTACATCAAGATAGTCTTTATGTATATGTGCATTCTGTATAATTCAGTATTTTCCACTGCAAGCAAGAATGATATAAAGTCAATGTCAACATGCTGTTTATAAAGCCCAACATTGAACAACCTCAAGAGATCTGACTTCCATTCTGAACAGGGCCAATGTGAATCAAGGGCTCTCACCTGGTCACTCCCACCATCCTGCCAGGCATCATCCTGACCAGGTTTTCTTTGACAGAGAAGAAGGCAGCGTGGGGACCACCGTAGCAGAGCGGTACCCCGAACCTCTGGGAGCTGCCCAAGGCGATGTCCACCCCAAACTCTCCAGGGGGGCGCAACACACACAGGGCCAGCAGATCGGTGGCACAGCAAGCCAGAGCCTACAGGGATGAGAGACGGGGAGTCTTCATACAAATCACTGAGGTACCAAACTGGAATCACCACATACACCACTTTCTCATGTGCCCACTGTTCAACACCAACTGATCAACCAAAGACCTGCATCAAAGTCTATACTGTGATTGTATGTAATGTAGCAATGAGGGGTCCTTTCCTACCAAATGAGGAGCAACAAATCCAAATAACACTACCAAACCCCAACCCCCATTTACTTTAAGATAGCATCCTAGGTTAATAAACCAACCATTACCACCAATAGCTCTCTTACCCCTCCCTTGTGAGCACGGTCCACCAGCGCGGTGAAATCCTCCACTCTGCCGTCGGTGTCTGGGTACTGGAACAGCACCCCGCTCACGTCCTTCCCACTGAAGTCCATCTCATGAGGCAGCTTCAGCACAGTCTTCACCCCGATGTAGCTGTTGATCAACAATCAGAGCACCCATAGTGAGGATGCTGCTTTTGGTACACAGTTCTAACCTTGGTCTGAGTGAAGCTTTGAAAGGATGTCCGTACTTGGCTCTGGTCTGCACCACAGCAATCGTCTGAGGGTGGCAACGTGAGTCGATGTAGAACGTCCTTCTCTTGTTCTGTCTGTAGGGAACATAACAACAAACAATTAAAGATGCAATATGTCACTTCTTGGGCAACCTGACCAAATGTACATAGAAATGTGAGTTATAGATCTGTCATGCTCATTGAAAGCAAGTCTAAGAAGCGGTAGATCTGTTCTATGTGCGCTATTTCTATGCTTCCCGTTCTTATGTATTGTTTTAGCCTCTTTTACTTTAAGTTTTGTACACCAGCTTCAAACAGCTGGAAAATATAATATTTTTGGTTATGGAAAACATATTTCACAGCAGTGTAGATGGTACAATGATTCTCTACACTATACTTGCTTGTTTTGTCACAAACTGAAATTCTGCAAACTATTACAATTTTAGGAACCAGGAAATGGTGGGGCAATTTATGCATAGTGCACCTTTAACATGTGTAGGGCCAGGAGTTTTTCCTGAAAAAGTGACCTTACCAGGAGAAACTCTGGGCCTTATTTATACACTATAACTAGACCCTATACATGAACTATACTAAATGAACTACCCTTTAATGGTCAGCCACTATTTCCCTCTTATATTTATTCTCCCCTCACCTATGGCAGAGCTGCATGGCCTCAGCGGCGGCTGTCGCCTCATCCAGCAGAGAGGCGTTGGCCACAGCCATGCCCGTGATGTCACAGATCATGGTCTGGTAGTTGAGCAGACTCTCCAGGCGACCCTGAGCCACCTCAGGCTGATAGGGGGTGTACTGTGTCACCCTGAGGAGAACAGGACACACAGAGAAATCATTACAGATTACATGTACTTGCTACAACTGTGATATGTGGTTGTCTCACCTAGCTATCTTAAGATGAATGGACTAATCGCTCTGGATAAATGACTAAAATATTTTTTTTAATGTAAGAATCTATTACAATACACAGAAAAAGGAATTGAGATACTAGGGTGAAGTGGGTGGAAGTTTATGAAGATAGAGAAAAAGTCAGAGTGCTGTGTCTTTTTTTAAGTTGGACAAAAACAAATCACAAGATCCCACGTGAGGATGTCATTTAATGTGGTGCAAACCTAAACTGGATACTTGAGCCTCAAGTCAAAAGATTTATCTGATTAGGGGCACGTTTTTCTGCAATGTAGCATTTAGTGCTTTAATGACTGGCAGAAGCCCATACATCCATGCACCTTGAGTACACAATCAAATATACAGTATCTTGCCCTATTGATGGAGACAACTTGGCTAGATGCAGAACACATCACAACTCTCTTTTGTTTGTGTGCGTTTGTACCAAAGTGACAGTTACCATCCTGAATTCTCCAGAAGGTTTCTCTGTATAACTGGAGGCACTGAGCAGTTGTAGTAGCCCATTCCGATGTAAGACCTCCACACCTTGTTCTTTGATGCAATCTTTTGGAGATGCTCCAAGACTTCATTCTCGCCTGCAGAAATAGAGATCACAATTGGCATCACATATATTTGAGGCAAAAATGTATTAAACAATTATACCCATACATTTTCTGAACAAACCACCCAAACAAATGGGCAGTAACATCAGATTCACTGTCAAAATGGAGTGGAAAGGAAATTAAACTAAACAGCTTTATGTGTACTCCACGTCACTGTATCGTGTTCTGTGTGAACTGTATACAACATTTCTGTGTGTGTAGAATGCACTTCCATTTGTGCGTCATATTTCTGTCCATTGGAGGGGACAATGATGTGCAACATATGGGCCCTTTCACAAAGGTTTGTTATCTAGCCTAATTCTCCATTAGGAGAAGACCATTCTGCTGTAGGGGAGATCAGCCAATACACACCTAGACACTGGAATTCCTCAGGCATTCCGTCGCTGCTTAGCAACGCCCTCAGCAAGGAATGGACAATACTACCCCTCTGAATCGAGTGCCCAAACTACTCTCATATTCAGGATGAGCATTTCTCCTGTGATTTCTAATGGGGTATACCACCACAAGATCATAAGGTGAACATTTGCAGTTTGAGTTTAGGTGGCACAAAGAATTTAACTGTAAATCCATTCTGCATTCAAAAATGTGCTGCTTTATGACTCAGCAGCACAAGAGAATGGTGTCATCATCAGTAGTAGAGGCCAGTGGTTTAGTGTAGGGTGCCTAATGTGGATTTGCACGTTTCATTAGAGAGGACAGTTTTCCCATGCTCCCAAAGTTCCTCAAAGCATCAGAAAAGCCTGATTCAAAACCATCCAGCACATCTATTGTTGTGAAGAGAATCCCTTGCTGGCTTTGCAAACCAAGCCCCCCCCCCCCCCCCCCCCCCCCCCCCACCCCCACCCCAAGCTGAACAAGCAAAAAGCAGTATGGCCTCCAGTATGTTCCTTCAGCATGGCTTGCTACATAATGGAACAAGACAGAGGCAGAAAGGAGTGACCGAGTGTGGTCTTAGAAACCCCCCCGATCCACTGACCTTCTTATTACCCAACCCAGAATAAGGTCCAAGCATTGTGAATATTCAGTCAATCATTTTGCATAACAATAATGCTGGAAACTCCCCAAATAGCAGATAAATGTGTTATTTTCTAGCATCTGATCAGTAAATAGTACAGTGGTATTTCAGAGTACACTAGGCCAAGCCTTCATTACCAATTGAATGACTTATTCCTCTCACCATGTTGAGCACTGCTGGAATAACAGGATAGTGAAAACAATGACTAATGTAACTGATGCAAAACAGAAAATAATGCAACAATAATATTAGGAATTTTGACAGTTGAGAGTTTCAGTACATGACATTGACACCCCAAAACAAGTTAGTAGTTTGTATGACATTGGTTATTGTAGAGATGGGTCACTGGCAAGAGTGCATCATCAATGTGGACTGGTGAGAATATTGGCAAAATAACAATCATCTTCCATGTATCTTTGATGAAAACTGTCATCAGCAATACTTTGCGTGTAATGCTTTTGTCTGTTTTCAAATGACTTTTTTGCTTAATTATTGTATATTATGGACCATATTGTCAGTTGCTTTAGAATTTTTTTTTTTATAGAAATGTAATCCATTACACAGAACATGGTAAATTAGTAATACAATGTACTGTACTTGTCCAGAATAGTATGTTTTATAGCCTTGTAAATCTCAAGTGATAACAGTATGAGACGTCTGTCTCTGATGGAATTATGCAGGGACTTGCCAGGGAAATACGCCTCGTAAGTGTTTTGTAGACAATAAACTATTATTGATAGTAAGACATTTCAAAGGTCTCCTAATTCTCTTATTCGACTGAAAATCCGTCTGTCTATTATTAAATGTAAAAAATATTTGTATTCAAGTAAGAATACCAAAACCCATCTTATTAACCATATTAGGAATCTCATGAAGCTCGTTTGCACATGTCATTCGTCTGTGATGTAACATTAACGCTATAACCAGATTGAACTGGACTTGGGACAGGAGCTCAAGGCTGAACTTTACACTCCAATTGCCATCCTATTAGCATCCGCTTCCCAACAGGAGATTGGTGCTGCTCGTTGAGTTCCGCAAAAACAACTCCAAATATGTTCAAAGGAAGACTTAACGGTGAAGAGCGCTTCACAATGGCACCACAATAGGAGTGCAACCTACATTTCAGCCACTCCCTTGCTTGGCTTGATTTACAATGTTAAAAGAAAATTCAGAGACCAGTAAAATAGGCTGACAAAACATAATAAAGGCTAATAAATAAACAAATCAAGATTACATTTGACGGGGAAATCAACAGCAATATTGAAACACACTTGAAAAACAAAATCATACCAGATGCAGAATTTTATAACACGATGAGGCAATAGGTAACGTATATATTGAGAACACACACATCAACAATAACACGTGCTGTTAAAGATGGGAGAAAACAACTTACAGAGAGGATCATCCATTTTCATACTTCTTTGAATACGGATGGATTCTGGAACTGTATCTTCTATCAACTGGGCGATCGACTGAAAAGCAATGTACAGATCACAAAAAACGCACTAAAACTGTATACATTGTTGAAAATGTAGCTGTTTATGACAAGACACATGCAAGAGCGCCTACCATGCATTATATCGACACATTAGCCTACTTTCTGTCCTATCAGTTCTCTTTTTATCCAAATGTTTGTCAATCTTACCTCAAGTCCAAGAACATCCAGCATCTCCCTTTTCTCCCTTTCGCCTGGACCAATATGCCTCTCTGCAAAATCATCGTGTCTCGGCAGTATTCTGTCTATCTGTCTGGAAGAAGCATAGACTGCAGACGTCTGAAGACCCCAGACAGTTACAAAAGCATTGCGGTTTTGGATTCTAGTCTGTAGTTTCCCAAATATTCGGCTTTTACCAGATATATGTCTGCAAGGTGCATGTGAATTAACCGATTTGGCGAATAGGATCCCCCAAGACTTGGCACAGCTTTGCATTTTTAACTCACTAACACAAAAAGCTATTCAAAGAAATCCTTCTAGCTGCCGACCTCAACTGAATCCCTCAGACATGTGATTTCTCCCAAACTCTCTGCCATCTACTTGAAACTGCTTAGTTTATACGCCTGCCCCTTGCAAAAGAACTAACCAATAGATACGAGAAAGGTCGCTGACGCGCTGACGAGCCCTAGTCAAACAGCTGCATTGAACTTTCTCACGTGCCCGCCCACCGTATAGAAAACTAATCCGCTACTTTGTAACCGGCGACCATCATCTCCCGCCAATTAACTGTCAGTGGGAGCGAAGATACGGTTATTTTGTAGCAAATAAAATGTATGTTTACGACCATAGCAAGAGCGCTCGAACCGACAGGCCAATGCAGTATGCTTGTGCAGGAAAATCGTCTAAGTCTACAGTGCAATTCCATTAGGTACAAAATGTGTGTTTTAAATCTTTATCTCAATTATTTTATTTTCATTATTTTGTACTGTGCCCTCCTTGGGCAATATTTGCAGGGCCACCAGGAGGCATGTTTGATTATGCTGGTTGATGTAGGCTACCCTAATTATCCAGTTATTTTGAATATTTGTTGAAAGCAATATACATACAGTGGCCTGCGAAAGTATTCACCCCCCTTGGCATTTTTCCTATTTTGTTGCCTTACAACCTGGAATTAAATTAGATTTTTGGGGGGTTTGTATCATTTGATTTACACAACATGCCTACCACTTTCAAGATGCACATTTTTTTTTTTTTTTAACAAACAAGAAATGAAAAAAGAAAAGAAAACTTGAGCGTGTGTATCTATTCACCCCACCAAAGTCAATACTTTGTAAAGCCACCTTTTGCAGCAATTACAGCTGCAAGTATCTTGGGGTATGTCTCTATAAGCTTGGCACATCTAGCCACTGGGAGTTTTGCCCATTCTTCAAGGCAAAAATGCTCCAGCTCCTTCAAGTTGGATGGGTTCCGCTGGTGTACAGCAATCTTTAAGTCATACCACAGATTCTCAATTGGATTGAGGTCTGGGCTTTGACTAGGCCATTCCAAGACATTTAAATGTTTCCCCTTAAACCACTCAAGTGTTGCTTTAGCGGTATGCTTAGGGTCATTGTCCTGCTGGAAGGTGAACCTCCGTCCCAGTCTCAAATTTCTGGAAGACTGAAACAGGTTTCCCTCAAGAATTTCCCTGTATTTAGCGCCATCCATCATTCCTTCAATTCTGACCAGTTTCCCAGTTCCTGCCGATGAAAAATATCCCCACAGCATGGTGTTCTCGGGGTGATGAGAGGTGTTGGGTTTGCGCCAGACATTTTCATTGATGGACAAAAAGCTCAATTGTAGTCTCATCTAACCAGAGTACCTTCTTCCATATGTTTGGGGAGTCTCCCACATGCCTTTTGGCGAACACCAAACGTGTTTGCTTCTTTTTTTCTTTAAGCAATGGCTTTTTTCTGGCCACTCTTCTGTAAAGCCCAGCTCTGTGGAGTATACGGCTTAAAGTGGTCCTATGGACAGATACTCCAATCTCCGCTGTGGAGCTTTGCAGCTCCTTCAGGGTTATCTTTGGTCTCTTTGTTGCCTCTCTGATTAATGCCCTCCTTGCCTGGTCCGTGAGTTTTGGTGGGCGGCCCTCTCTTGACAGGTTTGTTGTGGTGCCATATTCTTTCCATTTTTTAATAATGGATTTCATGGTGCTCCGTGGGATGTTCAAAGTTTCGGATATTGTTTTATAACCCAACCCTGATCTGTACTTCTCCACAACTTTGTCCCTGACCTGTTTGGAGAGCTCCTTGGTCTTCATGGTGCTGCTTGCTTAGTGGTGCCCCCCGTGTAGCTCAGTTGGTAGAGCATGGCGCTTGCAACGCCAGGGTTGTGGGTTTGATTCCCACGGGGGGCCAGTATGAAAATGTATGCACTCACTAACTGTAAGTCGCTCTGGATAAGAGCATCTGCTAAATGACTAAAAATGTAAAAAAATGGTGCCCCTTGCTTAGTGGTGTTGCAGACTCTGGGGCTTTTCAGAACAGGTGTATATATACTGAGATCATGTGACACTTAGATTGCACACAGGTGGACTTTATTTAACTAATTATGTGACTTCTGAAGGTAATTGGTTGCGCCAGATCTTATTTAGGGGCTTCATAGCAAAGGGGGTGAATACATATGCACGCACCACTTTTCCGTGATTAATCTTTTAGAATTGTTTGAAACAAGTTATTTTTTTCATTTCACTTCACCAATTTGGACTATTTTGTGTATGTCCATAACATGAAATGCACATAAAAATCCATTGAAATTACAGGTTGTAATGCAACAAAATAGGAAAAACACCAAGGGGGATGAACACTTTTGCAAGGCACTGTAATGATGGAACTATCTTGCCTGATGGATAGTGCTTGCCATGCCATGCCAGAAATTGTTTTTAGTTTTTTTTTTAGAATGGAGGTCACATTGAAGCCAAGCCTCTTACTGCCTTTTTGGCAATCTGGACCATATTCAATATTGTTGAAATCTTTGCAATAATGTTTCTGAATTAAACAATTATAAAATACTTTGAGCACAGATTAATTGAGAATGGAGGCAGTTTGCACCATAGAGATCCTATTAAATTACTAGAGGGGCTACGTCATAAACCCTCAAAGTTCCAGAATGGGGTGAAAATCTTGGTCAGGGAGAAATCCCAAACCAGTCTAATTGGAATTAATGGCATTAGAGCCATAGGTGATGCATTTCCTGCTTGTATTTATGCAGGAAAATAAAAGTATGTGATGTCTCGGAAATTATGTAAGGGAATTATAGTCAGCCTAAATATTGTCATATAATTATAAATACAGTTTATACAGGTTCTATACCAATTTTCGATATAAATCAAATCAAATCAAATGTTATTGGCCACATGCGCCGAATACAACAGGTGCAGACATTACAGTGAAATGCTTACTTACAGCCCTTAACCAACAGTGCATTTATTTTAAATAAAAAAGTCAAATAAAACAACAACAAAAAAGTGTTGAGAAAAAAAGAGCAGAAGTAAAATAAAATAACAGTAGGGAGGCTATATATACAGGGGGGTACTGGTGCAGAGTCAACATGCGGGGGCACCGGCTAGTTGAGGTAGTTGAAGTAATATGTACATAGCCTAGAATATATGTAAACAGAGCACAAATATCTCAGATGTTTTGTTCTTGGAAAGCTGTGAGTGCTATTATAATACAATATCAGTACTTGTTGCATATACAGTGAGGGAAAAAAGTATTTGATCCCCTGCTGATTTTTGACGTTTGCCCACTGACAAAGAAATGATCAGTCTATAATTTTAATGGTAGGTTTATTTGAACAGTGAGAGACAGCATAACAACAACAAAATCCAGAAAAACGCATGTCAAAAATGTTATAAATTGATTTGTATTTTAATGAGGGAAATAAGTATTTGACCCCCTCTCAATCAGAAAGATTTCTGGCTCCCAGGTGTCTTTTATACAGGTAAAGAGCTGAGTGAGAGGGGGTCAAAGTGCTCCTAATCTCAGTTTGTTACCTGTATAAAAAACACCTGTCCACAGAAGCAATCAATCAATCAGATTCCAAACTCTCCACCATGGCCAAGACCAAAGAGCTCTCCAAGGATGTCAGGGACAAGATTGTAGACCTACACAAGGCTGGAATGGGCTACAAGACCATCGCCAAGCAGCTTGGTGAGAAGGTGACAACAGTTGGTGCGATTATTCGCAAATGGAAGAAACACAAAATAACTGTCAATCTCCCTCGGCCTGGGGCTCCATGCAAGATCTCACCTTGTGGAGTTGCAATGATCATGAGAACGGTGAGGAATCAGCCCAGAACTACACGGGAGGATCTTGTCAATGATCTCAAGGCAGCTGGGACCATAGTCACCAAGAAAACAATTGGTAACACACTACGCCGTGAAGGACTGAAATCCTGCAGCGCCTGCAAGGTCCCCCTGCTCAAGAAAGCACATATACAGGCCCGTCTGAAGTTTGCCAATGAACATCTGTATGATTCAGAGGAGAACTGGGTGAAAGTGTTGTGGTCAGATGAGACCAAAATCGAGCTCTTTGGCATCAACTCAACTCGCCGTGTTTGGAGGAGGAGGAATGCTGCCTATGATCCCAAGAACACCATCCCCACCGTCAAACATGGAGGTGGAAACATTATGCTTTGGGGGTGTTTTTCTGCTAAGGGGACAGGACAACTTCACCGCATCAAAGGGACGATGGACGGGGCCATGTACCATCAAATCTTGGGTGAGAACCTCCTTCCCTCAGCCAGGGCATTGCAAATGGGTTGTGGATGGGTATTCCAGCATGACAATGACCCAAAACACACGGCCAAGGCAACAAAGGAGTGGCTCAAGAATAAGCACATTAAGGTCCTGGAGTGGCCTAGCCAGTCTCCAGACCTTAATCCCATAGAAAATCTGTGGAGGGAGCTGAAGGTTCGAGTTGCCAAACGTCAGCCTCAAAACCTTAATGACTTGGAGAAGATCTGCAAAGAGGAGTGGGACAAAATCCCTCCTGAGATGTGTGCAAACCTGGTGGCCAACTACAAGAAACGTCTGACCTCTGTGATTGCCAACAAGGGTTTTGCCACCAAGTACTAAGTCATGTTTTGCAGAGGGGTCAAATACTTATTTCCCTCATTAAAATGCAAATCAATGTATAACATTTTTGACATGCGTTTTTCTGGATTTTGTTGTTGTTATTCTGTCTCTCACTGTTCAAATAAACCTACCATTAAAATTATAGACTGATCATGTCTTTGTCAGTGGGCAAACGTACAAAATCAGCAGGGGATCAAATACTTTTTTCCCACACTGTACAACTTGTCTAAGTCCTATCATCAACTGATTTGAGCCAGTGTATGGCTGTGGATTGACTGCATTGTTTGAATGAAATGTTGGCATATTGGCAGTTAATATGAAAAACTTATGGAATCATCATTCCTGGCTAGCTAGCTAACACACATACAGTGCAGTTAAATTATTCATTCATTGTTTTACACAATATCTTATAACAGCACTGGCAAACCATGGGGTGACCAACTCCCTGACCAACATGGCTGACCTTTGGTCCATCAGAAGAAGGTTAATATCCATTCTAGAATTCTAATTTCTAATTTTATGGTTTGCACAATGGTTCTTCTCATTGCCCTGAGCAACACATTGCACAATATATTATCACTGAATATGCCCCTGCAGCTGGTAGTAAAGCTTTTCAAAACACCTTGTTGTGGGGCTGTTTTTGAAAAGATATATTGGCTCATATGAATGTGCTCATCTGTTTTTGCATTTAAATTCTAGATAACTGCCACTTATTGTGATTGTATAGAGATTCCATGGTTGCTATAGACAAACAGAAAACAAAGCGGATCTGCAGATGGCTCAAATGTACTGCTTGCTTATCAGTAAACAATGAGAATTATTTTCATGCCAGACACAGGTGGAATGTCCATCAAGACAGTCAACCCAGGAAACCATATATATATATATATATACGGTCCCTCGATTCTCTACTCTTAACACATAGTGGTGATATTTCACAGGAAGGGTTTAAAATGAAGCTGATCCAGTGGCTGTGTGAGCAGCATCCATTACTGATGTATCAATGTTTTTAGTTCCCTTTGCTTTGTTATTCTAAGTCTTGGCTAAACAGGGATGTCTCTCTTTGACATACAGGTCTGTATGATAAATTGAAGAACAAGGCTATACTTTTCTTTGTTGACTTTGCAACAAAGGTCAGACCAATTATAATTTCCTTTAAGGATACACACTTTTTTATCCAAAGTGTTTTCCACACTTGTAAATTCCAAAGGCAGGTTCCAATAAAGACTGTCAATCAAACAGTTTATTTTTGTTCAGTGGTAGGTCAACTAAATAGAACTAAAGGAACTAAATACAGTACCTGTGAACACTGGTCTTGTCAGGTACCTTTTCTTGGCATCAGGAGGCTGTGTCCTAGTTGTTGTCACCATGGGTGTATACAGCTTGCTTCTGCTCGTCTCCACTGTGATCTTTATCCTGCTAGTGTGTTCACTAAGGCCCGGGAACGTCCATCCCATGGGTCTTTGGACTGCAGATGGGTTGGAAAACCTTCTGGCACCTGCTCATACAGTACAGAGAATACTACATCAATGAGCCCACTGATAACAGTTACAGCACTGTTCTTAATTCAGTCAAGACTTTCAAATGGATGTTAGTTTCCCACACGGAGCATACATGTGACTTAAAAATATGTGTTGTGTCTTAGTTGTCTGTGCAGTAGTTATCATGAGCAAACCTTAATCTGGACTTGGGTGGCAATGCGTTCACAAAGGAAACATAACATCAGCTCCGCAATAAGTATATTTGAAATTAAGTCATGGATTTTCCCAACCCACCAATTACATGTGGAAAATGTATCTCAAACTCAAACTGTTTTACTTAGATTTTCTGTCAGGCTTCACCTATCAGTGTCCTCCTTGATGCTGCTCACCCAGAGAGTAACCTCCATGTCAATGGACCTACAGGACCTACAGGCAGAGTGACATTAATAACCCAATCACAATGCCGGGGCCGGGTCTTTCTCCCACTCATCAGCTATGCCCTCAACTTCACTGTCTTGCTCGGCGGACCCCTGTCCTCATTTGACCAATTTGTATGTTTTGTAGAGCAGATAACCATCAGCCCTCCTCCCCAGCCTCTGGGCGTTATCTCCTACAATACCTTTCAGGTGTTATATCTGGAGTAGGCTAGGAGCTATCTCACTCGTCTCCTGAGAGACAATGCCTCCAGTTTGTCCGTCTCCAACTCCAACAATGTCCTCACTGATGTCCTCTGGATATGGGGCCTTGCTGTGGTGTTGAGGATCAGATACTACTCCCACTGGAGGATCAGTCTGAATAATGCTGCTGGGCTTGGGTTCAGGGCCAAACTGGAGCAGCCAGTCTGACGGAGATCTCTGGACCACAGAGATGTCCTGTCAGGTGTCTGAATTTGCCCGTCGGTGGAATGGTACGACAGCCACATGGCTACGTAGGCTGGTTTTCCAAATAATCAAAACTGCTCCGCTGGTAATGACGTTTGGGTTTTCAATCTGGTGGCATGGCTTACATATGGGTCAGTTTGTGGGGTTTCTTGTCTGGGCTGCAGCTGTGAGAGCAGACTAGCAGATATACAAGTACTTAAAGCCAAAGCTCACATCTACTAGGAGGATATCGGTGTGCACCTGTCTGGGTTGGGTAAATACTCAGATGGTCATGGTGTGTGTTGTTATTGCAGTCGAGCTTCTAAATACTTCCTCTTTGAGAATATTGGGTCTGACATACACTGGGGTTTTTCCTCTTCTTAATGTTCTATTTATCTTCATTTTATGACAAGATCAAGAATAATCATAACATTTGGGTTTTTAAATGTTGCTGTAAAATTATTTGATTGATGTAATTCATAGTCATTGATGTTAAAAGCACACCACTTTTACTCAACAGTGCTAATGCTTGTTTGTTTTTGTTGGAGGACTGAAGGGGAAGGTATTGTGTTCTGGCAGAGTACAAACATTGGATTATTTTGGAGCAGTTGTTATCATACTTCAGAAAGTATTCACACCCCTTGACTTTTTACACATTTTGTTATATTAAAAAGTGTGATTAAAATATATTTTTTTGTAAATGATCTACACACAGAACCTGTGGTTAGCTTTATTATGTTTATTTTTAATCCTAAATAACTACTTAGTTTTGCCGATAACAAGCATACCCATAACATGATGCAGCCAACACCATGCTTGAAAATATGAAGAGTGGTACTCAATGACATGTTGTGTTGGATTTGCCCCAAACATAACGCTTTGTATTCAGGACAAAAAGTTACATAATTTCTTTGCCACATTTTTTGCAGTGTTACTTTAGTGTCTTTTCGCAAACAGGATGCGTGTTTTGGAATATTTGTATTATGTACAGGCTTCCTTCTTTTCACTTTGTTTTTTAGGTTAGTATTGTGGAGTAACTACAATGTTGTTGATCCATCCTCAGTTATCTCCTATCACAGCCATTAAACTCTATAACTGTTTTAAAATCACCATTGGACTCATAGTGAAATCTCTGAGCGGTTTCCTTCCCCTCCGGCAACTGAGTTAGGAAAGACACCTGTATCTTTGCAGATACACCATCCAAAGCGTAATTGATAACTTCACCATGCTCAAATGGATATTCAGTGTCTGCTTTTTATTTTATTTTCACCCATCTAACATTTACATTTTTACATTTTAGTCATTTAGCAGACGCTCTTATCCAGAGCGACTTACATGAGCAATTAGGGTTAAGTGCCTTGCTCAAGGGCACATCGGCAGATTTTTCACCTAGTCGGCTCGGGGATTAGAACCAGCGACCTTTCGGTTACTGGCACAACGCTCTTAACCACTAAGCTACCTGCCGCCCTAACAATAAGTGCCCTTCTTTGTGAGGCATTGGAAAACCTCCTTGGTCTTTGTGGTTGAATCTGTACTTGAAATTCACTTCTCAACTGAGGGACCTTACAGATAATTGTATGTGTGGGGTACAGAGATTTGGTAGTCATTCAAAAATCATGTTAACCACTATTATTGCACACAGAGTGAGTCCATGCAACATATAATGTGACTTGTTAAGCAAATGTTTACTCCTGTACTTATTTAGGCTTGCCATAACAAAGGGGTTGAATACTTATTGACTCAATATATTTCAGCTTTTCATTTTTAATTAATTTGTAAAAATTCCACTTTGACATTATGGGGTATTGTGTGTAGATCTGTGACACAAAATCCCATTTTAAATTCAGGCTGTAACACAACAAATGTGTGGAAAAAGTCAAGGGGTGTAAATACTTTCTGAAGGCACTGTACCTTGTTGAATGCATCTACCAGCCGAGGGTCAGCAGATTGTACAAACTGATTTCATAATAATTTTATGGCTGTTGCATCTTTTTTAGGGCTGTTAGAATTATAGGGTTGATTGGTTGTTCTTGACCTTGATTTTCCTAGAAGCCAGAGAGCTTAAAGCCACACAAAGTATTGTCCAATATGAGCTTTATTGATAGACAACACCTAATACAGTAAAGACATACAAAATAATGGGTGGTGTATTACTCACAGGAAGCTGGTGAGGGGAGGACGGCTCATAATAATGGCTGGAATGGCGTGAATGGAGTGGTATCAAACACATAGAACCATGTGTTTGATACCATTCCATTCATTCCGTTCCAGCCATTAATATGAGCCCATCTTCCCCAATGAAGGTGCCACCAGCCACCTGTGGTACTACTATATAACTAAAATGTTCTCTGCACCCTCATGCATGTTCCGAGAAGTTAATTGTACTGGTAGTTCGGTAGTTCCTCATTTTGCAATAAAGTGTATTTTCTTTCTTTCCACACATTTCCACAGACTATTCCCAAGAACAAGAGCAGTCCAAGGTTTCTGATTGAAACACATTTCTTCCAGCAGTCCTCTGGTTTGTTGATGTCCAATGTGTAAATATACCCAATAAAAGCATCACAATTAGTCACATACAATGAAAATAATTGTTTGGATTCATTGTCACTAATGGGTATTGTGGATTGATTCAGTTGAGGGTTCTGAGTAAAATGTCAACATAACCATGGCCAAAAACTGAAATGTTAGCACACAGCATATCAAATATACCCCCACCTGATGTGTGAGGTGAATAGCCACAGTTGACAGTGTTGCATAGTAAGGCAGAGTCTGTTCTGCATTGACCCCAGCCACAACCAGCCTTGACATCATGGCCACCATGAACCCACTGAGCCAAGGCTTGGTGTGCTCCTGGAACCTCAATGCTGTAGACTTGACCCCTACCCTGATGTCGTCATCTTTGTCCTGGTGACAATAGGAAGGAATGAAATGCACATATTAAACAGTTGTCATTCATAGAACAATCTAGAATATTCTCCAACAAACAGCATGAACTGAGGAAGCATCAACATTTGCAACAGCAATGTTAAATAGGCACAACATGACAGTCATAGCACAGGTGTACACCTAATACCTGATGGGCATGGATGGTGTCATAAATGAATGTCCACACCACTCCTGAGAAATACAGTGGTAGGCACACTGACCAGTCACAGGAGCCAATGACAGCTGACCAACCAAGCAGTGCTCCCCAATTGAAGGTCAGTCCTGAGGAGAAATAAGTGTTTCATTTCGTCTGTATGGCAGCTCTATTGCAAAGACCAACTCAGTGGCCTTGTGGTTAGTGTCCACCCTGAGATTGGAAGGTGGCCTTGTGGTTATTTACATTGTTATTTATTTTGCTAATTTGCACCCCAGTATCTCTATTTGCACATCATTTATGCACAGCTATCACTCCAGTGTTAATACTACATTTACATTTTAGTAATTTAGCAGACGCTCTTATCCAGAGCGACTTACAGTTAGTGCATACATTATTTTTTTTATTTTTCATACCCCCCCCCGTGGGAATCGAACCCACAACCCTGGCGTTGCAAACGCCATGCTCTACCAACTGAGCTACATCCCTGCCGGCCATTCCCCTACCCTGGACGACGCTGGGCCAATTGTGCGCCACCCCATGGGTCTCCCGGTCGCGGCCGGCTACAACAGAGCCTGGATTCGAACCAGGATCTCTAGTGGCACAGCTATCCACTGCGCCACTCGGGAGACCTAAATTATAATTGTAATTATTTTGCACTATGGCCTATTTATTGCCTTACCTCCATAACTTACTACATTTGCACACACTGTATATAGATTTTCTATTGTGTTATTGACTGTACGTTTTGTTTATTCCATATGTAACTCTGTGTTGTTGTTGTTTTTATCACACTGCTTTGCTTTATCTTGGCCAGGTCACAGTTGTAAATGAGAACTTGTTCTCAACTGGCTTACCTGGTTAAATAAAGGTGAAATAAATAAAATTAAAATAAATAAATAAAATAAAACACTTTCAAAACAACAAACTTTTCAAAACAACAAATCCGAGCTCTTCCTCGTTCCACGTTGTCGACATGATTCATGATGATGGCTGCTTGTCTAACTTGCTAGCTAAGATTTTGAAAGTATGATGTTGACATGATCAGTCCAATCAATGCTACGGTATATATAATGTGATTTGACGTAATTTTGTCTGTGGCCAATGACCTTGAGCCTTCTTGGATGGGCACTTCTAATGTAACTCTATGGCAGCACCCAAGGGGCTTGAATTTTCGATCTCCCCGTAGATTTTGCGGTGACGTAGTGTCCCCATGAGTGAAAGAACACTGAGCCAATTACGGCGCAACTAGAGAATATTACCAACCCCTACGCTCTGTATTTTCTGCTGGCTGCCCCACCACCACAGAAAGCACTGAGTTAAGCTGAAACACCTGCATTTTGGAGCTGCCTTACTCAAGAAAGCAAAAAAGAGACCATGTTTGTATGCAGCTTTACTAACTTTTTTTTTTTTTACATTGTTTGCAAACTGATATGTGACACGTATTCATGGCAAAATAACATGCAAAACAGGCAACAAATATTGTTTTTTGTATTATTTTGTATTTTTTAGCTAAACATGTGGGGTCGCCACTGTATAGGTTGAATAATTTGTGTTTCAAGCTGATCCCATTCCTTACTTGAACCCCATGTAAAGCGATGTGCTTGACAATATCTGTCTTCTTGTTTGTCTTCCTGCCAGCAGCAGACTATGTCTCTCCACCCTCAGCCTCTCTGATGGACTGTCTCCACCTTCCACCACCGTGCGCCAAAAACTCAAAATGTGAATCTGAAGGCTGGCACCCGGAGCCTGAGCTGGTGTGGATGGAGTGTGAAGGAGTCAATCTCAAATGTGAAAACTGTTCAAGGGTGTGTACACTTTCTTCTTGAAGGAAATAAGTTATAAATGCTTGTTGAGCTTAGTTGAACTGTTCTTTCCCATCAGAACCAAACACAGGCCTGTTTAACTGAAAACAAACACTGTATAGCCTCAAAACAAAACATGGTTAAAACTATAATTTTTATGTAATGGATGGCCAGTCCTTGCATCCGTAGCTCCTATATGTTTATGGTCAGTGCTATCAGAGATCCTTGGGACGTCCCTACCCTAAACCTAACCTTAACCCTTACCCTAACCTTACACATAACCAAATCCCTTACCTAACCTTAACCATTTTAAATGTCAACTTCAATGGGGTAGGGACGTCAAAAGGATACTGAATAGCACAGACCATATGTTTATCATCTGTGAGCTGTATCCATGAATTCTGTGCAGGGGACACAATATAAGAGAGACTGGTGTGAGACACAGACAGTGGCCTGACCATAGAATTAGGAATTAGAATACTATTATGACATAGCCTGACAATAGATCACAGAAAATAGTTATTTTTCTAGGGAAATTGATCCGAGGCCTTTGCGGCCCGCGGCCCGCCAGTTGCCCATCCCTGACCTAGAGTCCTGAAATTCTGTGCATAGGTCCCTCTTCTCACAAGGAACAAATGTGCCTCAAGGTCTGCCATGATGGATTTTCCGCCATTTGGAATTTTTGAAAAACACTTAAATAACCTCTCCTCCATAACCACAGGGCCGATCTGGATGAAACTTGATAATAATAATATGCCATTTAGCAGACGCTTTTATCCAAAGCGACTTACAGTCATGCGTGCATACATTTTTGTGTATGGGTGGTCCCGGGGATCGAACCCACTACCTTGGCGTTTCAAGCGCCGTGCTCTACCAGCTGAGCTACAGAGGACCACATCTAAGGATTTATGGCATCTATGGACCAAGGTCTTTCTACGCAATATTTTCCAGACTAGTATGTCAAACAACTGACTAATAAACATTAATGTGGGCGTGGTCTGGCACATACATGCATATAAATCAGACACGGATGATTGTAACCAAACTTGGTACACATGTTCCAAACTCTGTCAAGACTCAACATATGCGAGCACATTCAGATTGACCACACCGTGGCGCTACAACAGGCACATATTTATTTGTCTTGATCTGTTTGACTCAGTGTTGAAATTGAAAACCTCTGTGGTTATTGTGTTGTGCTTCCCATTTGAAGTCTGGATTGTGATTCCTATGATTTGTGTGTGGTGTCAAAATCTGACTAATTGTTGTAACTACTTATTTTGCTATTTTATTCTATTATTCAAAGGTGCTGTCAGGAGAAACACTTTCACATCCAAGGCAACAGATGGAGAGACGGAGAAGTTCGTCATAAGGTGGCTGCAGCTTTCACCAGACAGAGACAGAAAGGAGAGGACCGAACACGGCAAGGATAGGGTGGATAGACCCAGAGAGAATTAGAACATTTACATACACACATACATACATGCAAGGGATAAACACTGACGCTTTGTACATTATCTGGAAATAATGGACGACTTGGTACTGCCCAAGTTTAATAGTTCCAGATAATGTACAGAGCGGATGCATTTATCCCGCTTATACCACGGTTGCCAAACAAGCATATATTTACTGGTAAAAATGACATGTTTTCATTGAGATTTTAATTTTGATAAGTAAATTCATACTATTTCATCCTTCCACTAAACCTGGTTGTTAGTTCTATTGGTTAGGTTGCTAGAGAAGCGGACTTGTTCATACTATTTGTTTGGATTTGGTCATTACTGGCCCTAAAATGGCAGCTTCGGCTCAGTTCAGGCTGCCAGATCTGGGCCGAATGACTCTGCCCTAGTCTGTACCGTCATTCATTTCGGACTCTGGCTGCCAAACCCGGAGCAGCAGTTTTAGAACTGGGATTCCAGAATCAGGCCAGATGTGGGCCAGACCTTTGTGCTACCTGGGAAAAACTGCATGACCTTTGATCAAATTATTTTAGTAAAGTTCATGCAGTTGACATGTCGGACAATTTTTATAACCATAATGCAACACACTTTGAAAGGCTGTGACCAATGATGGTCAACAACTTGACAAAAGTGATCCACTCCAATGCGCCCAATGAGAGAAGTTTCCTTAATTGTTAATTTTCTCAAAATCCAAAGGCACAACCTAGATTTGAGCCAATGTCTTAAGTAGTTGTACATGTTATTACTCCAACCAAGTGAAAGTGACAAACCGACACGTTTCAATTTTCGTCAAAAACAACTTTCTTTCGAAGGTGTGCCTTTGATTTGACCTCATGCACATGCGTAGTTCGGCGCGAGATACCGTTAGATTGGGGTACGTGTTTTTTACGCATGCGCTTAGCTAGCCAACGTCGCCATGACATCGCCTACAAACGTTATCGGGGATTTCTATTGGAGAAGCAGTTTCTGCCCATCTTCATGATTGTACTGTCTTTGGCTTTATCGTTGACTGACTGATTTATTTGCATTGCACGCCACCCCCTGGGACTATCTTGACTGTAAAGTTTTTTTGTGTGTAGGTCATCTAGCTTCTGATCCTCGACCCCGGCGTTGCTGGTTCGCAGACGGAAGAAGACACATGAGGTTGTTGTAGGAGCGGGAAAAAATGGCGACGAACATCGACTACGGCGCTAACACATTGAGGACTCGAAACATTGTCTGAATCGCACCGATTCTCTGTGGAAACGTGTAAGTTGGCTATTCAATCTATTCCATTAACGTCTTTGTAAATGTTCATTGCATGCCACGTTTTGTAGGTGTTTGTGTCGTAACATTTTTCATATTTCTGAGCTTGATCAATAGAAAGGCAAAGGGGGTTCCGATTCCACTCCCCTTGCAATTTTATTTCCTGGTCGACAAGTGACAGAGCTGGGACGAAAATGGTGTAAACTTGATTGTTCACAAGTTTGATTCTAATAACAAATGCAGCAAGTGTTATTTGGTCAATCTGTGCAGTTATCAGTGTTTGCAATATGTTATCGGGTTGCATTTAAGAGACAATCTAGCTACATTATGTCGATGCAGCCAGTGAGCTCAGTTCAAGCTTTGGCTACCTAGCTAATACTGCTGTGTTAAAGCAAATGACCCATTCTAGTATAACGCTGCAAATGTCCAGATATTCTTGTTCACAATTTCACAAGAGGTTTTGTCTCGCATGTGACGAAGCCTAGAGACTAAGTGTGTGCTGAAATGTCCTAATCCTTTGATCTAATGCTGGGTTGAGGATTTCAAAGGAAAGATCAACTGAAAGCTTGTGGTTAATCATTTTCTGGTCCTCCTCAATCTGAGGACTAGGCTATAAACATGCAATGTCTGTAGAGACACAGTGTGCCACTTGGGTGTGCTTACAAAGCAATGCACAACTCTACATTTCTTACATACTCGTATTATTATTTGATTTATTCCACTCGCTCTAGCGCATAAACGACTTCCAAATGTACAGACTGCCCAATCTTAGATTGCTTGAGAAAATATTTTTGATAGCAAGTATACTTTGTGAACTACAACAAAATTTAAATGAGTTCCCAATGCATTTCAATGGCAATAAAAGTGCCATAGATTTACATGGGAACATTTAGGAAATTTGGGCGTGTATCTCCTACACCATTTAAACGTTCAACGTTGAGATGTTCAGACTCACCCGATCTAGATTGTTCCCATTCAGAATTTTGATAACATTTTATACTTTTTGAACTATAAACATTTAAAATATGAATAACAGCTCCATAGGCTTGAATGGGAAGTATGTGGATTTGCCACTGCTCTTACACCGTTTCAGCTATCAATGCCAAACTAACATTGAGATGTTCAAACTGACCCAACTGAGATTGTGTGCATTCAGATTTTTGTTACTATTTATACTTGTTGAATTATAACCATTTTAAATTTAACTCACCAACAGTAACCCCTGAACCTTTCAAGCTAGAACCAACTTTCACATGTTCAGGCAATCCTAACTTCAAATTCTTAAACTTTGATCAACTAGAACTATACAAATGTGCATAAATTAGCATAAAATAACCCACCAACAGTAACTCTTGAACTGTTCAAGCTAGAGACACCAAACCAACTTTCTCATGTTCAGGCTATCCTAACTTCAAATTCTTAAACTTTTATCAACTAGAACTATACAAATGTAGATACACCAGCTTTCAAATGTGCAGACATCCCTAACTTAGATTGCTTGAGAAAATACTTTTGATACTATTTATACTTTTTATACTACAACCATATTTGCATTGTTCAGACGGACCCTACTTCGATTGCTTGCTTTCAGATTTGTTATACTATTTATACCTTTTGAACTATAATTATTTAATATTTACGTTAGTCAATAGCGACCATGAGAGGTAGATATTCAGTGCCACTGCTTTCTAACCATTCAAGTTAGAAACTCCAAACCAACTTCAGGATGATGGAAACACTTCATAGATTCTTTCATTCCTTCATCCTTTAATCACCTACATTTGCATTCATTTCCATATTAGGACAAATGCCACAACTCTGTAACCCTATAAGCTATAAACACAAAACCAACTTTCAAATGTGCAGACAGCCCCAAATTAAATTGTTTAAGAAATGATTTTTGATAGCATCCATACTTTTTGTACTAGAACACATATTTAAATGAACTCCCAATGCATTTCAATGGCAATAAAAGGGCCATAGACTTACATGGGGAACATTTTGGCACGCATTCTCCTCTTACACGTTTAAGCTATCAACACCAAACCAATGTTGAGATGTTCAGACTGATCCAAATTAGATTGCTTGCATTCAGATTCTTTATACTATTTTATACTTTTTGAACTATAACCATTTTTATATTTGCATAAATCAACATGGGTTTGAATTAGAATCACAGTAATACAGTGGTAGCTATTTAAAATGGTCATTCTCCTTGGCCAATTAAGCTACAAGACCAACTTTAAAACATTCAGGCAATCCTAACTTCAAATTTTGTAAGATCTTTATCAACTATAACTGTACAAATGTAGATACATTAGCATAAAATAACCCACCAACAATAACTCTTGAACCGTTCAAGCTAGAGACACCAAACCAACCTTTACATGTTCATGCTATCCTATCAATCAATCTAGCATGCACACCACATTTTCTTCAGGAAATTTACTTTTCTAGTTATTGTTATTATTCCGTCCACTCTAGAGCTTAAATGATTGAATCTATATATACAAAACCAGCTTTCAAATGTGCAGACATCCCTAACTTAGATTGCTTGAGAATCATTTTGATACTATTTATACTTTTTATACTACAACCATATTTGCATAAAACTAAATGCTAGTCAATAGCCATAGACTTGAATGGTAAAAAATTGAGAAATGGAGACGGATCTCCTCTTTCACTGTTTAAGCTATCAACACCAAACCAATGTTCAGACTGACCGTACTTAGATTGACTGCATTCAGATTTTTTATACTATTTATACTTTAACTATAACCATTTAACATTTGCATGAATTAACATGGGTTTGAATGAAAACCATAGGAATACAGAGGTAGCTATTAAAAAAGGGTCCTGCTACTTGGCCAATTAAGCTACAAGACTAACTTTAACACATTCAGGATACCCTAACTTCAAAATCCTTTAAAACCTTTATCAACTAGAACGATATACATTAGCATAAAATAACTCACCAACAGTAACTCTTGAACTGTTCGAGCTAGGGGTACCAAACCAATTTTCACATGTTCAGGCTATACTATCTGACCAGAACTACTGACCACAACCACACAACTACTGACCACACCCACACAACTACTGACCCACATAACTACTGACCACAACTAATGAACCACAACTACTGACCACAACCATACAACTACTGAACCACATATAGCTACTTACCACAAAACTACTGACCACAACCACACAACTACTGACCACAACCACACAACTAGTGACCATGTCCATACTGTAGGGCCCAAAGAACCTGCAACAAAATCACACAACTACTGACCACAGTCACACAACTACTGACCACAGTCACACAACTACTGACCACAGTCACACAACTACTGACCACAGCCACACAGCTACTGACCACAGCCACTGACCACAACAACTGACCACAACCACACAACTAGTGATCATGTCCATACTGTAGGGCCCAAAGAACCTGCAACACAACCACACAGCTACTGATCACACAACTACTGATCACACCCACACAACTACTGACCCACACAACTACTGACCATAACCACAAAACTAATGACCACAACTACTGACCACAACCACACAACTACTGACCACAACAACTGACCACACAACTCCTGACCACAAACACACACCTACTGACCTCAAAACTAATGAACCACAACTACTGACAACAACCATACAACTACTTAGCACAAAACTAATGACCACAACTACTGACCACAACCATACAACTACTGACCACACAACTACTGACGACAACAGCTGACCACAACCACACAACTACTGACCCACACAACTACTGACCCACACAACTACTGACCATAACCACAAAACGAATGACCACAACTAATGAACCATACAACTACTGACCACAACCATACAACTACTGAACCACACAACTACTTACCACAAAACTAATGACCACAACTACTGACCACAGCCACACAACTACTGACCACAGCCACACAACTACTGACCACAGCCAAACAACTATTGACCACAGCCACACAGCTACTGACCACAACAACTGACCACAACCACACAACTAGTGGCCATGTCCATACTGTAGGGCCCAAAGAACCTGGAACACAACCACACAGCTACTGACCACAGTCACACAACTACTGACCACAGCCACACAACTACTGACCACAGCTACTTACCACAACAACTGACCACAACCACACAACTAGTGGCCATGTCCATACTGTAGGGCCCAAAGAACCTGCAACACAACCACACAGCTACTGACCACACAACTACTGATCACAACCACACAACTGACCACACAACTCCTGACCACAACCACACACCTACTGACCACAACCACACAACTACTGACTCACACCCACACAACTACTGACCACAAAACTAATGAACCACAACTACTGACCACAACTACTTAGCACAAAACGAATGACCACAAGCACACAACTACTGACCACAAGCACACAACTACTGACCACAAGCACACAACTACTGACCGCAACTAATGAACCACAACTACATACCACAAAACTAATGACCACAACTACTGACCACAACCATACAACTACTGACTACACAACTACTGACCACAAGCACACAACTACTGACCACAAGCACACAACTACTGACCACAAGCACACAACTACTGACCACAAGCACACAACTACTGACCACAACTAATGAACCACAACTACTTACCACAAAGCTAATGACCACAACTACTGACCACAATCATACAACTACTGACTACACAACTACTGACGACAACAACTGACCACAACCACACAACTAGTGACCATGTCCATACAGTAGGGCCCAAAGAACCTGCAACACAATCACACAGCTACTGACCACACAACTACTGACCACAACCACACAACTCTGACCACAACTGCTGACCACAACCACACAACTACTGACCACTACTGACCACAACTACTGAGCACAACCACACAACTACTGACCACAACCACACAACTACTGACCACAATTACAACTACTGACCACAGCCACATAGCTACTGACCACAACCACACAACTACTGACCACAACTATTGACCACGTCCATACTGTAGGGCCCAAAGAACCTGCAACACAACCACACAACTACTGACCACAGCTACAAACACCACCCCAATGTTGACACGTGCAGACTGGCTCAACGTAGATGGCTTCTACACAGCTTTTTGCTATCATTCCTACTTCACAACTATAAAGCTTGTTGTATCGCCATTCATTTCAATGGCGGAATGCAGGCCTCAACATTCAAAACTGAAATCACTGCCACAACTTTTAGAATGTTCCAACTAAAACATTTTGAGAGCTTAAAAACACATGATATGGCTTATTGATGATATAGTACTCACTCTAGCCTACTATACTAGCCCACTATAACCCACTATAATAACTCCACACATACAAACCTCCCCAAAATAGGTCATTATAACTAACACACAGCCTTTGAAAACCATACTACTAACATTACTACTGCTGTCACTATCACTACTATTTCACAACCATAAATACTTCAAGACTAGCAAGCACACCACATTTACTTCAGTAAATGTCATTTTCTAATGTTGTTTGTTTATGAATGCATGGACTCAATTATTTTACATTTACATTTTAGTCATTTAGCAGACGCTCTTATCCAGAGCGACTTTACAGTTAGTGAGTGCATACATTTTTCCCCCAACATTTATTTCATACTGGCCCCCCGTGGGAAATGAACCCACAACCCTGGCGTTGCAAGCGCCATGCTCTACCAACTGAGCTACACGGGGCCATGGATTGTGGGTTAGATCAATGTATGCCTATGGTAAAATATCATGGCCTAGGCTATGCTGTGTGTTTTTCCTACATTACACTTACCTTTCAAGAGTATCACCTTATGTCTTGGTTGTTCAGCACTTAGTTAGGCTATTAAAATAGTTATATGCTTTTCCAAGAGGACATTCAGAGCTAGTCATCTTAAAATGCAGTTGATTATGGTTATAATGACACCATTATTGTGTGTTGATAAGCTAAAAGCCACTACTTTGTCAGTAATGTGAATGTGATATTGTGCACTGAGACAGAAAATTATAAGAATATCACTAGCAAACTGTACTTTTAAGTCTTGACCTGTGACTGTACCTGTTTAGCAACAATTTTCAGTGTGACTAACTGTACTTACAAGTTATTAAATGTAAACATGACAGCGAACTTGTGGGACTTGCTGCAAAAATGTTAGCTTCAGATCAGCTATAGGCCAAAATCCTATTCAGATAAATCACACCTATTGTCTTATTCAGTCATTTGGCCAGAATTCATTTGAATCAATTGTAGAGTCGCTCGGTTGTGGAGAAATTGGTAAATGTCTCTCCTTTTATCAGTATGTTTGCATTTTGCATGTTTAGTCTGGTTTTGCTAGTGTGTTATGAGACAATGTCATCAAATTATTATGCTCCCCCATAGGTTTCTCTCCCGTTTGTCAGTAAAGTTCTGGGATCAAGAAACTCACAGAGCCAGGGGAGATGGAGGAAGGTATTACTTATTGTTCTTCTCATTCTTGAGTTGTATACTCTTTAAAACAGTTCTGCTAACAGCCTACCCCATAATACAAGTTGTAAACAGGAGAATGGTGAACTTTATCACCTACCTTTTTTAGCTGCTTGGTTGGTCTGGTAATACTTAGATACATAGCACATTTCATCATTAATATCTGATACACATGTATTATTCTGCAGTTGTATAGATTAAGGTATTTTATACACCCACAGATTCCAGGCGCCTTGACAAGTCTGACCAAATGACCCACGGTCAACCAGCCTCTCAACAATCCATGTCTCCAAGTCAGTCATTCCAGTGTAACCATTGTGTCCTCCTCTTCAAATCAAAATATTTCCTCCTTGAACACATGAAGAAGGTGCATGGCGTTGATGTGGATCCTTCACAAAGTGATGGGAGTTCTACACCCTCAGAGAGTTCCACACAACCTCACAGTAGCACTCTCTACAACAATTCAGAGGAGCTTTTCTCTTGCCGACATTGTACGTTTACGTCTTCCAGTCAGCCTGTTATTATCAAACATGAAAGAACAAATCACAAGGTGCCGGGAAAGGGTCCTGGTAAGGGTAGGACCCTGAAAACACAGAAACGGTATTTAAGGGGCAAGCTGCTTAATGCCAAAGTGCCACTGCCAGGGAAGAAGAACCAACACAATGTGTCAACACTCCAACGCAAACAAGGGGAAGTTGGGAGATTGAATTTCCCGAAATCCAAGTCTACCTCAAAAACCATAAACATTCCTAGCTCTAGTCTATTGCTGGAGAATCTGCAAACTCAAGTGGGATCCTCAGGAAATATTTCTAAATTCAGAGTCGTATCTGGAAGTTCTGTGCATGGGTCATCTTTAAATTCCTCACAACTGAAGTTGCCCAACCTCCCAAGGCCATCACGGGTGCATCACGTGACCCTCCAAGACGATGGTAAAGGTGTCTCTAAAGTAACTGAAGAGAGATCTCATACAGAAAGTGAACAGAAGGGCTCTCACTGCTGCTCACTCTGCAACTTCTCTGCGACTTGGCTAGAAGATCTTCACACTCACCAGCGAAGTGAGCACAGTTACCTTTTTTACAGCATGGGGTTAAGTCTGCTGGACGGAACAGCGACAGAACCGCGGGATCCCAAACCTGAAACGTATAATGAAATGTCACTGACAGAGCCATTGGCTAATGCCACCAAGAAGAGGACGCATGATGACACCCCTTTGAGTCCTGCTAAGAAAAAGATCAAAACAAACCCTGAAAGTACAGTCATCCAAAGCAAGCTATCAGGGGGCACTGCTTTCACCTTTGAGGTTAGTGAGGATGAAGAGGAGGGGGATGCCTGGAGAACTGAACTAGATGTCTCGGGAACTGAAAAAGATGAGCACAATCAATTGGAAAATAGAGAAAGCAGGGCCAAACAAAAAATACTTTATCGTTGCAAACATTGTGACTACAGTCACAAGTCATCTCGCAGTTTGAGCACCCATTACCAGAGAATGCACCCTTACATCAGGTATGACTTTCAGTACATCATGAATCCAGATGATTGGACTGCCACCTTCCGTTGCTTGGAGTGTCCTGTTGAGTTTGCCACCCCTGATGACCTCAAGAAGCACTATAGGGATAATCACCCAGAAGCTCCAGATGTGTTCATGATGCGATCAGATCAGCTTGATTTGGTGTACAAGTGCTTTGCCTGCCCATTCACAATTTCTAATGGCAAATACTTGAAACCCCATTACAAAAACAAGCATCCCAAACTGAAAATGAGCAGTCCTTTAATGTACTGCAGTTTTACTGCCAAGCCTTCTAAAGACGAACCCTCTACATCACATTTAAGGCAAACCTCCAGCCTAAAGGATGCAGAGGTTGTCTCTCCTGAGAGGTCTCTGACCCCATGTAAAGAAACTGTTAATATCAACTCTACACCCCCAAAAGAATGTTCTGCTTCCATGGGAGTGGATGAGGAACTGTACCACTGCAAACATTGTGCCTTCAGCAATAAGTCAGTGGTTGTCATGCTTGTCCACTACCAAAAAAGCCATCTGAAGGCAGGATTGACAATTGACGACATAAAACAAGCATCTCTTTCCACTTCCAGGAAAGCTAAGGACGAAACACTGGCGTCTCCTCAAAATATGGTTTTGGAACCATTAAAACTCCCAGAAGTAAAGTCCCCCAACACGTCCCTCTTCAAACCCGATGTTGCACAGGAAGATGTAGAGAACATGTTTTTCTGCCAGCATTGCAACTATGGCAACCTCACAGTGAAGGGGTTGTTGAATCACCAAAGGTCAAGACACAGTGATCTCAATGCTACTGTTGAACAGATCCATTTCCATACTGCTGAGGTTCGTAGTCAAAGCAAAATGTCACAAGGCATAGGAATAGTCTCACCTAGCACTCCCCTCCAAAAAGATAGTGCACAGGAACAGGTTTTAAAGCCATTCAAACTCCCAGAAGTTAAGTCTCCTAACGCATCCCCTCCCATATCCAATGTTTTGCAGGCAGATGATCAGCGTTTGTATTTCTGCCAGTTTTGTGGCTATTGCAACCCCACAGTGAGAGGCGTTATGAATCATCAGAAGTTGAGACACAGTACTCGTAAGTCAACTGCTGAACGGATCATTAAACATACTGCTGTGATTCGTAGCAACCCCAAAGTGAGAAGGGTTTTGAATCATCAGAAGTTAAGACACAGTACTCGTAAGTCAACTGCTGAACGGATCATTAAACATACTGCTGCGATTCGTAGCAACCCCAAAGTGAGAGGGGTTTTGAATCATCAGAAGTTAAGACACAGTCATCTCAAGGTGACTGCTGATAAGGTCGTCAAGCACACTGCTGAAAAGCTTCAGTCTACTGGATTTGACTCATCAAACTCCTCTCTCAAATCCACTGTTGAGAACGAGGTAGCTGACTTGTTTTTTTGCCAGTACTGCAACTATGGCAACCCCAGAGTTATAGGGGTTTTGAATCATCAGAAATTAAGACATCGTTATCTTCAGACATCCACTAATCAGATCCTTCAATATACATCTGAGCTTCGTAGTCAGAAAGATGCATCTCAGTCTGCTGGATTTGACTCCTCTCTCCTCAGATCTGATGTTGGGAATGAGGCCGGTAACTTGTTTTTCTGCCAGTTTTGCAACTATGGGAACCCCTCAATGAGAGGAATTTTGAATCATCAAAAGAGAAGACACAGTGAACTCCAAACAACTTCTGGCGACATCTTCAGGCATACTGCTGAGGTTGGAGGGCAAACAGAAAAATCTAAAAAGTCTAAGAGCGTCAACTCGACTAACTCTTCTCACATCTTACCTCTTCCTCTTGTGACAGAAGAGGCTGTGTTATTCTGTCAGCTTTGCAACTATAGCAATCCAACCATGAGGGTGGTTGTGGAACATCAAAGGAAAAGACACCCAGATCTTAAAGCAACTGCTAAACAAATCCTTGAATATACTGCTACTGTTTTGTCCCAAATTAGCAAATCGCCTAACTCATCCTTCTTAACATCTGATGTTGTCCAAGAAGAGTTAGATAAGTTCTTCTGCCAATATTGTGACTATAGCAATCCCACAGTGAGAGGGATCTTTAATCATCAAAGCAAAATGCATTGTGATCTCGAAACAAACGCTGCGCAGGTCTTAAGGCATACTGTTGTGGTCCAAGGGCAAACCAAAGAATCTCAGTCAAAAGCAGTGAACTCTCCTCACCTCTTGTCTCATCCTCTTTTGAAGGACGAGGTTGAACACATGTTTTTCTGTCAGCTTTGCAACTATAGCAATCCAACAGTGATGGGGGTTTTGAATCATCAAAGGAAAAGACACCTTGATATGAAGCCAACTGCTAAGCAAATCCTTGAATATACTGCTACTGTTTTGGGCCAAATGGGAAAATCCCAGACAGTACGAAGAAACTCTCTTAACTCATCCCAAGAAGAAGAGGGGAAGTTGTTTTACTGCCAGCATTGTGACTATAACAACCCGACAGTTAGGGGGGTTTTGAATCATCAGAAATTAAGACATAGTGATCTGAAGGCATCTGCGGATGAAGTTGTCAGGTATACTGCAATTGTTCCCGGCCCAAATAAAAAATCAACAATGCAACAACCTAACATGTCCTCCATGAAAGCCTCACAATCTGGCAAGCAGAAAGCTGCACTGCTCAGGTCCTTAAAGTGCCGCAAATGCTCTTATACAACTCCCCATATATATCTTTTGAAAAGGCATCTGAGGAATAACCACCAAGAGAAAGCCCCGATCACTACCATTATACATTGGGCTTACCAAGATGGCCATTTACAGGAAGGTTATCACTGCGAGTGGTGTGTTTGTTCACATACTGAAGCGAAGGGACTCCTCCGGCACTACCGGCAACGTCATCCAGATAAAAATACTGGACTTGAATCCATCATCCTGAGGTTACATGCCGGCCCTAAGATTTCTCGATTTAAAAAAACGAAGCCTAACCCAGAGCGCAATGAAAAACATGATCAGATTACCCTCAGGTTTGGGGATGTTCCAAAGACCTCTCCATCTTTTCAGACCGGAGGAGGTGACACAAAAGTCTATCCATGCCGAGCGTGTCCCTTTAAGGCTACTTCCATGGGGGGTATCAGCAGCCACTACCGTGCAGTTCATCCATGGTCTGTCAAGGAAGATGGGTCTGTGTTAGATGTCATTAGTTGTAGGCAGACCCAAGAACCAGAGGTCCATGAACAGCTTGATGTTCATGAAACCTCGAGGTCAAGTGAGACATATAGGTGCCCTGTCTGTTCCGGAGAGTTCAACACCCTCCATGGTATGTCTACTCATTGTGGAAAGAAACATCCGGAATATGATATGAAGGTCCATGAACAGCTTGATGTTCATGAAACTTCAAAGCCAAGCCAGCGATATAGGTGCCCTGTCTGTTCCGGAGAGTTCAACACCCTCCATGGTATGTTAACTCATTGTGGAAAGAAACATCCAGAATATGATACATCAACTTATGAAAGGGAACCTGAAGAGGAACCTAGTACAAGTGAGGGGACTCTGGTATTCAAGTGTTCAATCTGTCCATATGTGAACTCTCACGCTCATGGTGTTCTAACTCACTGCCAGATGAGGCATCCAGCCGTCAAAGCCAGAACTGAGAGACTTGAACAAGAAATTGTACACTTCACTGACCCAAATGAGTGTCTGAAAGTCAGATCGGGTAAGAGGATGGGATTGGCAGGCTTCAGGTGCAATATGTGTCCAGTCATCCATGCAAAATTCAAGAAGTTGAAGGCTCACTATGAGATGGATCACAAACGATCTGCTGCAAATATATTCAAACCGGCTTTGAAACAATCCGCTGCCATTAAAAAACAATTGCTCTCCAAATACAGAGGCTCCCAGACCTCAATTGCCCAGGCTGCCATTTTAAAAAATGGGAAATCCATCATAGTCAAGTGCCACCTTTGCAAGTACTTTTGCACCACTAAAAAGGGCCTTGCCCATCATCTCCGCATTAACCACAGTACAGTGGCTCCAATTGAGGACAAAGAGTTTTCCTACAAGTGTGCACTGTGCTCGTATACAACTTCGATTTGTAAGTACCTTGCAGCCCACTATAGGAGGCAACATGGCAATGCTGCTTTCAACAACCACTTTGTTCCAGCATTCAGACCTCACCGCATTCCTCCAAACTCACCGGACCATAAGGCTTCTTTGAGTCAGGAAACCAAATCACCTGGTGAGAAGATCAACTGTTCTTGCTGTTTTTTCCAATGTCTTAGTGAAAAAGGCCTGGTCTCCCATTATGCAATTTGCCACCCAGGAGTCTCTCCCAGCAAGCACAAATCTAGCAAAGTTAGTCCGAATAACACACTGCACTTTCCCCCCAAGCCCAGAAATCGTTCCCAGCAACAGAAACCTGTATGCAAATTATTTGATCCACAATGTGAGAAAGGCAAAGCATTGCGTCCAGTTAAATGCAAGAAATGCGTGAAGTTATCCTTCAACTCAAATCTGCTGCTAAGTATCCACTACACCAATTTCCACAATGAAGATTTCAAACAAGACTTCACTATACTTTCAAAGACTTCAGAGGATGGCACAGAGTTCTACAGATGTGGATACTGTAACCTCCAAATCCAGGGCAGTGCGGACCTCGGCTCCCATCTCGACCATCATAATGAGGAGTTTCAGAAGCTGGCAAATGGACAGAAGAGGAAACAACGCCTCAGTGAGCCACCGCCAAAGACCAAGCCTGTTAAGGTAAGTGGCACATAATGCAATAAAGTGCAACCCTATGCGCTCGTGATTGTTTGACAGATGGTAGGACTGTGCAACATTGGAAAAATAAATCTGTGTTTTCCCTTATGTGATCCTTAACCTTAATAATTTATTTATGTCTTTCAGCATGAAAGACAAGAACTGCCCGAGGTTCTGACAGCAGAGGAATCGGACAGTGATTGGATTGTGACAAAGGTGGAATCTGTTACAACAGGGATGGGTCCACTGGTTTCCCCTTCCCCTGTCCCATCGACAACAGAACCAGAGGGGGGGTCAGTAGGAGAGGAGTGCAACCACTGCGGGCGAACTTTCATGTCTTTGAAAGGTTTACGCTCACATGAGCGGAGCCATGCAGCTACAGCAGCGCTAAAACGGCTGGACAATGTACCTCATCAACAGAAGCAGATGTAAGAGGAAAATATTTAGATTGTATATTTAAGCAAAAAGGCCCGAGGGGGTGTGGTGTATTGCCAGTATACCACAGCTAAGGGCTGTTATTAAGCATGACGCAATGCAGAGTGCCTGGATACGGCCCTTAGCTGTGGTATATTGGCCATATACCACAAACTCCAGAGGTGCCTTATTGCTATTATAAACTGGTTACCAATGTAATTAGAGCAGTAGAAATGCATGTTTTGTCATACCCGTGGTATACGGTCTGATATATCAGCATTCAGAGCTTGAACCACTCAGAGGGGAGTATTTATAGTATGTGATTGATTCTATCTTGTAATGTTACCTTCTTAAGTACTTCATAAAAAGCATGAGCTGGCGCACACCCAGAGACATTTATTTAGTGTAGAGGTGCTGACTAACGGGGAATAAACTGTAAGCAATAAAAACTAAGCGAGTCGCACACTCCATATGTATAACCTCCCATTAATTTATTGGGTAAAAAAACACCAACGTTTCGGCATTACTGTGCCTTCTTCAGGGTACCACCATACAACATTCTTTCTTGTTTGTATATAAACCATGAAGATTAGCTTAACCATCTGGATAAATACATTTGTGAAATGACTGCTTGTCTGCTCATGTCTCTTCAGGTTTGACCGCCATATTAGACATCGACCTGGGACCATCAGACCCTTCCACTGTGGGCTCTGTCGTTACAGAACTACAATCTTGAGCCTCTTGAAGAATCATCTGCTCAAAGTACATGGCGGTGAGACAACCTTACTGCTAGAGCACACTGTCATGTCACAACATTTCAAATACAATACATGTTCAAATACATGTTTTTTATTTATTTGTTATCTCAGAATCTGATACTGTATAAAATGTAAATTGAAATGGCAAAAGCTGTGGAAAATATCTAAAACATGTTTGCTTTTTTAATCTATCTTGCTGGAGTAGCTGAGTACCCATCCAAGAACCTCCCTTCCTCTGTGACTGGAAGCCAGAACAAGGAGCACACCCTGAGGGCCACTGAAGAGACCCAGAACCTGCCAGAACCTCAGGAAGGCAACCAAATGTCTGATGCTTCTGAGGAATCGGACCTCACTGAAAGCAAGTGCTCCCCTTTACTTTCATTGTTTTAGAGTTTGAATGATTAAACATCATGATTAGATCAGAACATTTCCTCTAAAATAAGCACATTTGTTATGCAGCATACAGACAAGACAATCAATATAGCTATACAAAACCAGATTTTTGAAAAATGCATAACGTCTTGCATATACACTCAATAGTATTTTGCCATTAGCACCTCCCCTACCTTTCTGTAAATCAGAGAAGTAATCTGCTGAGTGGCTGAATCAAATGTGGTACTAATATCCAGTGTATTTTCCTTTACAGAACCAGTATACTCAGAGCCCCCAGATGTCCAGCGGCAGCTCAACCACTATAGGCAGGTGGCTCAGGCCAAGGCCTCCAGCAGCCCTCCAGGCCCACAGACCCCCAGGACCACTCAAGATGGCTTATTCATCTGTGAGTTTTGTATCTACACCTCAAAATACATCAAGAGTATGCGTCGACACTACATAAATCGCCACAATGGGAAAAGGCTCGTGAGGTGCAAGGACTGCTCCTTTTTCACAGGCTTCAGGTAATATATTATTTTCATGCCAATGCTTGCCTTTGCTGTGTCATATTTGTTGTTTAGTATACATATTCCTGCTATATCTAAAGAATAGTGATTGAACAAGAAGCACCTGTGACACCTAGTATTGCTACATTAACGGACTCTTTAAATAACGAACAAATGCTTCTTGGTCACAATTGTTGCCATCTATTTTAGCCTCAGTATGCTATATTGCCAAATTTGTGATAACATATTTTTCTGAATGCTTATTACATTAGGAAGAAGTTGGAAATGCACATAGAGACGGCACATGCCAGTAGCCCAACAGAAGCTCCAAAGGAGCTACGCTGCCCTCTCTGTCTCTACCACACCAAAAACAAAAACCGCATGATCGACCACATCATCCTCCATCGTGGTAGGTGTTCTCTTGGTATTGTTAAAATAAATCCATGCTTTATACATCATGACACTCACTTGACACCTTTTGTGGCTGTCTACCATTTATTCTGTGGGATACTTGTCAGTATCATACCCCGACTTTACACTGCTGATCCTGTTTCTTTTTTTTCTTTCTTTTTAACAGAGCAGCCAGTGGCCCCGATAGAGGTGCGTCGTCCGAAGCTGTCGAGATATCTCCAGGGCATCGTGTTCCGCTGCCACAAGTGCACCTTCACCAGTTCCAGTGACAAGAAGCTGCTACTGCACATGCTCAAGCACGACGATATCAAGCCCTACAAATGCAGACTGTGCTACTTCGACTGCACACAGCTGAGCGAGTTGGAGGCACACCTGTGCGATAAGCACCAGGTTAGTGTTCTAGCTACACTCTCCTTATACCGCCTCAATCATGACTCCCTGCTCACTAGACTGTGGCTCTATCCAGAAACAGCCCCTAAGGCACTGAGAGGACTGCATAGGTTTAACCAAATGATTGTATATCCACCCTTTCCTCTGAAAGGTGGGAATTTCTGCCATACTGCTTACACTTGCAGTCCCATCAAAGCTTCACAGTGCCTAGGGGTAAGGGTTATTTCTGGATGAGGCCTGTCTCTCTCCACATGGAGAACGGTTCTGTTGACAAATAGGCCATCAAAGGTCACAACTAGTACAATGGGTATTCTCACACATTGTTTTGCTAATGTTAATTCTGACCGTCTATATTTTATCAAGTCTTCTCTGTTGAGTCATTTGTCCTTCTGTATCTGATGTAAATATGTAATCTGCCTTGTGGTGTTCTCTCCGGTAGGTCGTGAGGAACCATGAGCTGGTGGGACAGGTCCATCTGGAGGAACTGGAGAGAAGACTGAGCCGAGTCAACGAGGAGGAAGAACAATTAATGGACTGTGAGGAGAACCAAGGGCAACAAGATGAGGTGAACAGAGATGCCGATAACAAGGTGGCAGAGAACACAGCCCAAAACAGTGAATTCCATGAGAGCCATGATTTTAGTAATGATGAGAACAAAGAGGAACAATATAAGCAATGCCACGAGAAGCTAGAGAATGAGAACAAGGAGAAGGTAGAGGAACAATTAATGGACTGTGAGGAGGAGAACGGAGAACCTGGAGAGATGGACATAGAAGAACAAAACAACCAATATCATGAGATGCCAGTGCTTAAAGATGAAGCCTGTAACTATCACGAGATGCCAGTGCTTGAAAATGAAGAGGGCAAAGACGAAACGCACAGTAATCATGGTGAGAGACAGGAACATGAGGAGGAGGCAGTGAAGACTGACCGTCTAAAACCTGAGTGCAATAAGAAACCGGAGCAAGGGCCTGAAGAGGATGAAAAATATGAAAAAAATACCAAGAGTGGCGAGAAGCAAGATCATGAGGTGGAGGAAAACAACAAGGAAAATGGCAACATACCTTCACCAAAAGGTAAGTCAATTTGGACATGAAACTATTGACATCCAATTGATCTGTTTCTGGTTCCCTGTCAGGTGTTTAACTCTGCGCCTTATTCTGTTATCATTCCTATAGATGCCTCCACTACCCTGAAGATAATTCCAGTGACCAGAAATGAGAAAGCGCTTTCCTGCGAGCTCTGTGGCCGAACTCTCATGAACAGCACTGACCTGGAAAGGCATGTGATGCGCCATGGCTTGTAACTCTGTGTCGGTGCAACTAATGAGGATGTATTGACACTGAGGGTGTTGCTGCTTAGAAATGGGAGACATGTCATAACAGGGCTGCTTTTAACAGCAAGATGATTATGTGAAGTTCAATTGAATGTAGTGTTTTATTGTCACTTGTTGCATACTGTTTCACCTGTAACAAACTATTATTGACTGGAGACACTGCAGCTATTGTTGTAAAGGACAAAGTCTGTCATTATTGTATATTATGTTGTGAATGACCATTGTTCACATTTCCAACGAATTGGCTGTTTTGATGCTCATTGTAAATATGTTAATCCTGTTGTCTTTTAACATTTCTGTAATAAATGACTTTATCCTAGAACTATTCTGTTTCATTGATATTTCATTTTGTGAAAACGCTTTTCCTCGTTTTAAGGATATGAACTGTTCCTGAACCAATCAAGACACTTTTTAAAGGGGGGACAAAGCGGTGATAAAATCCTTGACTAGGGAAAGAAGTGCAGTAGTTTTTGTAAATATGTACAATGGATGGGGAATGGTGGATAGCGGCAACAGCTCCTGTGAATCTGCATTGACTTCACATTTTCACCCTACATTTCTTCACACATTCACTCGTATTATTTTTCTCATATAAGTAGCCACAGTTTGTATTTATAGCTGGTTTCCCAAAATCATCTTGAGGCCAAGTTCGTTGTTAGAACCATTGATCTCAATGCTTCTAACGAAATGTATGCCTGCCTTTGGGAAACTGGGCGCAGGGCGTTTGTACATACGCGGAGGTCCGTGCTAACCGGCTCATTGGGACGTCCCTAGCCCATTGAAATTTAAATGTAAAATGGTAAGGATTAGGGTAGGGTATGACGTCGCAAGGATTCCGCATAGCACTGAACCATGCTCGGATCAGTGGAGGGCTTGCTTCTGTGCGCATACGTCACATTCTTGTCATCGCAAATGATAAATGAAATAAGACACCGCTTCCTGGTCCAGTCAATTGGAGGCTTCGAGAATCAGGTGAGTTCACAAACCTAAAGCAAGCTCCTAGCAAATGTGATATGCCACTGGATTTAGTGTAAGTAAAATACACATGAAAAATGTATGGGGAATCTCCATGCATGGCTGATCACATTGTAACGACTCAACTCCATGGTGAAGGAAGTTTCTGATGAACCGTTCGAGTTCATCAGAAACTTCCTTCACCATGGAGTTGAGTTTATTGAGCTGTAACCACCTATGATTTCAATAACTATTCATTTGCTCACTACTTTGGGATGCATTGTACACCTCTGTTTCCACTTGCGATACATTGAAACCTTTAAGATGTACTTTATTAAAACGCATTTTATCCATATGTGTTAATGTTATATGTGTTTGTCACACGTAATAATATCCATATAATTGCTCTCTTCAAATGTAGTCAGGCTTTGAGCGTATTCGGTCATGAATGGAATGATATTATTTCCTACTTCCTCGAACATTGTCTTGCCTCACCTCCTTGTTTCGTCGTTAACTAATTCTCTGTGATGAGAGCAAAGACTTGCACGTCCACCGTCCTGCGAGGACGATTGAATAAGGATGTAAACAAGCTTTTCCCTAGCCGATTAAAATCAACTCCACGATTTACGGTGGAGTTGAGCGATGACTAGTGTGGGCAGACTGGAACTCCGACGTCTTTATCAAAAACTACTGATTTCAGCACCCAAAGAATAGCCCGCAATTACACACGACATTGTTGATAAAAACTTAATCTCTGAAGAATGTGTTTATTTGATATGTTGTGTTTTGCTTTTGTTGTTTTGTGTAATTAATGTGTATGTGTATATGTACTAAACAAAAAAATGAATGCAACAATTTCAAAGATTTTACTGAGTTACAGTTCATATAAGGAAATCAGTCAATTTAAATAAATAATGCCCTAATCTATGGATTTCACATGACTGGGCAGGGGTGCAGCCATGAGTGGGCCTTGGAGGGCATAGGCCCACCCACTGGGTAGCCAGGCCCAGCCAATCAGAATGAGTTTCCCCCCACAAAATGGCTTTATTACAGACAGAAATACTCCTCAGCACCCCCACCCCACCTCAGGTTTAGAAGCCGGATGTGGAGGTCTTGGGCTGGCGTGTTTACACGTGAGGCCAGTTGGACGTGCTGCCAAATTCTCTAAAATGATGTTGGAGGCAGCTTATGGTAGGGAAATGAATATTCAGTTCTCTGGTAACAGCTCTGATGGATATTCCTGCAGTCAGCATGCCAATTGCATGCACCCTGAAAACTTGAGACATCTGTGGCGTTGTGAGACAGAACTGCACATTTTTGAGTGGCCTTTTAATGTCTCCCCAGCACAAGGTGCACCTGCGTAATGATCATGCTGTTTAATCAGCTTCTTGATATGCCACACCTGTCAGGTGGATGGATTGTCTTGGCAAAGGAGAAATGCTCACTAACAGGGATGTAAACAAATTTGTGCACAACATTTGAGAGAAAAGCTTTTTGTGCATATGGAACATTTCTGGGATTTTTTTATTTCAGCTAATGAAACATGGGACCAACACTTTACATGTTTAGTTTTATATTTTTGTTCAGTGTAGATACAGTATGTATAGTGTAATTGTTTATTGATGTGGTCATGCAGGGCTCATCTGCGAAAGAGACCGGGTCTAAGCATGACTCCCTGCTTAAATAAAGGTAAAATAAATCTAGCTTAAATTGTAGTATACCCCTCAGGGCAGACTGGGAGATTTAGGATGGCATTGACATTGGAGAGCTGCAATTCCTATGATGTGAATGCCCACTAAGTTGATGGCATTTCTTGTCAATTAATGTCAAGTTGTGTTGGTTCATTGTAGTGAACACCTACCTGCCTTATGCGCTTGTCATCATGTGTGGTTGCATCCTCCCCATACACCATAATGTCAACATATACAGCAACTCCAGGGCAGACAGCCAGGATGGTGGACATGATTTTCTGGAAAAAGCAATGTGCTAGCATAACCTGAACAGCATAATAGTGCACCAGATCATCCCAATGTGCATCATGAATGTAGTGAGCCAGCAGAAGGTCATGTTGAATTCAGGCAGCCATATCGGACTAGCCATGAATCAAAGATCACTTCTAAATGATAAGGAGGTGACTTAAGAGCCAAATCCTGGAGGTACAAGTTATACCACAGTGGGGGCAAGTTGTAGAGCTAGGGAATGGGTGTCAGAGTCCTGGGTTGGATGATCTTTCCTTTCGTTGGAGCCTCCGAGTTGCCTCATTGATCCTGAGAGGCTTGTGACTTGGAATACTTGGTGTTGCCATGCCAAGCAGCCTTTTCTTTATCCAGACAAAGGAGATAGTGTAATTATGGTAGGCATATAGGATTCCCAACATAGTTGAATTGCACAAAAAATTGTCTTGAGTACAGGTCATAACAGTACATATATCTGAAAGTTGTCTCATTTAAAGGATGTATACAGGTGATTAAACCACCATTTAATGGTATTGAGGCAGCCATATTGGATTTTGGAAGCCATATTGGATTTGGAGTGAAATCTAGGTGGGCCCCGTAATGTAATAGCAAGAGTATGGGCTGAACAAATAAAATCCACAGAAGAACATTTGACCCAAAAAGATAATAATAATAAAAGACAGTTTTCAGTGTCTTAGAGTTGATTTTAGATTACAATAGCCACAACATCAAAAAACATGTAACTGTATGTATTTTGTATATTAATCAGATACCAAAACGTAAAGCTTACATTCATCATAAATATAAATATTTGATATTTCCGCCTATTGTGTCTCTGTGTTTACGGGTCTATCTTTCCAAGATAAATTAAGATATCCTCATGCTGTTTGTTTATGTAGTGTAGACAACTGAACTAACTACTTGAATTTCAAATGTTTGCAATATCAGAGCTTGCAATATTGGGTTACATGCGCTAATGCGGCCCATCCTCCCTCCAGCCAGGCATTATTCTGCACTTTTTTAGTTTAAGGGGTGTGTCACTATCTATCAATTTAACCACTTTTGCAGTAAAATATTTTTACACAACCATCCGTTTCATAAATGGTAGACATAAGAGACATGGTTGTGTTTTGTTCTACCTCGGGTAGGGGTATTTCAAACTATATCCCTTTTTTGCGGACTGACCACTAGCCTAGTAATAGTTCAGTGCCATTTCCTCTTCAAAAACTTGATTTAAAGTTTCCTGTTAACATCTCATTAGGTGCTGACACCCTTGTATGGGATGCATACAATTCTAAGAAATTTTTTTCCTGTATTTTTGTTTAAGTAAGGAGTTAAATCAGAAAGGAGGAATGTCAAGTGAAAGGGGATCTGAAGAGGCAGTTGGCTCCTCAAGAGTCATCAAGAGTGTTTTCTTTGCCCTCCTCCTGGACTTACTGGGATTCACCCTGATCCTACCTCTCCTCCCATCTATACTGGACCACTATGGCCAAACAGAGGTAAGTGCTCAATTTTGTCTGAGCTCAGTGAGCTGTCCTTTTTGTTATTACAGTTTAACATTTCAGCCGACCTTAAAGGCGAGTTGAGACTGACTGATCTACAAATCACATTGCATCATAAATAACTACTCAATATTATTTATAGATCAGTCAGTCAATTTACCCATGATATGTCACGGTTTTGAATGATCTGGAACACGGCCAATGTCTGTTGGTAGTAGATGTGAGCTCCCCTCTTAAAATCTAAATCACTGATCATCATCATAATCGTTTTCCTCCCCATCATTATCATCAATAGTTAAATACTTTGTCATTGTACTATGTTGTGTAAGACAATCATTGTATTGCAATATACAGTGCTATGAAAAAGTATTTGCCCCCTTTCTAATTTTCACTACTTTTGCATATTTGTGATACTGAATGTTATCAGATCTTCAACCAAAACCTAATATTAGATAAAGGGAACATAAGTGAACAAATAACACAACAATTACATATTTATTTCATAAACAAAGTTATGCAACACCCAATTCCCCTGTGTGAAAAAGTAATTTCCCCCTTACACTCAATAACTGGTTGTACCACCTTTAGCTGCAATGACTCCAACCAAATGCTTCCTGTAGTTGTTGATCAGTCTCTCGTATCGCTGTGGAGGAATTTTGGCCCACTCTTCCATGCAGAATTGCTTTAACTCAGTGATGTGTGGGTTTTCAAGCATGAACTGCTCATTTCAAGTCCTGCCACAACCTCTCAATTGGGATTAGGTCTGGACTTTGACTAGGCCATTCCAAAACTTCCAATTTGTTGCTTTTTAGCAATTTTCATGTAGACTTGATTGTGTGTTTTGGATCATTGTCTTGCTGCATGACCCAGCTGCACTTCCGCTTCAGCTCACAGACGGATGGTCTGACATTCTCCTGTTGAATTCTCTGATACAGAGCAGAATTCATGGTTCCTTCTATTAAGGCAAGTTGTCCAGGTCCTGAGGCAGCAAAGCATCCCCAAACCATCACACCACCACCACCATGCTTGACCTTTGGTATGATGTTCTTACTGTGGAATGCAGAGTTTGGTTTTCGCCAGGCATTACTGGAACCATGTCGACCGAAGCTGAAGCGCAGCTGGGTCATGCAGCAAGAAAATGATCCAAAACACACAATCAAGTCTACATGAAAATTGCTAAAAAGCAACAAATTGGAAGTTTTGGAATGGCCTAGTCAAAGTCCAGACCTAATCCCAATTTAAATGTTGTGGCAGGACTTGAAACGAGCAGTTCATGCTTGAAAACCCACACGTCACTGAGTTAAAGCAGTTCTGCATGGAAGAGTGGGCCAAAATTCCTCCACAGCAACGTGAGAGACTGATCAACAACTACAGGAAGCATTTGGTTGGAGTCATTGCAGCTAAAGGTGGCACAACCAGTTATTGAGTGTAAGGGGGCAATTACTTTTTCACACAGGGGAATTGGCTGTTGCATAACTTTGTTTATGAAATAAATATGTAATTGTTGTGTTATTTGTTCACTTATGTTCCCTTTATCTAATATTAGGTTTTGGTTGAAGATCTGATAACATTCAGTATCACAAATATGCAAAAGTAGAGAAAATTAGAAAGGGGGCAAATACTTTTTCATAGCACTGTATTTGCAATAATGTTGGGTTATCAATGCAATTTGCCATTTTGGTGATATGCCAACTCCAGAATCAGACATTTGGTGGGTTTCTTTGTACACAGAATTTGGGGCCTCACTCTAGGGAGGACAAGGCATGCTTTGTGGGATTAAACTTTTCCATGAGACACTGTAACAAAATGACAAACTTGTCAGCTGATCGTGTGTGTGTGAAATTGATCCGATTCAGATCTTGCACTTGTGTTTCAAACATGCATTTTTGTCTTTTGAATTAGTAAAAAATATTTTCACGTTTCCCCCTAACAGGACAGTGTCTATCAGTCACTACAGAGCATTGTGGACTGGTTCAGGGAAGCTGTCGGAGTTCCAATGGAAACAAAATACAACAGTGTCCTCTTTGGAGGTACAGTAACAACACACTTTATTTAACTACATGTGGTTGTTACAGTTGAGCAAGATATTTTCATGTCTATATTTAGACACAGGGCATCATTCAAAATACTATCTTGTCTTGTGAATGCCAGAAATAGTGTGGTGTCTGTGTATAAAAATGTGTGACTTAAAATTTGCCAGAACGCTCAACCAGAAAGGACCATAATCACGGATTATGCTCTCTACATTCTATTCCTCAGGTCTGATTGGATCACTCTTCTCTCTGCTGCAGTTCCTGTCGTCCCCTTTAACTGGAGCTGCATCGGATCATTACGGCAGAAAACCGCTGCTCATTCTTACCACAGTTGGTGCAATGATATAGAAATGTTGTTGATTTAAATGTGACTTGCCAGTTTAAAGATATTTCTATTGCCTTTTCATGGCTATGAAACTGGTTCACATATCAGTACTTATCTTGGGCAACTCTCTGTCCATTTCGGTGTGTTATTTGCCCAGTTTGCCAGCCTGGTTTTAAGTTTTTTTTTGTGTGTTCCAGTTGGGAATGATGTCTTCCTATGCAGTCTGGGCAGTTTCCCGCAGTTTCAGCATGTTCCTTTTGTCTCGGGTGATTGGGGGTATTTGTAAGGGCAATGTGAGCCTCTGCACTGCCATGATTGCTGATCTTCCTTGCCCCAAGGCACGAAACAAGGGAATGGTAAGCACTATGCATCAAGCTCATACTAAGATTTTGTTTAAAGACATACAGTACAGTATATGCCATTTCAGGTTTGAAAGATCTTAATTGAAGGGAGATTGATAATTTAAGAGTATGATAAACCACGGACCATGCTGCTCTGTATTGCAGTAATACACTAGTTGGTCTTTCTATATGCCCCCTGTATGTGTTATTTTAATTTGGCAATGCATATTTTGTTGTTAGATGATGGTTGGAATTGCGTTCTCGTTGGGATTCACGGTAGGCCCACTGATGGGGGCCTACTTTGCCATTAACTCCAGTAAGGAGGAGGTATTCTACCATGGTCCAGCTGTACTGGCACTGGTCTTCAGTGCTGCTGATCTACTCTTCATCATTGTTATGCTGCCAGAGACCCTACCAAAGCAGAACAAGGTGAGATTTCATTGGTATATCTCTTAGGAGAAACTGAAAACGGCACACTCAAAACTCATCACAGGGGTTGGGCAGTGTGCTTCATTGCATAGAAAGTACAAGCCTTGGCCACTCACTATCTTCTCCCAGTAATGTTTTATTGCAATGATACTATACACAGTGTTTAATCCATATTAGTAAGTTTGTTTATTATTCATGACAAAGACTGGTATCTGCTCCAACCAAGGTTTCCTCAGTGACCTCTGGGATCCTGGAATCAGGAGATCTTCTCAACCCAGTGGCTCTGTTCCATTTCTCTGCCCTCACAAGGACCGAGGACCCACCCTCTAAAGAGAGTGAGTACATATTGATTAATGTGATATTTGTACAGTATGAAATAATTATGACAATCCATATACACGGAACAAAAATAAACGCAACATGCAACAATTTAAACGACTTTACTGTGTTGCAGTTCATATAAGGAAATCAGTCAATTGAAATAAATTCACTAGGCCCTAATCTATGGATTTCACATGACGAAATACAGATATGCATCTGTTGATCACATACCTTAACAAAAAAAAAGCTAGGGCCGTGGATCAGAAAACCAGTCAGTATCTGGTGTGACCACCATTTGCCTCATGCAACGCGACACATCTACTTCGCATAGAGTTGATCAGGCTATTGATTGTGGCCTGTGGAATGTTGTCCCACTCCTCTTCAATGGCTGTTGGCGGGAACTGGAACACGCTGTCGTACATGTCGATCCAGAGCATCCCAAACATGCTCAATGGGTGACATGTCTGGTGAGTATGCAGGGACATTTTCAGCTTCCAGGAACTGTGTACAGATTCTTGCAACATGGGGCAGTGCATTATCATGCTGAAACATGAGGTGATAGCGGCGAATGAATGGCACGACAATGGGCCTCAGGAACACGTCACGGTATCGCTGTGCATTCAAATTGCCATTGATAAAATGGAACTGTGTTCGTTGTCCGTAGCTTATGCCTGCCCATACCATAACCCCAACGACACCATGAGACACTGTTCACAACATTGACGTCGGCAAACCGCTCGGTTACGACGCCGAACTGCAGTGGTTACAAGTGGTCTGCAGTTGTGAGGCTGGTTGGATGTACTGCCAAGACAACGTTGGAGGCGACTTATGGTAGAGAAATTAACATTCAATTCTCCGGTGGACATTCCTGCAGTCAGCATGCCAATTGCACGCTCCCTCAACTTGATACGTCTGTGGCATTGTGTTGTGTGACACAACTGCACATTTGAGAATGGTCTTTTATTGTCCCCAGCACAATGTGCACCTGTGTAATGATCATGCTGTTTAATCAGCTTCTTGATATGCCACACCTGTCAGGTGGATGGATTATCTTGGCAAAGGATATATGCCCACTAACAGGGATGTAAACAAAGTTGTGCACCAATTTTGAGAGAAATAAGCTTTTTGTGCATATGGAACATTTCTGGGATCTTTTATTTCAGCTCATGAAACATGGGAACAACACTTTACATGAAACATGGGAACAACACTTTACATGATGTGTTTATATTTTTGTTCAGTATATTTGTAAAATATCAATGAATATACAGTAATATAAAGACCTGCTAGTCTGTAATAATGTATATCTTGTCAAGATTTATTCTTAGTAAGATGGACAAGAAAATCTATGGAATGTACTTCATAATAACCAAAATATTGGGTTGAAATGTACCACAAAGCCTTTTTTAAATGTCCCTGTCTATTTTCTCTTGGACAACAGAAATGCAGAACCTCAAAGTGTTGGGCTTCGTTTACTTCACATATCTCTTCCTCTTCTCTGGTCTTGAGTTTACATTGAGTTTCCTCACCCATCAACGGTTCCAGTTTACAAGGTATTGGTTTAGGGACAAGGAAGGTTCGCTCAACCCTCAGCCTATTTAAATCCCTACACTCCAACTTGCTTGAATCTGTTCAACCAAAAAAGAGGCTACCTTAACTCCAACTGTGCTACGATATTCTTCTATTTTTGCAGCATGCAGCAGGGAAAGATGTTCTTCTTCATGGGTATCACCATGGCACTGATTCAAGGAGGATATGCCCGTAGGATCAAACCAGGGCATCACATCAGGACTGTTCGTCTGGTAAATCTACTACTCATTACTACATGGCTAAGAAATCAGCACCAAATCTTTTAAATAGTCTAGATTAGCTCTGGTATAGAAAATGTTGCCAAAGTCAGTATTCTTAATGTATTTTAGGCAATCGTATTACTGATTCCAGCATTTGCTCTCATTGGACTGGCATGGAATTTGAAGATGGTTTACATAGGTTTGATTTTATACTCATTCGGTAAGTTTTCATATCTTCAAAAGTAATTTTAAATGAAATTAATAAGTATATCCCTGAGGTAATTTTCCTTTACTCAAACATCATCTCCTTTGTCACAGCTGCTGCCATTGTTGTCCCTTGTTTGACAACACTGGTTTCAGATCATGGTAAGATTTCTAACTGTACTATCATAACCATTATGCACTCGCTCTCTCTTAGATACACGCACACATGCGCCACCTTCAAATCGAATCATTGTGTAACTTGAAATCCTCTTCTAGGTTCGGCCAATCAGAAGGGCACAGTGATGGGAATCCTACGTAGTTTAGGAGCCCTGGCTCGAGCACTGGGGCCCATAGTGGCATCCTCAGGTGACTTTCTCCTTTGGATAATGTCCCATTTTGTAAGAGGGCAGAAGTATGATGTCAAAGGCTGTGATTTGTAAATAACTAGTATTGTATTACATTTCTGCTTAACATTTATTTTATTTGCTTTGCAGTTTACTGGATTGCTGGAGCAGAGACCTGCTTCATCATCAGCTCAGCTTCTTTCATCATACCTTTGGCTTTACTGAGAAGAGTTGGAGGGCTCAAACAGGAGTGAAGAGGGTGCTAAAAAAGCCTTAACACAGGAGCGTCAAAGGGTTCTACCATGACAGACTGTTTCAGAGATACGCTAGACAGTTTTGATATTGTTTTGTTCTATTTTTATTTCATTCGTTTACATTTGCTTGGAATGCAAGCTATGAGAAAATAACTACATATCATTGACAAATGTATGTATTTTCTTCTCTCTCACCAAAAAGTATTGCCAGAAGATACTGACCCTACCGTTACGCTTGTTTACACTGAGCTGCACTGAGGTCTGAACGCAATCACCCTTTTCCTCCTCATACTAGCTAGCAGTAGCCACCACAGCCATTATGGGAAAACTAGCAGTATTTCAATCTTCTCGATGGAGCAGTGTTGATATAGGTAAAATTTGGAGTACAGTCGCATATCCCATCCCTGCATTGAGGTACGTTTTCCGACCATATTTTGCGCCGGCTCCACGGTGTCTAAATGTAACCATGATTGCGTTCCGACCTCTGTGTAGCAAAGTGTAAACAAGCGTAACGGTAGGGTCGGTATCTTCTGGCAACACAAAGCCTTGCCATGTAAAATTGGCTTTGTATTTTGGTTTCTGATGTTATACCGTGGAAGTATGTCATATCCAGATTTAAAAAATAAAGAATATTCTCTCAATGTGACAAAGTATCTTGTAGACAATGAAATCCAAAATACATTCAATAACGACATTTAGGACTAGATCATACTATCAGGCTCCACCTTTTAATGTATCTGACTTATTTTGCATATGCTAATGTTTCTGTAATAGAACTCTATATAATCAGACAATATTTTTTATATAATACTATGCTTAATATTGTTGAGTAACACTGTATGGGAGTATATTTGAGGTACTATTTGTTTGTTACTTAAGAAAAGTAAATCAATGATCTGTTTAAATAATGTTATGATTTAACTGTATTTTTAAATCCATTGAATATAGTATCAGTATTGAGATTATTCAAAATATATTGTATATCTATTTCCTACTATTTAGATATATAAATAAAAAAGCTCTGAGTGTGTGTGGTATTGCCTTTCCCTTTATGCAATATACTCTATTTACCCACACCATGACCATGCACCATCCTCGTTCCCACTACTAAAAAATCCATGAAACAAAAATGTTTGCTCGTAATTGAAGGTTAGGTTTTAAATCACATTTTAAGAAGAGCAATTGTAGAAATAGGCAGGGTTAATGACTTTGTGGCTGTAGTAACTAATGATGACTGTGCAGGTGAGGGTGCTGCTGTACCTGTTGGGCAGGCATATAATGTAAACATTGCATACAGTGAGGGAAAAAAGTATTTGATCCCCTGCTGATTTTATACGTTTGCCCACTGACAAAGACATGTTCAGTCTATAATTTTAATGGTAGGTTTATTTGAACAGTGAGAGACAGAATAACAACAACAAAAAACAGAAAAATGCATGTAAAAAATGTTATCAATTGATTTGCATTTTAATGAGGGAAATAAGTATTTGACCCCTCTGCAAAACATTACTTAGTACTTGGTGGCAAAACCCTTGTTGGCAATCACAGAGGTCAGACGTTTCTTGTAGTTGGCCACCAGGTTTGCACACATCTCAAGAAGGATTTTGTCCCACTCCTCTTTGCAGATCTTCTCCAAGTCATTAAGGTTTCGAGGCTGACGTTTGCCAACTCGAACCTTCAGCTCCCTCCACAGATTTTCTATGGGATTAAGGTCTGGAGACTGGTTAGGCCACTCCAGGACCTTAATGTGCTTATTCTTGAGCCACTCCTTTGTTGCCTTGGCCGTGTGTTTTGGGTCATTGTCATGCTGGAATACCCATCCACAACCCATTTTCAATGCCCTGGCTGAGGGAAGGAGGTTCTCACCCAAGATTTGACGGTACATCGTCCCATTGATGCGGTGAAGTTGTCCTGTCCCCTTAGCAGAAAAACACCCCCAAAGCATAATGTTTCCACCTCCATGTTTGACGGTGGGGATGGTGTTCTTGGGGTCATAGGCAGCATTCCTCCTCTTCCAAACATGGCGAGTTGAGTTGATGGCAAAGAGCTCGATTTTGGTCTCATCTGACCACAACACTTTCACCCAGTTCTCCTCTGAATCATTCAGATGTTCATTGGCAAACTTCAGACGGCCCTGTATATGTGCTTTCTTGAGCAGGGGGACCTTGCGGGCGCTGCAGGATTTCAGTCCTTCACGGCATAGTGTGATACCAATTGTTTTCTTGGTGACTATGGTCCCAGCTGCCTTGAGATCATTGACAAGATCCTCCCGTGTAGTTCTGAGCTGATTCCTCACCGTTCTCATGATCATTGCAACTCCACGAGGTGAAATCTTGCATGGAGCCCCAGGTCGAGGGAGATTGACAGTTATTTTGTGTTTCTTCCATTTGCGAATAATCGCACCAACTGTTGTCACCTTCTCACCAAGCTGCTTGGCGATGGTCTTGTAGCCCATTCCAGCTTTGTGTAGGTCTACAATCTTGTCCCTGACATCCTTGGAGAGCTCTTTAGTCTTGGCCATGGTGGAGAGTTTGGAATCTGATTGATTGATTACTTCTGTGGACAGGTGTTTTTTATACAGGTAACAAACTGAGATTAGGAGCACTCCCTTTAAGAGTGTGCTCCTAATCTCAGCTCGTTACCTGAGTGGCGCAGTGGTCTAAGGCACTGCATCGCAGTGCTAACTGTGCCACTAGAGATCCTGGTTCGAATCCAGGCTCTGTCGCAGCCGGCCGCGACCGGGAGACTCATGGGCGGCGCACAATTGGCCCAGCGTTGTCCAGGGTAGGGGAGGGAATGGCCGGCAGGGATGTAGCTCAGTTGATAGAGCATGGCGTTTGCAACGCCAGGGTTGTGGGTTCGATTCCCACGGGGGGCCAGTATAAAAAATATATTCACTAACTGTAAGTCGCTCTGGATAAGAGCGTCTGCTAAATGACTAAAATGTAAATGTAATAAAACTTTGTCAGTGGGCAAACGTACAAAATCAGCAGGGGATCAAATACTTTTTTCCCTCACTGTATAAGCTAGCTTCTGAGGCAGTGAAGAGAGTACCACAGTGTGAGTCATAATAACCATAAAACCTAGCGGTCAAACAAGGAAACACAGTAGTTCCAATCGTTTTTCCACCATTCATTTTTTCCATAGGGGATTTTAGAAGCACTTAAAATAAGGGCTGTGTTTCGTGTAGGCTTATCCTACCGTGATGTTTTGATAACCGTGTAAATCTCTAGGACAAGATGACTTATCAATATATTTGCCTGTATTTACCCCCCCAAAATGAAATGCTAATTAGCTGCTTATGTGGCTATCATAAAGAACTACAAATGCCATGATGATCTGGACGAGACGGCCAAATCGAGACAACTGTAAGAATCTCTGGATTTCTATCTAAAGTTAGCTAAATGTAGTAATTAATAAATTGGCTACATTTCTTTACATGGACAATTCTGAGAACTGTCTTGTGCAAGTTTTAAATTGACACGATACCTGTTAGCCAAGGTGTCAGCTAGAGATAACATGCAGGAGCTTGCAGGGATTTGTAGTCTTGCATGATGTCTACTTTGATGCTAATCAGCATTTTCAAATAATTGGTAGAGCATGGCGCTTGTAACGCCAGGGTAGTGGGTTCGATCCCCGGGACCACCCATACGTAGAAATATATGCACACATGACTGTAAGTCGCTTTGGATAAAAGCGTCTGCTAAATGGCATATTATTATTAAATAGAGCCCGAATATATTGATAAAAGTCACCATGTCCGAGAGAGATTTATATGGTTATCAAAACGTCACGCCAGGGTAAGCCTACACAAAACACAGGCCTTATTTTAATTGTTTCTAAAATTCCATATGGGAAAAATGAATGGTGGAAAAACAATTGGAACCATTTTCATGTTAGACCGCTAGGTTTATGGGTATTATGTCACCTCCTGTTAGATTAATTTGGATTTTAAGAATAATGACTAAAGAATTTCACCCCAAACACAGTATAAATGTTAGAATTATCATGTAGTGTCAACCCACTAACAGAGGGGGCGTTACTAACCATTCAAGGGGGAAGGCGGGAACTGTTTAAGAAAGGTGGGAGGAGCATAGTGTCTTTGTTTGTCAAGGAGTATAAAAACAGGATATTTGTGTTTTTGAGCAGAGCTCTCCTTAAAATAAATTTACTGATAATTACTTGTGGATTGTGGACCTTGAATCATTGATGATTAAAACCAGAGCTTTACAACCTCTGGTAATGATTCAAGCTTAGGTCGAATTAGAGATAGAAATTCACATGACACCTCCACTGTGGGGCTCTTCTAGAGAGTAGTAATATGGGGCGAGGGATCCTAAGAGGATCCCTGTGAGTATGCCGAGGCCAATAGAGAGTGATAGGAATAATGTGCTTCAGTAAGGTTGGTTTCTTAGTGTTCAAAGCCATGGTTATGAACTGTACCACAGAAATGGAACGTAAATCACAGAAAATAGATGTTGTGGTGGCAGCTGCAGAGAAGTACTTGGGTGTACGAGATTTTACTACACAAGAGTTACAAGGTGCGTTGAACGATAGTGTCCCGTCCTCCCAGGCTGTCGGCCTGGTGTATGATAAGAGAGGGCCAAGTAGTGGAATAGTGGTGAGGTTTTAATTCATGGGTGTAGGATTAGTTGGTATGGCAATTTTTCTTCCCTTTTTGTGTCACAAAGTGTAATGAATTTACACTGTAGGTGGAAACTTCACAGGGCTAGATAAGAAAAATAGATTAATAGAGAGGCCGGCCTCACACTCCAATACAGTAGGTGGCGGTGTATGCACCTTTCAGTTGGTTGCGATTCGCCAATACAACGAAGAAGAAGCTTGGGAGAAGGGTGTAATTGCGGCCTGCAATTCGGGGGCATTCCTGCATGTGGGCATTCCTGCATCTGCAGGAACCCCTCTTTATACTTCAATTTTTAAGCTAGGACAGGTGGGCGGAGAAGGCGCTCCAGTACAGTAGGTGGCGTTAATGCACAATA